ATCGCAAATTCAAGAATGAGTTGTCCGCCCTTGGCTCACAAGATTTCATTGTCGCCACTTGGTCGTGAGTGTCGACTCACTTGATGGCTGTGCCGGCTTGGAGGCGTAACGGCCCTCCTCTCGCACGCGCGGCTTCACGCTCCGCCGTCGCACGGACTCACACGCTCAAAAATTCAATTTGATTTCCGCCATCGTACTTCGCCGCGGCCGGATTTGCGCAGCGCCGAAGGCAAATCGCCGAGGGCGCGGCGGCGAACGCTTTCGCCTCTGGCCGACTCGCAACTCATATCTATCCCGCACCGCCGAAGGCGTTGACTCCCAGCGCCGAAGGCGAACTTCTTGAAGACGCTCGTCGACGTAGGTGCATCGCCGAAGGTGCAGCGCCGAGGGCGGCTGTGCCGAAGGCGTTGACCATAGTCAACGGATCTTGTCTTGTCTATCGATACCTCTTGTTCCTCCGAAGGCGCTTTTGCCGCCGGAGCTTTGTTCCGCCGAAGGCGCACATGTCCATACCAACGAGGCGTTGGGCCGAAAGCGGACCGTATGGAGTTGCTACCCCCGAAGGCACTTACCTAATCTTGATGCGCTGGCGCCGAAGTCGCCGTACAAAGAAATTCACCCCGAAGGCAAACATCTAGGGCCGAAGGCGGATTTTCCGCCGTAGGCGAACTCTTTCGCCGAAGGCGTTCATCTACGTATCTTCCGACAATCATAACTCCTTGAGTCCTCATCCGTTTCAAGCGTTCTTAGGCTCGTTAGAACGAGCGTGTTGAGTTCTTTCCAACGAGACCCTAACCAAGTCAAGGCGTTGTGAGTTGAATAAGTTCTGAGGGATTTCCCTAGCGCCAAAGACATATCGCCGAAGGCGGATTATGCGCCTTGCGCCGAAGGAGGTCTCCTTCAGAATTGATCGTTCAATTTGGGGCGCCTGATTCGGACATTGCGCCCAATTCCTGGATTCTACGAGATCATACGAGACCCGCGGTTATCCATCTTCACTCTATTTAAATGTACCGATTACCATTTACACGGCTGCTGCGGTACTGTTTTCCAAAAATGCTTTAAATTCCGCACAAAAACAAAAAGTGGGTTACCACAACCATCTCGTGTCCTATTTTAGCAACAATAGGACGAATAGTACATTTTCCTAGAATAGAGAGGCATGTATATGTTGGATATAATGAGTCTATGTTGAGAGATGTTCTAGTACTGATGCATCTTAACAAGAGTATAATTTTATCATATATGTTGGATGTAATGAGTCTATGTTGAGAGATGTCCAACTAAATAGAGAAGAAGATGTCAATATGATGACAATTTTGGCAATGATGTACATAGGCTTTGACATTAAAATATCTTCCACCACTACTTTGAAAATGGCCAATAAAGAAATTTATAAACCTCAAGGTATGAAATTCAATGTGTGTATGAATGATTTAGGCCTATTCAATGCAATTTGATTTACATGTGATGTTGAAAAGAGATGTATCATATAAAATGACCTTGGGCCGACCATGCCTTACGAAACCACACATACAAAACTATAAGGGCAAAATGTACATGAAAATTGATAAGCGGCCTCATTGACAACATATTTACTTTGCTCTACTAGAGTGCGCACATGCATTAGACGAATTTGGCTCAGACTCGTTAAAGAGTGATCATTCAAAATTGAAAAAAATTTACACTGACGATTCATTAGATGATGAGGTGAAATCTGACGCGATTGAAGTAGTTTCAAAGGAAGGAGATCCGTCAAAAAAACTGCTAACTGTAAGATAAACTAAGAAGAAACTAATTGTGTGAGATGAAAAAATAGCATGGTAATTGAATCATATTTGATTGAAAACCAAATTATCAACTCAAGAGAGAGAATGTATTTGCCACTTGTTATGTAAGTTGATTTATTTTTTGCCTTCAATTACAAAAATTTGCATGATATCTTCTTGGAAACGCACAGAATTGAACTCGTACAATATGCAAAGGCCGTAAGACAAAAATCTTACCGTATGGATACTAAATATGTCAAAGTGGTGAAAGTAGTTGGAAAAAATATTAGTAGTCGGTTTTATTTGACCAGTGGAGATTACTGAATGAATATCTCCAATCACGTTGGCTTTTAAAAAAATTTTGAAAAGTTGAAATCCGTGTGAACTTCAAGAATGACGTTATGAAGAAGTATTAATATCATCGTTCCATTTTGCAACAAAATTCTAGAAGAGTTAAGGGATCATGAATTGTACTCTTTTGCAAAAAATATAATGGATATCATCTACTGAGTATTGCAGTAGAAGATCAATTGAAGACCAGCTTCATTTCATTTCACCATGGTGCAACTTTTGTTATGAAAAAATGTCATTTAGACTTTGCAATGCTCAAGCTACCTTCCAAATGCTAACAAAGAAAGTCTTGGAACTGTACTTTGAACACTTTGTAAGAATTTTCATGGATGATTTTGGAATTGACGACAATTGGATTTTGCATGATAAAAAGTACAAAGGTTGCAGTTAAAGTTCAAAGGTTGTAGATATTGGCAATCTGCAAACTCTAGACTGATTCTCACTAAGGTTTACCTCATATGGTTTTGCGGTGCTCATCATGGTTTAAGAAGACTAGGTTTGGTACTTATACTCATATCCAAACACACTCACACACACATTCTCTCAATTCATCAATAAAGCTCACACACACATCGACACTCCAAGATACTGAAAATCGACACTTTTTCATATATGAAACAAGTCTATATACATAACCTATCCAAAATTGCTTGAAAGTCTCTTTTGTAACTCTCTATGTATACTACATGAAAAGTTATTATAGTAATAAATAATAATTTTTATCTAATTTTTATAAAGATAAACCATAGTAAGCTTGACTAGTTACCCGTATGTGGCAATATGTCATTAGCTTACTAAAATTTCTAAATGTTTACCAATACCTAGATTAAGATGCTGACATTTCATTTGTGCCTGTCCAACTTCTAGAACCTCCACTTGCCATTAAGACAACATTAAACTTAGTATAACCACTAAAATTCTTATTACTTAATCAAATCAATCAAAACCAAATATGAAATCAAAAGTTTTTTCTCTTGAAATCTAAATTTTTGTACAAAACAAAATAGAGTGCTTACTCAAATATTCTAGAACTTCTTTAGTTAATTTGCCAAATATAGACATTATAACAAAATTTAATTATAACTTGATAAATTTAGTTATAATTAGCTAGACTTAGTCATAACAAAGCTAATAATGATTAAATTTTTGGTTACCTCTAAATCTAAATGGCGGCAGTAAACTCAGAAGGAGATTCTGAACTCACTTCACCAGGATTTTTAGGACTCTCATCAGAAGACAATGAGGTTTCTTTGCCACTATCTTCGTACATGCCACGTGAGGTTGGATTTTCCAACCGTCTCAAATATGCATTTTTTCCATCTACTAATAATTGAGATATGTGAATTTGTAGGTGTCCAGACAACAAGTGAGTATGAAGTAGCTGAATCATGTGCCAATGCACCAAGGATTTATGCAATGCACCAAGCTCTGTGTGATGTTACTCTTTCTTGTGTTTACTCTCCTCAAACATTTATTACGACTTTATTTATTCTAATCAAAGGTGTTTGACTTGCTGAATCATATCAGCAGACGCTCACAATGTAATTGTTTTGCAAATGTAGTCATGAATTTATGTTATGCTATGACATCTATCACACTCCAAGATTGAAGACATCTATTGAATTCCTCAAAGTTGTCAAAGTGATATCATAATCTTTAATGTTGGGTTTCTTTTTGAACATTTTCTATCAAAATTGACAATTTAACTCTTTTGACATTTTTTATGTTGAACAAAACATTAGCTGTCTAAAGAAACATCATGACATTCATAAATTTATGACCATCATATGCATTTCTATGAATGATAGAATAGTCAAGAGATGCCAACATCAATGATAGATTTAAACATGATGAAAGACTTCTACTATGATTCAATTGAGTCGAATTCAGAATTCAACAAAAGCAAATGAATCATCCAATGCGCATGCACTCGTCGGACTTTCTCATACTATGTTTGCTAAAGGAATTCAAAATTCAACAACTCATGCAATCCTTCTTTTCACTGGAAAAAAAAGGTTTCTTTGATACGTGACCTATATTCATCATCCGATGTATTACTATTCGGTACTCCTCTGCATCATCATCTTCCGCTTAGCTGATGCTTGTTTCTACTCTGCTACGTTGATCGATAGTAAAATATAGATGATGTGTGCCGTCCATATCTACCATATGATCAACAATACGTGATGAGTCACAATTAACTATTTGTATTACAATGGCTACTATCAAATAATTTTATGTTTTTGTTAATGTACAATTTGGTAGCTCACGCGATATCGTTTTGGATGCCCTGAAGAATTTAATGAACTACATGAATAAGATGGGTCACAATTACCTATTTGTATTATAATGGGTACCATCATGTAATTTTATATTTTCAATAATGTACATTTTGGTAGTTCACGCCATATCTTTTTTAAGTCATTGAAGAATTTAGTGAACTACATAAACAAAATGTAAATGATAGACTTTGGATTTACATTACATTGAGATTTTAAAACCGGAGGTATCAAAGGTTACATTATCACATGTAATAAAATGAGACAAGCTACTTACCATTGCCTTGTAGTTATGTAGAGGTTTTCGGTAAGGTGTTCCACTTTATACGAAGATTGATTTCTTTCACTCGCGATGATTGAACTTCCACCAAAATGGGTTGGATATTGTAACGACTAGTGGTATTCGGTGATTATTTACGTTGGTTCGTTCCTCGCCTTCTCTTTCTGCAGTTAACACGAGGAGAAACAATGAATAATAGATAGTTCTGGACGCATCGGGACTACCCACGACTGTACGGAGAACGGCGTGGGCGAGGAGATTGGATGCAGTGAGATACGTGTCTGATTCTGAGTAGAAGGTGTCTATAATGTACCTACTGCGGGAACTTCATCTTCGCTGATTTGTGGTAGGGTGGGGGCGAACGGTATACTGTGGTAAGGTCTCGGTCTTCTTCGCAGGCGTAGTTCCAGACTACAGTACAGTACAAGAGCGTGGTTTCTTGACCCCAAACTAGGCCTCGAGGTACAGTACAACAGCGCAGATCACACACGGCACTCCGTGACAGGCGAACGTCGGAAAGCGTGGAGGTAATTTGTCAGATTGCACGCTGCGGGTGGAAAGCAGCGGAAAGCTTAAAGACCACGTTCTCTCGCATCGGGCGTTAGCTAATTCTTCATACTGTTGCGTTACGGTCGAAGGCAGTCGTTCCGGCGGCACTGACTCCCATCGGCTCGCAATAGCGCCATTCTTCGCTGCTCAGGTATCGAGATTTGGGTAGAAGGAGTATTTGCGCTCATAGAGTCCCCATGTTAGTCGTCGAATTTCGAGGGATACGAATTGTCGTCGTGAGTGTGCAATTGCACGGGATTCTCAGAGATGCCTACACTTGGTCCGCTGTTAATAGCCGTCTTTGAAGATTGTTTGTTCTGATTTTATTCTGTCAAAGAGACTGCAACGTTTCGCGTGTCTGTGTTCTGATGCCCCGGCTACGAAAACCTCGTGTGTATTAGGTAGGTTTTAATGGAATTTTCATTTGATTTATGGAAGGCTCGATGTGTTACTAGCTTGGCAGTGGCTCTCAGTTAATGAAACTTGCCTTTACCTTCACCGGTCATCCAAATGTAAATTCCACGGGTTTAACTTTTGTTTTCTAGAGATCGTAAGTGTGGCTTGCCTACTCAAGCGCTGTGGATGTTTTGTCATTTCTCTTCCTCTCTTGCCGAGCCATTGAGCGCCAATGACCTCGAAGAAGTCCATGTCATAGAAATCTGGCATGCACGCTTTGTTTAGGGCACTCCGTAATGACGAAGGCTCGATTTGTTCACCATTTGCTTTTTGTAGAGTGAAAATTAATCACCACCATAGTGTACATATCCGACCATAGAAATCGATTTTGAGCCCAAACCAGGTGCACACAATATTGCTGTACAGCTGGAGTTACGTTTATGGCTCCAGGGAAGCTTGCGTGCGCTCTTGAGTTTCATGGTCCGCTTCTTGAGCTCACCATTCAAGTGCACACTCTTCCCGTTTCATCGAAATACTATAGTGTGTATTTCGAATTTTTCGAAGGCCCAATGCCGAAGTCTCCACGGGCTGCATTGGAATGGCTGGCCATGTTTTCGTTCTTAGGTCCTTCAGCCCTGTTAGGAGCCAAGAATTTCTATGTCCTCTGTTTTGGTCTATTACGGAGTTCCCAAATTTCAGCCAACATTGTACAATATTCACTCAAAGCATTATATTTATAAAGCTATGGAGAAGGTCACTCTGCAGTAAGCTTGTGATAAGTTCACAATCATCATACCTCTAGCTGTGCAGTGAGCAAGTCTGGACTTACAGTACAAGTCTAGTTACAGTAGCCGTGTTTAAATGAACGGGGGTCTTCTTTTAGATGATTTCGCTGTTTTCTTCAAGATGCCGAGCATTGCAGCCTGGGCACGACGGATGAAAGACGACTGACCTCCTTAATGCCATCTTTGCCTGTTTTGACGTTTTTAAACTTTAATGAGGTCACGATGCAGTATTTACTGTATTAAAAACGTCCTTTTTCTACTCTCTCGCATCCTCATGTTTTGTTTGCATGTGATGAATACGCCTTATTGTAGAAGTACTTACTACAAAATTTCAGTCAGTGATTCATGTTTGCACAGATGCGTGCGTTGGCTCTGTATCTCACCTTTTCTGAATATTTCAAGCAGGTTTAAATTATATTGAAGCAGACTGGGTCCTAGCAGCCTCTTTGTTCACGAAAGTACCATGGTAAGAAGCTTGTACCTGGCGTTTTACGTAGAGTTGAATGCAACTGAAGAATATAGAAACACGCCAACTTTTCAAATGTGGCGTCTAGCCTAGGCCGCATCAAGCTACATCTACTCACAATATTATATTTTACATGAGAGTACAAATGCTGTCTCGGTCGTTTCTCGACAGGGACCAGCAATTTGAAACCTGTAACGATTCACGTGAAAGTTAGTATGGAAGAATCAGTTTCATATGATGTTGGGTGTTTACGTTGGGCTTTGCACGCCTTTTTCTAACTCGCTTCCATTTTGTTCCTCTCAGGCCGATTCCCCAAGGCGAAGGTAGTTTCTTCATCTTAAATTTTCTATCGGGACTTCTTAAGTAACATCCAAGGTGTTACTTACTGGATCTGTTGTAGCTGCAGGAATTAGTGGCCTGATTTTTACATGTTTTTTCGGAACAATATTGAAATGTATTATGTGACCTCGGACAAATGCAGATACGCTTCTCCTTCTCCGCGCCGGTACAGGTCTAGATCTCGTTCCCGAAGTCCTACCAGGTAATGTATTGTCGTGGCTATCTCTTCCACGATTTAGTATTAGTTGTGTTTGGTACTACCTTACTTTACGAATGAGTTCCTTCATCTCATATGCAGGGGAGTGCATCTAGTACATCTTTTCTTCTGTTGAAATCGCTGTTGTTGTTGACTTATTACTAAAATGAGTTCCCCTCAATCATGAATACTTGAGAGCATCTACCTCAGTGCCTTGTGATGCTGCCAATGAATGATTCATGTATTGTGTATCGCTGTAAAGAGTTGGCACGATGTTGTTCATGGAGGGCTGTGGAGTGATTGTGATACTTTTTTCTGTTAAGTAAATGCTTGCTTAGTGATTTTTGCTTACCTGTAATGTGATACATTGTGTATCGGGGTTCACATATTTTCTGTGTATTCGATCGATCATTTCATCACACTGTCTTATCCATTGTCGAGCTTATATATCTTGTGACTGAGTCAGTTCATCACTTATAACTTTAAGTTATGAGTGGGTTCCTTTGCTATTCTGCTCTTGATCTTGATGCTCTCTGTTTTTCTTGATAAGTACATAACCGCGTACGTTAATCTCTCTAATCTACTGGATGAGAGTTCTTACTCTGAATGCAAACCTAGTATTTAGTTCATAGCAGTCTATTTCCTCTTGCTTAGTTACTAAGAAGGAAAGAGCGTCGCAGGGAATACGGAGAGCGACCCGAAGCAAATAATCCGGGGAATAATTTATATGTCACTGGTTTGTCCACTCGGGTCACGGAAAAGGACCTTGAAGACCATTTTGCTGCTGAAGGAAAGGTATAATAGATAAGTAAGCACTTAGCCGATTGATGTTTGTCGTAGCTGTCTGTATTATATATAACGAGGAAGCAATGTTCTTCTCTATATTGCATTAGTGCCTGTCGTCTACGTGGCGTTTATTCGTTTGGTACCCTTCAAAGGTACTGAAATGTCCTGTAGATTAAGTCGTGTTTAGACTCATTGCGACATGTATTGGAAGCAGGTCATGGAGTGCCGACTTGTAGTTGATCCACGGACGAGAGAATCTCGAGGTTTTGGTTTCGTCACGATGGATTCTTTGGAGGATGCAGAGCGTTGCATAAAATACTTAAACCGCTCTATCCTTGAAGGTCGTGTTATTACTGTCGAGAAGGTGAGACATTTCGTTTCAATGACATCTTGTTTCTGTTTGTTTGAGTATTATCTGCATTTGGTCGTCCTTTTCCATGAGCATGTCATGCTGTTGGCACTGGGATTTGCCAAAGAACCAGTAACTATTGTTGTAGGTCCATTCTGATAGTACTTATTTTCCTCTTTTGGATCCTTCGTTTATTCAGAAGTTTCGTCTCAACTATGCTGGCAGCGAGGCAGCTGTTTGTCTCACCATCAGCACTTGAGAGCTTCTCACCAACTAATCAACTTGAGCAACTTAATCTAAGTCAGCTTGCACACTCGACAAATTGGCACCGTCGACTTGCGCGACATTTGAACCTTTTTGCCAAAGTTCCAGCCAGTCAACCATTTGTCGCAACAAATTACATGCCGCATGATTAACAGGTGTATTCTCATTAGAGTCGGATTATTTCAACGGTTTGATAGAAATGCCATATGACTCACTGGGAGTATTTCTACCTTGGGAAAGCCACGTGTGGAATTTACGTGTAGCTTGAGTAGGGGCAAGCACGAGTAGCTACAGCACTCGCTAGTACCAGCTCCGGAAACCCAGACCTGCATAATCAACACAGCTTCAAACGCCGCCACAATACCTGTTTTTACTGCAGCAACTATCATCAACAACGATATACAACCAGTTGCTTTATCAAGCCGAAATGTGAAGCTACGTGCATCAGCTTACATTTTTGCCGACAACAGAGAAGTTTATCTGTCTCACACCGTCTAGGGGAAGTTAGTGATGGGATGAACAGTTAGTTATCACCTTCTGTTTTTTTACTGTGAAGTCTCTTGGAGTATATAGAGACAAATGAAGGTGGGAATTTTGTCGTTTTATGTAAACCTTGTTTTAGTGCTCAGAGACGAAGACGTAAGCGTTGTAACAGCCGGGTCGTAAATCAGCCATTGGGGTCCACTGCTGTATATGCAGCCGTACTCCTTATCTTTCCTGCATAAACCTTTTGTAACGAAAATATTCTAGTTACTGCTTTTGGTAGTTTCCTTACCCCAAACTCACAGCTAGCCGTTTCAGCGCACCGTTTGTAGTCTCTAGAAGAGTCCACGACGTCAAGAGTCTGTTGAGTCTTTGCGAGGTCTATGTGTCTCAAAGTATTGTAGAGAATCTTGTCGGTGAGGGTATTGTAGACTGAAGGACGACTTTTTCCTTGTTGAAAAGAGGTGAACAAAATGAATGTGAACCTAGTGTCGTGATCCAGTGGAAGAGAACTATGTCATCGATTTTCTGTGCCGGAATCGTGACTTGATCTTTGTTGCTTGTTATTTTCAATCTGTTTAAAAGGGTTCAACTAAGGCTACTTCTTGTCAGCAACTTCGGTTTAACATTTTTCTCAGTGAGTGCCACAGGCTAAGCGTAAACGCGCCCGAACTCCGACTCCAGGCAAATATCTTGGCGTGAGAAGCGCGAGGGAAATTTGTAAGTGTATGCTTTCAACAAAGTGTTATATTCACAACGTTTCCGACGGATTAGGCAAAGGGGTTCATGCCATAGAATGACGAATGCCGTACGATATATTGTTACGCTTTTTTTCTGGTGACTTAATCTCTCCTGTTGTGTTTTCAGCGGCCTCTCTACATGATCATGACCGCCGACGGGGAAGTCGGGAAGTATCTCGAGGAGACAGCTATAGTTCAAGACGGTCTCCCAGATACTCCCCATATCGCGGCGGCAGGGACTACTCACCTCAACATTCACCATACAGAGGAGGCAGTAGTGGTGGCCATAGGCGAGAGCGTTCATTATCTCCATATCGTAGCCCCCCTAGGCGAGGTTACTCTTACCGCTCGAGATCTCACTCCAGATCGCGTTCTTTAACGCCTTATTATCGTTGATTTTCCCGCTGGAAGTCGCGTTCGTTTGCCTGCTGTGTTGTGAATCCATTGTTTATCCACATGGACTGTCAGGCCGATATTACTCCTTTAGTCCATGTCTGGCACTAAACGGAATGGAGTCAGGTTTGCCGAATGTCATACAATTGGAGGTCTGGCAGGTGGGCGTTTAGTGGATGGCGTATTTCTGTTCCGTCACCAGTAATATAGGAGAACTATCTTATGTTCTTAAACATCCGTACGTCGACTCAAATCGTCTATCAAGCTGACTGAGATGTTTTTACCCATTGAACCTGTACATGCACGTCATGAGAATCTCGTAGTGACCTAGTCGGACTGTCCAATGAATCTACCCCATTCGCTGTCTTCTTAGATGTAGGTTGGTAGTTGAATAGAATGCAGCAGCTTTGTAGGTTGCCAGATTGGAACTCTAAAAGATTTTGTATCGTTGCTGTAAGTGTGATTGCTTTCGTCATCACCTTGGTTACATGTGACCTAGCGAGTCCGGGGTAGATTGATTTCCCTGTTGACAATCGGATTTGAATCCATAAACAATTGTTTCTTGCGACGCAAGTGGACTGTAAATGTTGTGTAGCCATTTGTCATTTCTTGTGTGTATCAGTGTCCTTCCATGGTGTACATACTCCGATGCCTTAGCAATTGATTGTACTGTCTTTTCGAGTTGTTGTGATAGTACCCACTTTTTATCGTCTTTGCAGCCTCGTCTGTAGAGGAAGTACACAATCTGAGAGTTCTTTGCTTTCACTGGGCTTGTGGAGAGTTGTCGCTGCTGTAATAGGATCTCATGATAGCTAATCGACGTTGTTTGTCAGAAACGCTCAAACGAATGGCATACTGAAATAACTAATCTGGTGTGAGAACCAAGTCCACTATACTATTGAATTGTCCTAGTCTAACGGTTCGATGAAGCTTAGTTATCAAAATTGACGAATCACATCATTCAGCAGTATTGTCGCCGATCACCACAGTTGAAATATACTTTTAGGTGTATGTCTATTTAACTTCTGCTAAATCTGAACATTGTGTTCTGTGAAGAAGTGGTTGTGAAAGTTTTCTAGCTGATCAAATATCAGATCAGGGACTCGCCAATCTTTCTACAATATTGGCAAGTTAGTGCTTTTATTAAATCAAAAGTAACAGACTTACTTTTCATAATATTTTAGTAGTACCTCATCTTACAAGTGAATTTAATATATACCAACGTTCCTTCGAGAGTAAATGGCTATGTCGAAGTAACAATTGAAGCATTATATGTATCGCAAATTAGGATGTATAGCTGTAAGTAAGGTACATTTAAATTTGCAAAGACGTACTTGTGATTGAAATTATTGTAGTGACCCATGCTCGCACTCGTTAGATACCTAAAACATTCGATGTAGATATATACACGCCATTAATGAGTGCTGCAACTTATTATGAAGGAAAAGTCTACCAAATAGCTGAAACTCCTATTAGCATTGGTTGAAACGAACTACTAGAGAAGTTTTATGTCCAAACCAAGAATGCCTGATACTGAAGGTCAATCATCTAACTTGTATAGAGCAAACTACAAGATTAGTGCAAGTTAAGAGTAAAATATTTAACACAGTGGAACATGTCACATTTACAACTACAATAAGGAAATTCTTTAGTTTCTCAAAATTGAAGATGTTGAGATTAGTTGTTGTATAGATGAAGATTGAGATGTTGAGGGTTGTAAAAATTATGACACATTCATAAGCACTATTAAACAAATTTGATATATTTTGAAAATGTTAGATATAAAGAGAATTAGACAGGATTTTTACACAAAATTTTTTGAGTCAAGAATAGATGATAATATTATCTTGAAAATACACATTCATAAAAATTTGTACCTGTTATATTTGAATACACCTTTGTGATGAAGTTTACGTCATTGAATCTACATTTCAGATTTCTAATATGTATGTGAGTTTTTGTTTTAAAAAAATTGTTGACTCGTTCAGATAAAATTGATTTTATGTGTTTTATAAACTCTTAAAAAAAAGATCAAGACAGTCTTCTGATGTTGGATATCCATAATTCTAAATAATTACTTGATTATAGATACAATGGTACTTGTGTACACAATCACAAAGCTTCAATTTTTGGATAGTTTAACGTGTATAGAATTTTTATGAATATACAAGATATGTAAAAGTTTATTTTTCATATTAAAACTTGAATATTCATGTCCTTTAAGTGTGGAAGATCACGAATTTAAATTGAGATTAGGCACAAGATTAAGTATATTACTTTCAATCATGTCCGAAAAAGTCATTTGTTATTGTATCATGATTCATAAAATGAAGGGAAATGTTACTTTTAGAAATTTGAATCTAACAATATTGAATAAGTTGAGTATCATTGTTAATAAACCTGATTTAGCATATTTTATGATTTATGTGATAATAGATGTGTTAATATTAAAATCTATTTGATAAAAATTTGCATTTCAAATGTAGTCAACTTTTCTTACCTTGCTTGAATTGACACACAAATAAAGTGCAGAATAGCATAGAAATATATTCTTCAAGTATACAATGTATCATACCATATATAAGATCAGTGAAATAAATTTTGATCATGAATAGAATTTTTTTTACTTAAATATACAAATGTTGTCATGTAGATAATGAGTTAATTGTAAGTAAGTATTTTTATACCTAAGTCATATTATTGAGAAATTATTATATTTAGTATTAATTATTATATCGTTGTATTGACTAGATAATTTTTAATCATTTCAGATGTTGAAATAAGATGAATCATGAATAATTTAATAATATATTAAGAAAAATTTGTTGATCATAAGGTTTAATGAATATGTTGTAGAATTCTAAAAGGTATAAATTATACGCATAAATTTTTTTATTACTTTCATAAAATGCATCAAAAGATAAAAATGAATCAAAATCAACTTTCAATAGATTATCTAAAAGTTAGATAATATATTGAAAGTTGATTTTATAACCAGCTTGCAAATTTCAGATGATTCATCTATTTATTGAGCATAATTATATGGAATATAATTATTACAAATAATTGATGTTTAAACAAAGTTAACTTTGACTATTGTGAAATTTCTTAACTTCTATCAATGAACTTGAATTTAACATTCTAATTCAATAGAAAGATATAGAGTCAGTGCAAATCCAGTTTTAATTGATTATTTGGATGCAATTATATGCATATACTGAATTATATGCAATTGTTGGTTTTTGACAGCGATGGTTAAATATTTAGGTATCTAGGTAATCCTCTCCGATTTTCAACAAGGTAAAAAAATCTCAATATTTACTTGCATTTTCCTGCAGTTTGGATGAGTTTACTTAGAATTGAAAGCATAAACATGAAAACAGTTTTAAACTTATATAGCTCATATAACAAAAAAATGAAATAAAATGTATCATATTTTGTTATGAAAATTTGAATGATGTGGGAACTTTAAGCTATGTTGGATTTAGTTAAGATGAAAATGGTATAAAAAAACGCATATATGAAAATTAAAAGCAAACTTTCAAGAGTACATTTACCGATTTTGAGAGTAAAAAAATTAAAATATAAAGATTATTAAAATTGGTTTATAGATTGAAACAAACTATCAAAAGATAAAGAACAAATTTTGATACAATCATAAAATAAGAAATTTTTGCATGAAGTAAGTTTGATATATTTATATTTAAAAATTGATTATTCTAATATATTACGAAATAATTTATTTTTATTGGAAACATGTCGATCAAGTTCTGACAGATTAAAGAAAAAATCAATTGAAACCTGCATTGATGAAAGATTTGAATAGATATAAGACTATATTCAAAAAAAGCAACTTGTCTGAAATTTGGATCATTTTAAGAATTGTTCATTTTATGTAAAATTAATAGTATTTTCCTAAATAATATCAATTATGAGTGAAAAGAAATACCTCAAATAGATAGAAATTATGAAATGTATTCCAAAGTATTACAAATAAATAAAAACAACTCAAAATTTATTTTACAATGAGAAATCATTATTTAATAATAGGCTGCATTATTTAATGTAGATGTATTCCACAGCAGCCATTTTATCTTAAGTATTAAAGTCACATAATGCTCAAAGTTCCAGAAATCACGTTACACTAACAGGAGTCTCCACAGTCACATGATGTTTTACGTCACGTCCATGAGCATGCAGATGGGACAAAGAAAGTGCGCAAGAGTCTCGGTGAATGACTGTCAGCTGAAGGAGTGCAGACCACGAGGTGAAATTGCAGAAATCAACATGTAATCCAGCATGCATTCAACAATTGGATGTAATCTTAACGAAAACTTTGCAGGAGAATTCTGTGGAATTGCGGCCACGGAGGCAGACGGGTCATGCGAGGGAAAAGAATTGGCGGGCAACGCCAAATGTCCCTCCAGTGTGAACCTTAGTGCAACTAAGTTCGCCAGTTACACAGGAAAGCTGCGTTCGCACTGGTCCTGCGGTAGAAATCTGTGCCAGGAGAGGATCGTTCCTGTGCTAGAATTGCTTCTCCCGGGAAACAATTCATGAGTTAGTAACAAGATGATGGCGAACGAGGTTCACAGAATTTCAGGTCTCTTTTCTTGAGCCCCGTTTCCAAGAAGGGCGTTGAAACGGCTTGCCTGCTCGAGGTTTAGTACTTAGACAGCAAGGCGAGAGTCAATTTTGTAGATTTTTCAGTTTGTTTCGCCTTCATCAGGTGTTCATTTTAATTTCCTCCAAACTCAAGAAAACGCTCGAGTGGAGCATTTGATTATTTTTGCTCACAGACGATCGAAACCATGGCTGAGAAGTCATTATTCGCGTGCAATGAGCCGATGGAATGCATGCGCGTTCACTTGACGTGATTGTGAATATCATTCCAATTTTTTTGTCACCAATTATGTGCCAGAAGAATTTGTCGCGTGGGTGATTTTTTCGGGACTTTCCGAATGTTTGAAAATCAAGAGTACTTCTGGGCACTCATTGAGGTTTCTTGTGAATTTTAGCGGCGTTGCTCCTCAATTAGTTCGGTCTTTGCCTTGGGTGGGTGTCTGTGCACGGTACACACTTTGTCGTTGTTCTGCACGGTTTACTTCACTCAGACAACTCATTTATAAATCTTCTCTGTGCCCCACATCGACGATAGGTTTTAAACTATCGTTGGAGTATGGATATGGAGTTCAAGCAGAGCTGCTTTTGATTTGAAGTTTGGAATTCTGTACAATTTCCTTTTATCTCTCGATAAACTGTTTCTGGAACAATCTGAAGGATTTCAAGTCTTGTGTATGCCTTAGAAGCTGAGAATTCGGCTTATTCATTTGAAACATGAGTTTGCGGTATGGATCTGCTATCAGTGGCCAATTTTTGCCCACTTCTCATTCCGGAGGTACAGCTAAGCTGAAATGTTGAGCTGGTTTAGCTCTTCGCTGTGAATACTTCCGAAGTTGGAGAAATAGGTTGGAGCTGGTTTTTCTGCAGGATAGATGCAACAGGTTGCAGCGTATTTGGGGCAGGTGGTAGAGCTGCATCTGTCGCTAGGAAGTGAAACATACCATCAACGTTGTGAACGAGGTTTGCTGCAAGTTGGGAAAGATGGAGCAGGTGCCGAAGTCAATGTTGGTGGACAAACCGATGTCCGTTGTTCTTCAACGAGAAGCTCTGGAGGAGGCTGCCCTCACAGCCGAGGTCGCCTGGGTTGCGAAGATGATGAAGCTTATAAGGAAGAATTTGGTATTCGGTACCAAGCAGGCTCAAATTACAGTTGGATTTCTGAGGAGTTCCACCAATGGAAGACTGTTTTCTTCTGCGGATCAAAACTATATGCTGCACTGTAGCACTTCATTTCCGCAGGCCTGGGACGAGGTTGTTTCTAAGCTTCAATGGCCTTGGATTACCAATTCAATTTCAAAATAAAGCTAGATTTTTCTTTACATGAAAGAGCCTTAATACTTATCGTCTTTCGATTCTTTGGCAAAAATATTTCTCGCTGGATTCCTCACTTTACTGTGGCATCCAGCTGAGGGTCTTGTAAGGTTAAGACTATAGACGCATATGAGACAGCTAGGATGGATAGAATCATAGACATATATGCGAAGCTCTGTAAAGTGCCTAGTTTTTATGAAATTTTTAGCAGCTGATATATATTCCAGCTCAGTTCAGCCGTATAGAAAAGCTCGCATGTTTTGAGACTCTTGGTACATCTTTATGTATAATCAAACACACTGTCGGTTGTTCTTGTGTGGTCGTGTTTTCACTTTGTTACTTGCATGTTTTTTATATATTCTGGCTCAGTATTGGAGGTTTTTAAGTACTTTGTTTACCCCAGTAATTTTTCTACCAAAGAATTGCCAATACTTCAATTCAGCTTTTTGCCGTTGTTTCAACTCATATGTCGATATACCTTCAGGTTTCAGTTCCATTGCACCTTGAGGATTCGAGCTAATTCAGGAACATTAGGTGTTCATTTTCGCTAGCATTCTCGCACGAGGTCGTTGAAGCTTGGTCAACGTCTAGAGCATAGATGGTTGACACATCAGACTTGATATATGGGAATCAAGATATATGTAACCTTAGAAATTTTGAGCTGCAGGTACTGGTGTTGATGCGAGACCCAGCCAAGTCTATCGATGCGACCAATATTCACAAAAATGTGCAATGCCTTATGATTCGAGGGAGTCCAAGTGAGGCTTTGCTTCGTATATTACAGGTGAATTTGGGGCGTCTAGTTTTATCATTGGCGTTGAAAATGCGAATTGCCTTTCAGCTCTGCTTGGTCCCGTCAATCAAGCCCGCAGTACGAGGGTCTCGGTTGGTCCTTTTCAATACAATCTCCTGGATCTTAGGATTCTGTATCAATTAGCTTGCCATTCCTTGATTCCACTTCCCTATCCTTCAAACCGATTTGACTGAAAGCAAAATGGTTATATTCCGTACAACTGAAAATTCTTTTCTGCTCATATGGTCGCTTTTCTGGCTAAACCTATACGGACGGCACTTTCTTTGAATCTTCTGTCCAAAGCAGCTTATGCAGTTATCTATATTCATCTCAGGTAGCACCTTTTTGTTATACATGGGACAGGTGGTATACGTCCCCCTTATGCTTGACAACGAAACCTGGCAGACCAGCGTTACTAAGGATTTCAGAGAAGACCTGGACAAGTTCTTGGCAACATTGACAGAGTCCATCTTTGAAGCTAAAGGGCAAACGTTGTTGTACATTCCTCCATTAAATTTTTCAGGCAATGTCGCAGTTTTGGCACGAGATAAGGAGTTGACTCAAAGACTCGAGTCTATTCTCATCCGGTGGACTCGGCAGATCAAAGAGGTGTTGACATTTCTCTAGTTTGAGCCAAATAAGTTCCTATGTTCAATGATTTCTAAAATGGTCACGATTTCATGTGAGCAGGGAGGACTAGTTGTTGAGATATGATATGATATGATTATCAGTAGGATATAACGAGGCTGAACACTTCCTTCCTGGGAAGTTCACCGACTTGACTCTACCATATTATCTGTTTGCTTACAAAACCGTAATGAGTGAGTTCTGATTGGAGGATTCATTGTTGGTAACAATCTTCGGCGTCAAGAATCACTTGTGACGAAGTACGAAACTTGCGTAGAACGGAGACTAATAGTAACAAGGATTTTGGGTACGGATGTTGGCATTGTCCGATCCCAGGTTGTTAGAAATCAAGAGGCTTTTGTGGAGGATGAGTCGATGGGGCCTTTGGCAGAAATCGACTTCTGGAGAAAGCGCAACCTGAATCTTGGTGGAATTCGGGATCAGATTAGACATCATGTACATATGCTTTACGATTTCTTGCAAAGCAGTCTCAATATACGGTCATAATAATGAACTATTTTCTACTTCTCAGCTCAGGTTTGTTTTCCAGCGCAGTATAATATGCAAGATAGTGGACGCTACTTTCATGCAAAAGGGACCTCTAAAGACTTATTACGTATTGTTGTGTACTTGGTTGCAGCGGGTGAAAGACATGTTGGCAATATTAGAGAAGTTCAGGTCGGCTTACCTTGGTCCTTTCATGAGTCTTTCTGAACATATTGGACAAGAGGCTGTAGTTGCAGAGCAAAATTTAAAACATCTGATTACCATCGAGGATCTCTGTAAGAGGTTATCGACTTCGAAGATTCGCGATATACCCCCCTTACTACCGAAGCTTTTGTTACGCATCCGTATGATCTGGAAACTTAGTCCATATTACAACACCTCCGACAAAATAACTGGCCTACTGTGCAAGGTGCTCTATTCTACATCCCTTATTTTCTTGTAGCAAACAGAGCATGTGATAAAGATGTGGGATCTTTGAACGGAAAGTTTGTCAGAACTCCCCCCGATGGATGCAATTTAACGGCAGTGAAATCGGTGCAGGTTAGTAATGAGATTATCAGCAGGTGCTCTGCGGGGATAGGTCTAGAGGACATTTTTGAAGGAGACGTGGAGAGAAGCAAACTTGCGTTGTTAGAGAGTATTCATGCTAGTGATGCATGGAAACGAGTTTACACTACGATGATGGAAGTTTCAGGAAGGCCTTCTCTAACTGCTCCTGTTTCTGGGGACACAAGAAAAATGGCTGATTGGGGCACAAAAATAATATTTGCACCTATTGAAGCTTTCCTTCAGCGTTGTCACGATATGCTCGAGGTTTGTGTTGTACTTCGTCGAATGCGTGATATCTTTGTTCGTTGTTAAGCTAAGAACTCTGAAGATGGATAATTTCCTCACACTCCTCTTTCGACATGTATTCTTGATATCATGAAACCATAAGTACTTTCATCCCTACCCTGATAAGTCTTTACTTGCTTCTGTTGCTTCTGAGTAATTTACAAAACATGAACTGGGAACGGATGACTGTTTTGTTCTTCGAGCCACAATCTGGGCATCCTAATGTACGCACCTGCCATTGATTTAAGCATAGCTGAGAGATCAGCATGGTTTGGTCATTCAACTTGTGGTCAGAGAAACTTTTCCTTTTCTAGTGATTTAGCATGCAGTTATATTCAAGTCAGTTGCCATAATGTCAGTGGGAACGTAACACGATGCCATGGTGATCTACACCTGGTTAGGTGTTATACTAGATGAAGATTCAGCTCACAATGCTCCAAATGTTTGAAGAGTGGAGGTCTTCTTTGTCATGCAAACTTTGTTACGTAATTCACATGTCTCCTGACCCCATGTTTAGAAGTATAGAGAAACCTGAACTCATAGATTTAGCAATTTATCTCATTTCAACGGCCAGGGCTCGGGATATTGTCTGCTGTTTTCAAGAGCCTTGAATTGCACGTGTTGGGATTCATGATTGATGTCAGGTTTGCGACGCTCAGAGTCAGTTTTCCCACAACCTGAAGCTTCCTGCTTTTGGAGGTGCCAGAGGTCTGGAACTCACGAAGGCGCTCACTGACTCTCAAGAAATTTTCCAAAAGCTTGTCAACAACTTAAGGTCACTCTCCTATAATCTACTGGATGTGAAGGTGACTCACTGGCATGATGATTTTCACGAGTTCAAGGAGGGAGTAACAGATCTTGAGGTACTTTTATATATTTCCTCTGAATTGCCAGTGTGACATTGCCTATTTGACGGGACGCTCTAGCTCCTACCTAGTATACTTTCTGATTTCATTAGAGTTTTGTGCTTCATCCATGCCTGAAGTTCCCATCATAGGCAGCGAGGCTTTCTTTGATGCTCTTTTGCATGAAAACGTTCTTGTGAAAACCTTTGACTATTACTGTGCTCATTAGTATGTGCGTGCAATATTCTGAAGACCATCGACCCCGCATCCTGGCTGAGCGATGCTGTAAGGGATAAGTAGTTGGGGAAGACGTGATAGAAGTAGGAGGAAAAATAAACGGGAACACTGGAGAATGAAGATAGAAGGCAACAAAAAATGCTCCAAGAAGTTATCATGATGAAGACGATATGCTTCTGCAGGTGATGATGCAAAATACGATGCTGATGGGCTTCAGGCATGCATCTTCATTGTCAGAAAGTATTGAATTGCTAGAAGCCTTTAAAATGATGGCTTGCCGCACGCCAATTCGCATATGTGTTGAGAAAATGACAGAACAGGTACAATTTCAACCATTGGCATATGTAACTGAAACTGGGCCGACCTCTTTTCTTTTAGACACTATGTTAGAGATGAGTCATCTAAATGGTCCAATTCTAGAATGTTTACATGGACGCAGCCTGTGTGGCAACATTACCTCCTCAGTCAAGTAAGGCTGTAGCAAGAAGAATTCCTGTCGTGCGATCAAATAGGCCTCTTTCCAAATACTCATGCTCTAATTCAAAGTGATGATATAAATAATATGTGATCGAGGAGGAAAACACATGACCAAACATCTCAAAATCAGCAATCGCAGGTCTCACAAAATGCTCGATGGCTCTGGTTTAGGATTTATCAGGTGTTATTCAGAAATATCATCTTTCTTATTAGTTAGATAAAATTAACTGAGTTTCTGGAGAATGTTCTAAAAACACACACACATCCATGATTAGGGGAGAGGTTTACACTGCGAGCTTATAGGGTTCATATAAACTTGAAAATCATAAACATAAGCAATGATCTGTTCCATGCACAAGTTGTCTGTAGTTGAGAGTAAGTTTACTCTCTATGCAACGCTAACGTATTGTTACCGTTGCCCATAGTGTGCAGCGATTCCAAAAGTCTCTACACCTGAGACTAAATGCGTCTTTGAGTTGAGCTAAATGAAAAAAGATTCTTGACAATTCCCCTCGTCTTTTTCTGAAACCAAGAGGAGAAAGGTAAAATATAGGTGATACTGTTGCTGTTCGTGGACAAGGTGTCCCAGAACAAGTTGGCCCCTTCATACGAACGGGCCAATGAAGCAGCGTCCTTTATCTTACTGACTTCATTCAACAGTTCCAACCTAACGAACGAGAACTTCACCCCAATTTGTCACAGGTGTTCGCAGCTTTTGCTTCGGAGTTGGCTATGCTCAAAAAACAGTTTGATCAGCTGAGAAGGCGACCGTTGATGGACTTCTCGTTTCCTCAGTATGCGGGATCTGCCATCTGGTCTCTCCACTTTGACAGAAGGTTAAAAAAGCCCATGGCACTTTTAAATGATGCTGCGCCCTATTTGCTGGAGGGATACGAAGGTCCTGACCTTCGTATTCAATATAATCATATAGTGACCTCTATTCAGCAGGTAAGGTCGATATATTTTTCATCCCAGTGCATTGATGGGGAAGAGATCGTGACCTTTAATGTGAACTACACCCAAATGTTTAGACCGGGTTGGATACTAGGTCGAAGCAGGCTTATGCGGGAACCAGCCAATCAGTGAGCTTTATGTGAGCATGTGGCCGAGGTCGAGTCATGCAATGGCGGGCTTGAAAATATTCTTTCTCCTCAGTGTTGCTCTAATAACTGCTCCAATGCATACTCGGATGATTTACGTTTTGTAAAGTATCTCTTAACAACCGAACAAAACTGCGCTTGGAGCTGAATGTTCTCCGCGTGCAGTTTGTATCCAGTCAGCATGCTGAATGGTCACAAAGTGTAGATCCTAACTTCTTGAAAAAGCTGGAGAGGAGCCTACTGGATGAAGCAGGCGAAGGTGTCGTTGTGTTGAAGTTCGACCCAACCCTTCTCACCTTGTTTCATGAGGTATTTTATCCAGCATTTATTGCAATAGTCAGCTTTAGTACCTCTATATCAGCTGTACTTCTCTAGATTTGGCACTCATTTAAAAAAGTTGAATAAAATTAGACTAAATATTAGAGTGATTTGATAATTTCTAAGACGTGCTTTATAGCGAAGGTGAGTGATTACGGAACTAAGTCTAACATTTCATGGTACTGTTTGCATTGCACGTCCGCTGTTGGTTTTCGAGAATGAAAGCAAAGAAGGCCTTGCGTGCAACTTAACATAGTTGAAAACTGACACAGGTACATTATTGGTCATACTTGGGGTTTGAAGTCCCACGATTGGCTCTGGATTTCTTGGCCGCCAATGTAGACCTGTGGACTCTACGCACCAACGTTCTGCTTGTTGCCCGTGACTACAACAAGGTGGAACGTCACTGTTATTCTTTGTGATGCGTGGTTGACATCCTTCACAATACTTGACTGGTTATCCAACTTGACAAGCTGGGTAAAAAGTCAGTAGACGTGAGGGTTGAACATTGTATCATAATGTGATCGCAATATATTACGAAAACATTACGGCCGACGAGTTTAACTCTGTTTCAAAAGTCCTTTACATGTAATGCATGATACTAGAGCGGAGGTTTGGTGGAGTTTGATGGTTTTGAAAATTTTTGAAAGCCTGAACTGATCTAACTGATGATTCTGTTCAGTTACTAGGTGGTATGGATCCTATTATGAGAGGTCTGGTTTCAGATCGTGTGCTTCAACTTGACAACAGTGTGGAGCCAGGCTTACTTAAGGTTCAGCTCGAACCTACAGAGCATCAAAGTTTAGCTGGCCATGTTTCATATTGTGCCAGGCGAAAAGTACTACCGATAATTTTTTGTCAATACATAATGTTGTTTGAACGTACCTGTTTCATTAGTATTCGCCTGTAATAGCCACCTGATAGAATTGAGATGGTTCAAGTAGAAAAAGAAAAAAAAAGAAAAAAGAAAGACTCAGAGGTATTATGGTTGATGATGGCTTTCTTCTTCGTCTGACCTTAAGTCCTTTGTTAACATTTGTGCCACAGCTCACCTGGCTATCAAGCAAACAGGAGCTGGCTGATTATCTCCATGATGTACGAGTGAAATGCCATGTGGTGGATGCAACGATTCTGCAGATTGAAGGGTCCAACAAGAGAATTACACAATATTGTATCAGTATCAGCGAGGGCTGGCTTATCAACTTGGAGAAGAAGAAAGTCTATGAGATTAATGATTTTGAAGCTAAGCAGGCTGAGCATCGGGATAAGTCTAAAGATCGGTTGCAACGGGTATTTAACAGTATAAAGGACACCATTTCCACTTCCTACGATAAATGTGCGAGTGACTCCGAAGAAGTTCGGAGCAAATGGGAGGAATATAGAAGAAAGGTGGAGGTTGAAATGGAGAAAGCTCTGAGGTGCTCAGTCATGAAGTCGCTGCAGGAGCTCTCCAAGGCGCTTAGTTCTGAGGCGAAAATGCTTAATCCTGTATTCAACACCCTGGCATCACTAGAAAAATCATCAGGTCACGTGAAGATAACTCCCTCGTTGCAGGTTTGTAACTTGGGGTCTAACATATTGACAGTTATCATTTATTGATCTTTATCCAGAGATTTCCTAGCAAGAACAGTTACTACATACGTATATTGTAGTTTTAAAAAAGGTTTTGAGAGTAATTGTCTCTTAACTGAATACAGGTACTCTTTTCTGTCTAATTTGGCAGGATATTCTAGATGTTGTTCAAATGGTTGCAAAGGAGCTGGTTGCAGTAATATCAGTCGTACCTCGACTACGAACTCAGTCAGGTCTTTTACCTGATGGCAAGAGCGCAGTTAAACTGCTAACTCCTTCAGTTTCCTCTGGAACAACCTCTTCATCCGATAAAAGTAGAGAGAGACAAGCAGCTCAAGCTGGCGCACAGAAGAAAGCAGCCGATGTTAAACAGGAGCCCACAACTCCAACTTCTACCATAGCCTCACTGAAGTACCTTCCAAGCTTTTATGAGGTATATAGTGAACTCCCGTAAGGTTTTGAAAGTGTGTGCATAAGAAATCTCTCATTCCCATTGTCAGCCTCTGTACAGTTGGTTGCCAGATTTCGGACAGTACTATTTGCTACTCAGTGAACTAACCATCCTTCGCACGGGTTTATCTCCTGCTCTTCTTGGTTTCATGTGAACATTTTACACGTTTTTCCTCAAAATTCTGTTCTTTCAGGAATGCGGTTCTCTAATGTCGTTAGATTTGCTTTGTTGATGATTGAAAAATTTATTTGATATTGCTCACCCTGATATTTACATTTTAAGTTCCCGTAATGGCTGGTCCTTTTGAGATAGATGAATCCTGATGGAAGTTTTGTCCTTCACTATTAGGTCATTGTGCTTCCTTCTCTTGCTTAGAATACTCACTAGATTAATCATATGGATGTTCCCTCTCCATAGAGGGTGTATCTTTGATTCTGTTTCAAGACCAATTGGACAAAACTTGATATTGAGGGCTTGCAAAACGCACAGAGAAAAAGCCGTACTCCACTAGCAGTACGCATAGCACAAGAAAGCACTTCGAACTAAAGTCTGTGATAAGTATGTAGTTTGTTTCACATTAATGTCCATGCTGTCAGAAGTTTCAACTCCTCACGTGCTTCATTGTTTTAATGCTTCAATTTTGGATATTCTTGCAGGTGATTGCTCCTGACCAAGAAGAGGTGATTTCAGTCATAACATCGGCTGTACACTCAGTTCATGAGAAAGTGCAACTCTTCTTACAGTCATGGGAAAGAAAGTTCAAGAGTGTGTGGGACCAAGATAAGGATGCTTACATAAGAAGGTAGATCATAGTCTTCCGGCATGCTGCACCTATAATTCTCATTCACGTTGTTGTGCTTCAGACGAAATCACTTTTTAATCTCAACATTAGTTCAATGTTTGTAAATTCGTCTTTTCACTCATTACAGGTATGAGCGCGCAAAGAAGCCGTTGTCAGCCTTTGAGACGGATATAGTCAAGTATAAAGGCTTGACGGAAGATGTTCAGGTGTGTTATCCGAAATAGCTGTGGTCCATATTTCACAACAGTAATAACATGATGAAATCTTGAAGAGTTGACCCTGAGTATGGTATTCATTATCAAGCTTGCCAATCAATTTTCCCCAGAAACATTCATCACTATAGTAACTTGAAATCACCACACTTATGTACGTCTTCCCCAGTGTGTCTACAGGCTGAAGAGACTATAACCAATCTAAGATTTCTACGCATCGAGGCTGGTACCCTGAAGCAGTCAATCATCAGTCACTGCGAAGCCTGGGTTATAAAATTCACGTACGTCTATAAAGGAACATAGCACGTACATAATATGCATTCTTACTACACCTTCTACATCTCGCACATACGGCTTTTCTTGCACTTTCACAACGAATACGGCCTACAATAAAACTTCGCTAAAGCTCTCCTCGAACAATGTTTGCGTTTCATTACCGATCTTCTTGTAAATCAAGAACTACTTTCCCTCATGTTGAGTATCACTTCTGCGCCTGCTACCTATCGCCAACTACAACAGTATTCATAGAGAGGAGTAAAATTACAGCGATAACGGTCAGCCATATTTGTTAAACTTTTGCACGGTTTAACGCAGACCATGACGTGCTCCAATCAACATGAATGCGTAGCCCTTTGCTTTTGTAGATGTTGAAATTTTGGATGGTTTTATTCACTTCTCTGTAATGAAGTAACGCCAGAGTCTGATCATAGCATGAACTCAGAAAAATTTGAAATGTGAATTGTAATTATTTACCTCCCTTCTAAGGTAATCATTACTATTTACCTTCTATTAATAAACATAAATATGTACTTGTAGGCTACCTTTATGGATGAAAGTCACCGGTCTTTATGGTTTAGAATTTGTGTGTCCACGCTCAGCTTTGAGCCTGGACACACAGTGAAAAGAGAGTACATCTTGCTTATGATTACTTTTCGGTTAGTTTCGAGTTGGAGCTGTTTTTAAAGTGGGGGAGTGATACATTGAGAGTTCTGACATCAGAAGCATTGCTCACAATCTACCTGAGGGTTAGATTGAGTATGGCAAATGCATGACTGTCCACATGACCTGCTGTGGTAGAGAAGTGATTCATGAAATTGATAATATGTCAAGCCTGGAATTCAAAAGAGGGAGACTGAAGTATCCCTATCTGTACAACGTTTACAGAACCCTGCTGAATCAAATTGCAAAAACGGAACTGGAGTCAATACATGCTTATCTCCAAAGGTGAGTCCTGTTTCTCTGGTCTACGAATGTGTTAAAGCTATCAGCCTTTATATTTTGCAGATATTTAGAAATCTCTTTATTGTTCCTTTAAAGATCATTAGCTCCAGTGTCTAGAATGTTCGTTGGAAGCTTCCAAGATAAGCTTGTACGAACAATGCTTCAAGCAGAGTGATTATCCATGATGAAATCACTTGAAATTAGGTTCAAGGCTTGTTGATCGATTCTTTTCTATTAACTTTTATGTTTGAATGATTGCAGCGTTACGGAAATACTTAACCTTCCTCCTGAGAACTTGGACATGCTGACCGCAACTGCAAATAAATGGAGAACCGTTAAGGATGAATGCGCCACTACAGAAGCCCGTTTTGCACCACTGGAGGATAAATACAAAGTTCTTGCAAAATTCGAGGTTAGAGATCTGAAAATAGGAACAGTCTTCACTTAAACCAGGTCGGGTAGGGTAGGGCTTTCAAATTTTTCGTAGATTATTTGCTTGTATCCTGAGATAGTAAGTGCCTGATGTGGACATATGTTGCACGTAGCGTCTTGCAAACACAAAGTGCCGAACTCCCGCTGTGGGGGAGTCCAGTGTGCATTCCATACTGCCGATGGTGTCATGAGACTGTCGATGTTGTCCAGTGGGTGCCAAAGACCTGTCTTTCATTCTTGCTAATTTGTTCTTAATTACTGTCTAGTTTTTGAGACCCCTTCAGGGATCTGTTGCAATAGGAAATTAGAAGAGTGGAGTGAACTAGGTGGGCTTGAATAAAACTCGGGAGTGGTACCAGATAGACCCAAAGATCCCTGGTTCCCGTGACTTTCTATCAAGACATAACATATTAAAATGATCTCGCAGTAGTGGTACGCCAGAGTATGCTGTGCAGTTTCTTGTAGCAACAGGCTTATCGGTTAGGTGGTTGAGGTATTTTTTTTGAAAAATAACTTCGTCGACGTTTAAATCCTCCTACTCACATTATCAGGTGTAGAGGCACTAGAGGTCTTGTACATGGTACTTTGGATCAAATCCGAAATGGAAAACAGAAGAATTCAGTGAGAGTCCTCTAAGCCAGATGTCTCCACCTTTCTTCTGTTCCTGTCTACGTCTTCTGTGTGCTCAGTGTATGTAATCAAAACAAGAGAGGTTATCCAGAGTAAACCTGACAATTTTCTTCACATGACATCAGGGTAAGTCTCCTGACCTGAAATTATGACAAAGCTGTGCACTCTGTTTACAGTGTATTTTCTATAGTATGTGGTCCGAGCATGAAGAAAGGTCTCGTCTTAAGAGTAAAGCTGATATTTCCTTTGAAATGGGATTATTTGCACACTCGAACAAGCACTCGACTTGAGTCGGTGTAGATGAGAAATACAGCAACCCACCGCACAAATAGTGTGACTAGAATCTGCAATACTGTCTGCTGGAAAGGTTCTTTCATCCCATCTTCTTACTGTGACAGGAGGACTAAATTTATAACTATGATATATTATTCACAACTTATAGGCATCGAGTAGGTCATTCTATCATAAGTAACCATAAGTGTGAACCCCGACTCTGACCTACTGACCTCAGATAAATCTCAAGGTAACTCAAAGTAAGAAAGTATAATATCGTGTAAATAAGGGGAATTGTTTACAAATCTGCGTCTCACTTGCAGGTGCTTGTGCCCGAGGAAGAGAAAATTCTTCTGGAGACTTTGCCAGCCAAGTGGGAAGAATTCAATGCCATGCTAGCTAGTGTTGAACAGAAACTTGAGCAAGCCAAGAACAATTTTCGTGACACTCTTTCCAAGATGGTCGATAATTTTGTTGCAGAGGCACGTATTACACCTGCTAAGTTGTTGATGTTGTGGCACAGTCTCCGGGTAGTTAGGAAAATTCTCGCTCTTGCCTTCTAAAAAGTGGAGAATTGTAGAATGTTCACAATTTGGGGGCATGTTACTATGCGCTTAAATCTTTCATCAAGAACGATAGAGAAAGAAAACCTTTCACGGTCTATTCCTCCTTCAAACAGGTTGCCGACGCGAGAACATCATTTACTGAGCGCATGCCAATGAGCAACACTATTACTGTCGCTGAAGCATTTAAGTTTATTGAGGAGGAGAAGAACAAGGTTAGCCCTGTGAATTATCGATCCTGATAAAGTTACTGCTTTTACCAAACACTTGCTTTGTCTACTTTACTTGATGCCATCCATTAGAGCTCAGTTTTGCAAGAGTTATCAAAGAGGGAATGCTCTTTTCAACACATGTATATCTAAATGCAGCTATAGTTTTTTGAGTTGCAAGCAAGAGTGGATCATGAAACATGACACATACCGAGGGGTTAATTTAAGCAGACTTGATGTATATCGGTGCTAAACACTCTAAGAGACTTCTGGATCGATAACACACGACAAACCCTCCTTTTAACGTAATCTAACTACGAGAAAATGTTGGCGAAGGTAGAACGTGTTACTGGAGTTCCCGTAGTTATTAGTCTTTGTTTCTCGTTTCGGTTGCATGCTTTTTCAACGATTACATCGATTCTGCCATAGCTAGAGCCCACATGATCGTAACTACCGGCTCTGTACTCTTGGTTCCCTTGCGTGTTGAGTCCTTGTAGTTGATCACGTGTTCATTTGTATGCTTATTCACTGGCCATTGATTTCTAATCTCCAACTCGTAACAGGTGCAAGTGTTCCAACAAAGAGGAACAGATCTATGGGCAGGAATGAGTTTGTTCGGAATGGAGAAACTTTCCAATAAGGAAAATTTGCAAACTCTGAAAGAACTTGAGCTTCTTCAGAATATGTGGGGACTCAAAAAAGAATGGCAGGAATCTTTTGATGGCTGGAAAGATGGGTTATTTAGTGAGCTCGATGTACCTCTTATGGAGAGTTCGGCACAAGTTATCAGTAAGCGAGTATTCAAGATAGGTCGTGAGACCAAAACGTAAGGTTCAAGCGATGATGCTTCATGTCTTCATTGTTTCGTTCTCGTGTCAGTACTAATTATTCTCAAGTGCTTCTTCTACTTGCCTTTTAAATACTTCTGACGTCGCTCGCTTTAGACAAATAAATATATCTCAATGTTTTGGTTCTCTCAGGGCTTTGTACTTCAGTATGGGCGAAAGATCCTAGTGTACATATATCAAGACTTACATAGCTCAAGAGCATTTTGACTCTGTTATGCAGATGGGGAGTCTGGACTGCCCTCAAGGAAACAATTGATGCATTCAAGACAACTTTGCCACTAACGGTGGATCTGCGGAATCGTGCAATGCGAAAACGGCATTGGGATCAACTCGTAGAGCATGTGGGACAAAAGTTTGATCCAACCTCCAAGGAGTTTACCCTGGCCACGGTGAATAAACTCCGAAGCTTCCAAGCTAATTTTTTGATCTGTTCTGTCAAGTTCTATCATGCAATTAGCAAAGGCGTTCTTCCTCCGTGCCACTTGAGACTTTACAGTTTGAAGTCATGACATGTATTTCTAGGTTGCAGAGCTTCGTCTTGATCTGCACGCGGAGTTTATTTGTGAGCTAAGTGTTGCAGCTAGTAAAGAGCTGGCAATAGAGGAAGCCATTGGGAAAATTGCTGAAGTTTGGGCTACGTTTGAGCTGGATATGGTCGAAGAGAAAGGGGTATGACGTTTTTCCGACATTTCTTTGTTCTCTTGGTTCTCTATCAGGAGGAAGTGCTGTATTACGAATTTTGATATATGAATATGGGATGATCTTGACCCGTAGAAGATTCATACAACTCATTCTCAAATGTGTTAACCAATTTGGTCATGGGGCCACAGCCTTTTCGTATTCCATTTGCAGCATTGTGTTAGATGGATCGAGTGTCTCCCCTGATGCTCCCACTGACTCTCTTTCTATAGCCTTACCTTTCTAGACCCCCACTCACCCTCAGGTAGGGTCTGAAGAGTCGCAAGACTTGGGCTTGATTTCAGTAAACGGAGTGATTTAAAGATAGTTTTGGCCTCTCTTGGAGTTGCCATAGGTTGCTCACACCTAACCGGACCCTCAGGTAGATTCTGAGCAATGCTCCTAAGGGGCTGCTTACACATGATCCAGGGACAACAAGAAGCAACATTATAGGGGGGCCAAGTACCTTTGTACTCCTAGAATAGTTACTTTTCTTGATAGAGCAACATTTGAAAGAAATTAAGAGCGTGTTTCAATTAGAGTATATTCATTTTTTGAGCCTCGAAACTCATTACCGAAACCCTAAAACGGATTGGCTGGTGACTTCTCAGTCCTGTAGTAACCATGAAGGAAATATTTAGTAAAATCCATTAACTGAATCCATTACTCACATTTTACTGTAACTCAGTTACAGTATTGCCTGATTCTGATGAATTCACAAGGACAACTTCCGTTCTGGAGGCCTATAACATCTATTATTCTTGCAGGTGTGGAGGTTGAGGGGAACGGAAGAACTATTTGCTCAACTGGAAGAGAATAGGTTAGCGTTGTCGTCCATGAAAGCAAACCGCTTTCATATACACTTCGCTGCAGACATCAACAAGTGGGAAAAGGATTTATCCTTGCTGTCAGAAACAGTTGAAATGATCGTTCAGGTACTCAGCTCGCTTGTACCTTATCATTGCGTATCACTCTATCAACCAAATATCCCACTCGGTTTCATATATTTGACGAGAATAACAGCTTTATCTTCCTTTCATTGGATCATCACATAAGTCATTGGTTGTAAGGGTTTTGTTTAAGGTTTATAGCCTTAGTATCAGTTTGGACGAACACGCTAGCTAGCAGGGATGGTTATTCAGAAAATCGAATCGATTACAAACTTGTCTTATTCGACTCAACTATATTAGGTCTATCAGTCATTCGAACTTCTGCAATGACTATTTAGTAAGTGCAATTAGCCGATTCTGTATCAAAGAGAAAAATTGTTTATCATGTAGGTCCAACGATCATGGGCTTATCTGCAAAACATATTTATCGGATCCGAGGATATCCGGAAGCAGTTACCTGCAGAGTCTGCCAAATTTGATGGCGTCAATGACTTATTTATAAGTACAATCAATACGATCGGGGCAAGTCATCTTCATATTCTCTTTCGTTGGTTTCTCTGGTTTCAGTATAATATTGTTCTTTTAGTGACATTGCAATTTTTGGACACTGTGATACTCTGAAGAAAACAAATTCAAAAGGGATCATGCAGAAAGTAAGTGGTAGAAATCCGCAAGATCAAAACCTAATAATCATTATTCTTCCTACAATTTCTTCCTGTTGACAGGCAGAAAAAGTTGCAACAAAGGCGATTTGTAAACCTGACTTGCTGAAAACTTTCATGGATTTGGACAAAGGTCTGGAGATGATTAAAAAATCTCTAGATAATTACCTTGAAAATAAACGTCAACAATTTCCGCGCTTTTACTTTCTTTCAAATGAGAACCTTCTCGACATTCTCGGTCAAGCGAAGGACCCTCGCAATGTGCAGGTAACACTCAGATGCATGAACGTCTTTAGAAGTCAAGGTTTTTGACAAGATCGGTCTACTCAAGATATAGATTTTTTAGATCCAGTGTCCAAGACCCATTCACACGAGAAAATGATCTTGTCCACACTTTTCCTCTTAAGAATGGATTCAAATGATTCTACTCAATATGCAAGGGTGATATCTGGAAGGCGTGGCAAGCTTTAACGGCGGTGCACATGCTATAGAATGCATGTGTACTTGTATATTGATTTGATTGTTGTCGAAGCTCATACAGAAAACGAAATATCCACGACAAGTGTCATAGACTGAGTAGGTGTGACTTAGGCAGGTTCTACCTTTAGGTGGGTTCACTTCATGTGTGTTCAGGTCACAATTTTGAGCTTAAAACCACATAAGATCACTTATGGCTGGGTCACAGATCAATAAAGAGGTCTGTGGTGACTTCCAGTCCGGAACAAACAAAGTACTACGGTATGTCAGTTTCTTGGCAGTCCCGGACTCATGACTAATGCGTATGTTGGTGCCCAGCCGCACTTGAAAAAGTGCTACGAAGGGATCAAGAAACTAGAAATGCATGAACCTGGGAAAGATGGCCGGCGACATTATGAAGCTTCTGGAATATACTCTCCGGATGGAGAGTACCTTCCGTATTCAACACCTGTAGTTCTGGACACTCGACCGGAGGATTGGCTTATTCTGGTGAGTATTGTTGCCCAGATGTGGAAACAAGATGTAGTTGTGATTCATATGGATTTCTTGTGTTTCCCCTTCTGCTTGAGAGGGGGAAGAAAAGTAAAGAGTTCTGAGCTGTGTTACAACCTTGAGTCGGCAGAGGCGAATCTTTTCTGCTCATTCCTCACTCAAAGATGCTTCTCACAATAAAAGTCCTTTGAGACCACTTCAATCTTTGACTTCAATAACATCTGGTATAGGTTGAGTTGGCGATGCAAGCGGCGGTGAAAGTACATCTCTTTCAGACTCTGGAGGAAACCAAAACGCCGAAGAAGGAGAAGTGGGTGAAAGAGAATCCTGGACAGTGTTTAATCAGGTTGGCAAGGGTGACATGTGCAACGAAAAAAGTACTTCGAATTTTGTCTGTTACTTCGTTGATTATAATCGTTGAGATTCAGTGAGATCAAGTGATGATGGATGTTTTGATTCAGTGACTTGTCCCTTCAGTGCTGGGCAAATAAAGTGGACCACAGATTCCGAGAGAGCTCTCACGCAAATGGCAGCTGGAAGCAAGGGAGCTCTACGAAAGCTTTACAAGAAATGGATCAGTTATCTGAATAAATTGACCGCCATGACTCGTATGAAACTAACTAAGATTGATCGGAATAAAGTGGTGAGACTTCATCCAGTGTGTCCATTTACTTTTGTGGAAGATAGTGATGGGGAGGAAACTCTACTACAAGACCTGATGCAAGCTATAAGTGAGTTCGTATAATTATAATAATAACATTCAGGCGTTTGACGAAGAATCTCATGCGATTAAGTACTTTCTTTTTTGTTACTTATCCAGATACCCCTGAAAGAATTTTCAATATAAGATAATTCCCTGATACGTGCAGACAGCTTTGATAACAATTGAAGTACATTCACGAGATGTGATCGAGAAGCTAGTTAAGGTGGGATGTGCTTCTCCTGAAGAATTCGAATGGTCATCTCAGTTGAGGTTTTATTGGGAGAACAATGACGTGGCGATTAAGCAAGTGAGTTTTTCTTCATCTTTTCCTACTTTACACTTTGTTTTAACTTGGTAGCGTGATGTGATTTCCTTAGTAAGACGCTTGCCTTAGATATTACCTTAATACCGGGTGATGTCAGTAAGTTTTAATGTAAGAGTGTTTAGGCAGTATACGGATATGTCTTTCACAATTTGACCTTGTCAAATTGTGAGAGACTTTGTCTTCTTTTCAGAGATTTCACAGTTTAAGCCAAGCAAGCGTACATTTTGTTAGTGATTTAACTCTTAGCCAGGACAATGAATAGTGTCTTCTTCGTGCAAAAGTGGATTTTTTCAGAGGGTAAAACTTCCGTGCCATGTGCAGGTGTTGTCAAGATTTATCTATGGCTATGAATATCAAGGAAACAACGGCCGCCTTGTGGTGACTCCATTGACAGATCGGTGCTACATCACACTTGGAGCGGCTATGTTCACTCGCCGAGGAGGAAATCCTCTTGGTCCTGCCGGTACAGGGAAGACTGAAACTGTGAAAGATTTTGGCAAAGCACTCGCCAGGTGATGATCTATACCGTCAGTTTTATTGGAGAGCTAAACAGCTAAGTGATCATGTGAAAATGTTATGAATAGTTTATGTCTTTATTCGTAGAAAAAAGTGTGACTCTTACTGTCAAAGACATGGTGGACATTTTGCAGGTACGTTATTGTGTTTAATTGTTCGGATGGAGTGGACTACAAAATGACAGGAAAAATCTTCTCTGGAGTTGCTCAAACTGGAGCATGGGTGTGTCTCGATGAGTTTAATCGGATAGAGGTGGAGGTGTTGTCTGTGGTAGCTACTCAAATTGCCTCAGTGATGAGTGCCATTAAGCTGGGTCTTGATCGATTCGTCTTCGAAGGGGTTGAGATGCGTCTCATTCGAAGCTGCGGAATCTTTGTCACTATGAATCCTGGATATGCAGGTCGTAGTGAGCTACCAGAAAACTTGAAGGCGATGTTGAGGCCAGTTTCCATGATGCTTCCTGATTTTACACTTATTGCAGAGAATATGCTCTTTAGCGAAGGTTTTCAAACCGCAAAGGTTCGGCAACAACGCTGTAACCTTATGTTTGTAATGTGAAGACATGGTTTAGCGAAAGAATTGGTTGGTTAAAAGTCCAATTTTTTGGTTTATTTTTAGCTTGACAAATTCTCTAGTTTAGTACATGCTGCTTCCTTCCACCTGTGACAGACAACCATAATCTCCATGTGAATTATTTTTCTTGGTATCCAGTGCAACTCATGGGAAGGGATTGATTCAGGTTCTTGCGAAGAAGGTGATAGCTGTCATGGAGCTTTCTCAGAGGCAGCTCTCAAAGCAGGATCATTATGACTACGGGCTTCGATCCTTTGTTATACCCATTGCTCGAGCAGCTGGATCGACGAAAAGGGTGGACCCTGACTTACCGGAGGATGTTATATTGCAACGGGCTATGAGAGATCTTATCAAGCCAAAACTTATATATGCAGATCTTCCCCTCTTCAATGCGTTGTTGTCAGATCTATTTCCCGGTTTGGAGCTGGCACCGAAGGAAAGTGAGTTTTTGAGAAAAGCCATCGAAGAAGATCTTGTGTCTCGGGGACTACAAGTGGTACCTCCTTTTGTCCAGAAAGTCATTCAGGTAAGTCTGTTATTTAGTTTTCGCGTTATGCTTAAACACACCGTATTACTACTCTTACGACACACGTGCCAGAATAGTAATTAGTAATGATTCGTTTTTTCTGCTACCTCTCCTGTCTGATTCCAATCTTCCATGATGACAAGCAGTCTAGTTCAAGGTCGCACTTGGGTCCCCCTTCTCAGTTTACACCTCTGCTAAATTGCCAAGTAGAGACCTCCCTCACAAGCACTTTTACTATTTTTCATTAATAAAGGCACAAGCTTGACGCTGGATAGAGTATACTCTGAACTCAAATGAAGATCACAGATGCTCAAGAATGGTCTAGACTCGAAAGTACACCAGTGTCAAAAACATTGCTAGGAGCTGTTTGTGCATAAGTGCAAACACAGTTCTTTACTTGAAGAAAGCATACAACGCTACAATTACAGCCACCCATGCTCTATTTAGTTCACCATGGATTCGCTGAAACATAACAGATCCTCTTGGAACAAGCAGACCCATGTGTTTACGTACTGACGATCTAGCTTTTGGCACCTCTAATCAATTTTCCAGTAACACTACGACAATTTGATGATGTCCTTTATTGCGTTTACAGCTGTATGATTGCATGCTAGCGAGGCATGGAAACATGCTGGTGGGGAGGACAGGATCCGGGAAAACCGTAGCTTGGAGAAGCCTGCAAAATGCTCAGGGACGTCTGAAAGACGCAGGTCATGTGGGCGATTTCTGGGAGCATACGTCAGTGTTTATAATGAATTCACTTGCTCTGTCAAATGATGAGATTTATGGTTACACAAGCAAGCTGACCGGAGAATGGATTGACGGGATACTTGCATCCATAATGAGAAGAGTCTGCCCTGATGAAGCGTTGGACTGTAAGTGGATCATGTTTGATGGACCAGTGGACACATTGTGGATAGAGTCCATGAATACGCTGCTTGATGACAACAAGATCCTCACGCTCCTGAATGGAGAGAGAATCAATATGCCAATGCAGGTACATCAGCTAGTTATGACCTGGATAAGTTGTTGCCTTATGCTCAAAGTATGGAATCCCTTCAAATGCAGATTCTGTATTTGAAGGGGCTGATGTTGATAATGTAAACCAAAATTCGTAAAACAAGAGTCCACCTCTTAATTTTAATTCGTTTAGAATGGAAGAAACATGGTTTTGAAATGTATAAGACTTCTTCGTACGTGTTCCAAATCATCTTTCAATCATCTCAAATTTTTCTCTAGTACTTACTTGGCAAGACCTTTCTATCAATACCCAGAATGATAAACTTCCCCTCAAGAAATTCTTTTGCGCATTGGAAATTCATTCTCTATTCTTCCATCTGAGTTCTAGTCTGCTTATGTGGGTGGCCTGGTTACTAGGTCCCCTTACAGTGACAATTTCCTTCAATTCTTAAGTGGTCAGCATATGTCTTTAAATCCTTATAAGATAAAAATGGTAAGCATATGTCCAATCTTGGGGCTGTAATCAAGGTGTACTCCAATTTCTTTCACATGAGAACTTGCATGCGACTTACTGAGATTCCTCGTCCTGAATGTACAAGGTTTCATTGCTTTTTGAAGTGGAAGACCTGTCACAAGCTTCTCCTGCAACAGTCAGTCGTGCTGGTATGATATACCTGAATGTTGAGGATCTGGGTTGGTGGCCATATGCTGAGAGTTGGTTACAACGTAAAGTGGCAGCCAAAGTAGACCCGGTGAGTTGCTATCCAGATTTACACTTTAGTTTACATATGACCAGAATGTGTCAGAAGATTTAATTTGATCATCACCTTGATCTGAACCTAAACGGCAAATGGTTGTTTCTGACAACTTTCCATAGACTGCTCAACAATATCATGCGGGGTCGTTTGGTGTAGGTTTTGGTAGCAACTTATCGCAGACTGTTTGAAAGATACGTGGATGCAGCCACAAAGTGTCGATTGACAAAGTGCAAAGAAACCGTTCCTATAGATGTACTCAACAGTGTGGTTACATTATGTGTGCTCATTGATGCCTTGATTATTCCCGAAAATGGAGTCAGTTCGGCAGATGGAGAACAATATGTTGTGTTTGTAGAGACTTGGTTTTTGTTCTGCCTGACTTGGTCCATTGGAGCTAGTGTTGATGAGGAAGGTCGCTCAAACTTCGACATGTTTATGAGAGACTTCGACCCAAGGTTTGTGGTGTTACCGCTTGCTTCTTGTATATTTGTATCTTCTTGCATCTATAAAAATACACAATCAAAAATAATATTATGAACTAAATTGTGCATCCTAAAGAATCATGAAATTACGTTTCTCGTTTACATGTAATACACATTTCTTTTCTTAAAGATTTCTGTAACTCAGCAACCAGTTTTTGCTCGCAGATTTCCAGCCACCGGTACCGTTTTTGATTATTGGGTGGATCCCAAAAAAAAGGTTCTGACTCTTTGGGAAGAAAAGCTTAATCCTAACTGGAAGATCACTCCAGGAACTCCCTTCTTCAGAATTCAAGTTCCTACAGTAGATACAGTTAAGACATCTACCTCCTTATGCTACATCAAACTTAGTCCTTACGACTTAGAAAGTCAAGTCTATTTGTCAGAATGAAGAACCTTTGTCTTGGCACCACTATATTCTTCAATAGAAGGAAATAAATTGTTGTGAATGAGCTATATTTTATGAATTATTAGCCCGGAAAATGCGCTTGTTGTATGTAACTACATTTAGATTTGTTGAAAGTTTAGTGGACTGATGTAAGTATGTCTACGCATCTGTGCAGGTGAGGGTTAATTTTCTTGTAAAAACGTTAGTTACAGCAAGTAGACATACATTGGTCGTTGGAAGGGTAGGAGTTGGGAAAACTCTTATCATAGGCACTGTTCTAGTGACTTTGCCCGAAGGATTAGCTTCAATGGTTATGAATTTCTCCGCGCAGACGTCATCAAACAGTCTTCAGGTGTGGTTCGTCATGATCCAGCTCTTCTTATATTCTCTGTGAGTCAGTTTTACTTTTGGACCACGGAATCGAACGCTCCTAGATAGATATGCCAATTATGATGGATATATCCCAAGGCATTCGAATGCAATCACGTCCTTTCAATTTGAAGATTGTAGTCTGGTTCCTTGCCCCCATGATGTTTAGTGAAATGAGGCACGCTTCGATGTGCAACTGAGTAGTTCAAAACTAAACTAGTTAGAACAGATTTGTCCATTTCTTTATGTGAAGGATCAGAACATGCGGTGTCCATGGGTTATAAGATGCTGCTGACACCTCTCTCGCAAGCGCGAGAATAAGCCATTCATCATTGATCTAAAACTAGAAAAATCTGAAGCTAATTAGTTAATCCACTTCATACTTGGACTACTGTAGTATATTCTTCAAGAATGTGGTTTGTTTAGCGCCAATAATGAGCATGTTAAGAATTTGGCGTGATACATGGTACTTACTACGGGTGAAGAAAGAATATTTTTTTGTAGACATACGCATGTGACTAGAGAATCCTACCTTCTAACGCAGGAAACAATCGAAGGAAGACTCGAGAAACGGACCAGGGGAGTGTTTGCACCACCTGGCGGCAAGAAACTGGTCTGTTTCCTTGATGATTTGAACATGCCGAAAAAAAGTGTGGTAAGTTGAAGGACTTAAATATTGTCTTATCTCTCGTCTTGTCAGCTAGGCTGAGAGGGGACGATTTAAATGATGCCAAATAACGTTCGTACATAGGAAATGAAGTTCACCTTGATCTTGATTTTGCTTCGGATGCAGCGTTTGATCTTATTTACAACCATTTCTGTTGGTGTGGCAGTTTGGATTCATGCCCGCGTTGGAGTTGCTCAAGCTTTGGATTGATAATGGATTCTGGTACGACCGCATGAAACAAGAAGTGAAACAAATCAAAAATTGTCAACTTCTTTGTGCAATGGCGCCTCCTGGAGGTGGCAGAAGCAAGATTTCTCTTCGAGTTCAAGCTTGCTTCTCTTTGGTAAACTCAAGACTCGCTCTCTAAAGATTGCCTCTTCATCGAGGACATAACCTAGTCATTCTTGTCTAGGCTTTCAGGCACTTAAATGTAAAATGTGGTATGGATTGTAGACATGAGAACTAGATGGATCGCTACCAGATGTGTCTACCTTACCACGGTAGGTCATGTGACATTTTTTGCATTTGACTCAATTTACTGCCACTCAAGCTAATCGTCATGTACACTCTGAGCTCTGCTTATGGGGTGAGATTGTTAAATGTGTTAGTAGTCTCCACGTTGAACTAAGATCCAACCCAATTTCAGCTAGATGATATCACCATCTACACATTTCAATCATCCTAAAGTTACTTGAGAAGATGATCACGGGCAATATTTGCTCTCTTACCTGATTAATTTACAGCAAGCTCAAAGAATAGTCTGGACAACATATTGATTTGATATCTTCTACATATCTCGCCATCAGTGCTTGACCTTTCTATTGACTCCTCTCGATTAGCCAGAGCTTACTATCAACCCGCTTTACCCCCAGGTGGGCTATGAGAAGCAGGCGAAATAATACCTGATCAATATCTCAGAGTAACACCGTAGAGTAATTTAATTACAAAGATTAAAGTAAATCTGCGTAATCCAACACCTGTGAACTCTTCAATTAGTCAGATGTGACGGTGGTAATAACATTTATTTATCTAAAATGGGGAAGCTCTAAACAGGGCTTGCTGTTGTAGAGACATCATCTAGGATCTATATGGACCACAATCTGATTTTCTAAATCTTCAAAACACTGCGAATCTTAGAAGTTCATATTTACTTTCTATGTTACATTTCTCACATGGTTAGTACCTATGCAGTCCTGAAGGTTAAACTTGAAGGTGATCTGCAAACCTTGTTGTAGATCCAGATGTTAGCCTCAGGGTCTTAGCTCGCTTGTTGTCCTAAATATCTGTGTACATAAACTTTTAGCTTGGTCTCAAATGGCTTGTTTTATCTAGCCTAAATTTGGGCTTCACACATATCGTTACCATGCTTCTAACTCGTTGTGTTGAAGATGCCTTTCTATTTGCTTCAGAGATATTTTGAAACTCACACCTAACGCACGCCAAATTTCTTGAACAGCTCAATGTCACCACTCCGAATGATAAGCAGATGAGAAGAATTTTTGGAACCATTCTCCTAGCCAAACTAGCAGATTTTGAAGCTGAAGTAAAGCAGATGGGAGAAAACCTGATTATGGTCTGCATCAACGTTTTTACCACTATCTTTTCTGAATTGTTGCCGACTCCAAGCAAAGGTCACTACATCTTTAACATGCGTGATCTGGCGAAGGTAAACCCTTTTACTTTCGATGAAAAGCAGTACGAGTGAATATCCTAGCATTTTGCATCGCCAGATTGAAATGATTTCAATGGAATGATTTTTCAGGTTGTATGCCTGCCCTGTACTTGCGGTAGGCTACAAGGAAACGAAAAATCTTGTGGAACTTCGTTATTACTCCTCTTACTGACCTGGAAGAATTTGCACATAGCAAAGAAGACCTTGAGGATAACTCCAACTTGACTTTTCCGTTTATAAAATTTTCTTTCCAGCAAAGGCTTCATCGAATATTTCACCCAGATAGATCAACCTAAAGAAACATTTCACAGTAAGTGGAGACAATTTTTTTGATACTCGATCCAGTTGTCGTAATTGTGCCGCCTACGTGTCTTCAGGTTATTCAAGGACTTCTCAATGGCAACAAGGATGTTTATCACACCAAAGTCTCCATGCTTCAACTATTTTGTCACGAATGTCTACGTGTGTATGGTGATCGAATGTGGGATCCCGTGGATAGACAATGGCTTTGGGTAAGCGATGATAAATTGTGCCGTTTTTTAGAAAAAAAAATTAATCAGTCAACCTCACGAGATTTTGTCTGCCTAAGAGACGAAAGCTTTCTCTGCTGCTTAGGCTTTTTATTGAGACCTTCAATCATAACTCAGCTAGACGGACTTGAATGAAGATGGTAAAACATATTTTAAATCGTTAATGCGGAGTCTCTTATGTGATTCTTTCCCTTTGAAGTGTTGGACTCCTGAAATCTTTGTTCTATCTTATGGTTCATGGCTTACGATCAGAAGTCTTGTATGTGGATTATTGATGGTCACATATTCGCACGATAAATACAGGATCTTTTGAACTCCAAGCTGAAGGACAACTTCAACACAGATTGGAAAACAGTCTTTGGCCAGGATAAATTCAGGCCATTAATTACAAGATGTATGGAGCCAGGATTAGATGACGCCAAATATGAACAAGTTCCAGGCTTCAAAGAGCTGAAAGAAGTGCTTGAAGATTGTCTAAAAGAGTGCAAAAATCAGCCGGGCATATTTGGCATGGATCTAGTAAGCATTTTCTCGGTCAAGACAAACTCATTTCTCCACTTCATAACAAGTGAAGTTCACAGGGCTTTTACTTCAATTCGAAAACTTATCATGCTCACAGTTGTTAATTTTTATAGCTCTTTCATCCTAAACTTTGCTTCTCGATCACTTTTGATCACTGGGGATGTGGCTTCCTTAATCGCGTTTGTGACAATGTCTTTCTTTCGTGTAACAACGAAGGTGCTTTTCAAAGACGCAATGGAGCACATTTGTCGCATTCATCGTGTTATAACTCAGCCGCGTGGCCACATGCTTCTTGTCGGTGTCGGAGGCAGCGGGCGTAAAAGCTTAACGAAATTGGCGTCATTTTTGGGTGATATGAAGGTTTGAAAACATTGTACCGAGTGTGTCTCTGTTTGCTCGCATTCTCTGTGAACTTTAGTATATTATTAAACTCTTTCTTTAAGTGTCAGCTAAGTTGCTAATATACGGAAGTGATGCTCACGCTCAGAACGACATTCAGCCAGTATTATAAGTAAAACCTTGACAACTGATCGGTCAATGTGTATGCTTTAAATGGAGTCTTTTTTTGAGGCGTCTAGCCACATCTGCGACAGCTGGAACAAAAAACTGATAAATCCTCAAAATGCTTGAAGCTAGCGGAATCTCCCGCTATCAAAAGTAAAGGGAAAAAAAAATTTGAATGAGAAAGGTAATTGAAGCTATGAAACTCTTGGATGATCTTGCAGGTTTTCCAAATTCGGATCACCAATAACTACCTTTCATCTCAGTTTCATGATGATCTCAAGTTACTGTTCCAACAAGCAGGACTGAGTGAATTCAAAGTTCCTACTGTGTTTTTGTTTGATGATACACAAATAGTTCAAGAAACGTTTCTTGAGGATATCAACAACATTTTGAGTTCTGGAGAGGTACTTCGATTTTTCTTACAAATGAAGAATTATGTTTTTATTGCGTAGCTTCAATTAATGATGAACCTTTTTCTATTTTTAATAGATATCAGCGCGTGACACTTCTAGACTAGAATGATGATATGGTTCATTTTCGTAAATGGATTGTTCAGTTCAGTTGACCTTGACTTTGGTGGATTGAAGGTTCCTAATCTTTTTAACAAGGACGATCTCACTATGATCTTCGACACGATTCGTCCTATTGCCAAAAAGGCGGGTGCCGGTGAGACTGATGACGATCTTTTCACTTACTTCATAGAGAAAGTAAGGGAAAGTCTTCATGTGGTCTTATGTCTCAGCCCCGTTTCGCAACAATTTCAGAAGAGGCTTCAGATGTTTCCGGGACTCGTCAACTGTACGACTATTGATTGGTAATTCTCGTTACCAAGTGGTGCAAATAGTGCTAAATATTGTGCCCCATTTCAGCCAAATGATTGTCAGATATGTCACTGACATAGTGTTCCATACGAAGACTATAACTAAGGGAACAATGTCTCCCCTGCTCCATAAGGAATTTATCTGCTGCACATGTCAATGTTGGAGTTCATATAATTTCCTTCTCCCAAGGGAGGCAGACTATGATTTCTTAGAAGGAGATTTCGCATCTGAAGAATGAATAGATTCAAACAATATGAAGTAACAATATACGAAGGTTCCATCTTGCAGGTTCCTGGATTGGCCAGAAGATGCGCTATCTGAAGTGGCAGTGCGATTGATGGCCGACGAGCAGAATCTAGGAACAGCGGAAGTCAAATCCGCTGTTTGTAATATATTTGTTACCATACACATGTCTGTCGTAAATATGTCAGCTAAGATGTTTTCTCAAGTGAAACGCAAGAACTACGTTACACCCACCAGCTACCTTGAATTCGCCAAAGGGTACGTTTTTCTGCCCAGTCTGTTAATCATTCTAAAACACGAACTAAGGACCCTGCAGACATTTTCCAGAAATCTGTCTAGTCCAGGATGTACACCACCGTATGCGAGATGCAAATTTCTTTTCTTCGCCAACCCGCTAAAGCATTTCTTATATCCTCGGCCAATACAACGCTTCATGACTCAACTAATTTCAAGGTCTGCATGGTTGTCGATTCCAGATATCGTAAGCTGCTTGCAGAGAAGAAACAGTATAACCGCAATGCTGCGGATAAACTCAAGGGGGGTCTGTCAACCCTGATGGAAACAAGAGAGCAAGTGGCAAAGATGCAGATTGTGTGCCAAGAGAAGCAAGTTGTTGTTGCTCAGGCGAAGAAGGAATGTGAAGAAGTGCTTGTGCAGATTGTTACGGAGAAAAGAATTGTCGACGATCAGGAGATAAAGGCAATTTTCTACCTTTTTTTTATGTTAGTGTTTCCTTTTCTTTTCCTATCATATCATGGAACCATGGAGAGACCCATCATTTGTCCGAGCAGAAAGGCCAGCAAATCCTCCAGAATCTGAATCCGTCCAACCTCAATCATGAACTGACAAGAATCATATATAAGAGGTTTGTGGACACAGTGGGGTGTATATTTGTGATATACATCAACAATTGGAGAGCGCTTACGCTAGCTGTGTTACCGCCACCCTCTTGTTCCTGCGAATATTTTGTGTGTGATGTTTCCAGTTGCGTTAGAACTAGAAAAGAATGCAGATCTTTTGCTGAGAGTAGACTGAACAGTTTCTTTGCCTATGACGAAGAGTAAAGACAGTGAGATGTCCTTGATGGCGATTCTTCATTGCAAAGATCAAACCTTCGGAGTCTTTCTAGTTGACGACACCTCGGGAAAGAGATCCAGAAGTTCTGAGATGAAGTTTATTCATCACCAGATCATACTGAGCTGTACACATGACCAGATCCCTGACGAGAAGACTCATGACAATACAGGTCAACGCAGAGGCGGCACAAATTGAGAAGGAAGCCGTTGTATGTAATGCTATAGCATTAGATTGTCAACAAGATCTTGACAAGGCAATGCCGGCGCTGAATGCTGCCGAAGCGGCACTGAATGTTCTCACGAAGAAGGATCTGAGCGAGGTGAAGGCATATGCAAAACCGCCTGCTCTGGTGGAGATGACGTTATCAGCTGTCATGACAGTGCTCAAGAAGGCAGCCACCTGGGAGTCGGCCAAGAAAGAACTCGGAGACTCTCAGTTTCTGCAGAATCTCATGGCTTATGATAAAGACTTACTGGTAAACCTTCAGTCTGTGATCTTCCGATTTCGTGTGAGGCTGATCCGCAAGGCTCAAAGACCGATTATCAATACGAGCAGTTGTAATATCATGACCTCTTTGGGGTGCGACAATGTTTTGACCACGCTCTGTGGGTCTGAGGTTCTCTCCCGGGCCCAATCAGTTTCATTCTTACTTTCGATGGATTTCCTGTTTACAGGACGATCCGCTCCTTAAAAAAATTGCGAAGTTCACAAAGCAGCCGGAGTTTGTGCCAGAAACCATCGGTAGAGTCTCCAGTGCTTGCAAAGGTCTCTGCTTGTGGGTAAGTTCTCCAGCACTCCTCTCGTACTTAGAAAAGGTAATGGTACACTTGGTATGTTCTCGACAAGAAGAGATAAATAACAGTTCATAAAGACAATTACTGGTTTTCCGAACAAGACAAGATCGCTTGTGAATTTTGTACTCGCTTATATTGCAGGTCCGTGCTATGGAAACATACGGATACATAAACAAGGACGTCATGCCGAAGAAGATAAAACTGAAAAACGCGCAGGACAACCTTGCCAAACAGGAAGCGTCTTTACAGAAGGCCAAGTACGCCTTCGATTCATTCTACTCTTATCATATGCTCGGTAAACAGAGGGCAGGCATTTGTGTTCAGTCGGAAAGTGAGGAATCTCGTGAGCTACTCGTCTTTCTTGTATGATACATCCCTCAATGATAGCGAATTTACTTCGACCGACAATCTAACTCTTTCGTATTGTATTTCCTGAAAAGCTGTGCTATTGCTCCTGACCCCGTGCAGAAACCAACTTGCGGAGCTTCTGGCGAAGATCCAGGCTCTGAAGGACAAATATGATAAGTCTATAGCTGCCAAGGAGGCTCTTCAAGCAGAACTGGATGACCTCAGTGTAAGAATATAATGCGTCAGTACTGGCTTTAGAATTAGAGTGTCGTGCGGGTTGACTGCCTACCGCCCTACGTTTCCATATCGACAATTGTCAAATGGAAACGTGGACCAGTATTTAGCGCAATGAGGGCCATGATGTTTCTGTTGGGTGACCACGGTCTTTGCATCATGCTGCAGGTGAAATTGTTTCGGGCAGAAAAACTTGTTTCTGGATTGGCTGGAGAGAAGGAAAGATGGGAAGCTTCAATCATAAATTTCGAGGAGGGAATAAAGAAGCTGCCAGGAGATTGCCTGGTAGCAGCAGCATGCCTCTCGTATTCTGGGCCCTTCGCTTCCGAGTACCGAGATGACCTCGTCACTGGCTGGGTTGCCGAGGTTCACTACTGAACGCCGTTCAATTAACGCAAGTTGTTCATTAGAGCGGGTTACATTTATATATGACCATGCGAACACTGCATTGCTCTGCACGCAGGTGATTCGACTGGCTATTCCCTCCTCGCCTGGCTTCTCATTCAACTCATTCTTGGCGGATGCTGGTGACGTGAGAGAATGGAACATTCAAGGTTTACCTGCTGATGCGTTCTCCTCCGAGAACGGTGTGCTTGTCACTCGCAGCAACAGATGGCCTCTGATGATTGACCCTCAGGTGAAGCTCCATTAAGAGTGCAGCTATCGGAGAGGCAGTCAATACTGAATAATAAACAATCCGATTCCGAACCACTGAGTGCATAGTCTCTCAGAGAAACTCTTCATCAGCATGTAGTTCTCGATGATGTTATCACCAACCGACCGGCACGAGAAATGGTAACATAATTAGTTGATAGAAAGGCTGGCGCAGGTGGAACCTTCATCCCAAAGGGCCGAATATGCTGCTTCAAACTGTAAGCAATTGAGGGTCTGAGAAATCGTGGAAATGAACTAACATATAGAGAACTCCTACGAAACGAATATCCCCCGCGATCGCTTATATACAAACCGTTCAAACTTATTGCTGAAATTGACCCGGCTCCTGGTAACTATTCCAGGAACAAGCAAAGAAGTGGATAAAGAACATGGAAGCGCAACATGGCCTTGAAGTTGTGGACTTACAAGTAAGTCAAAGTTTGGATAAGTTGATGTGATGAAAAATTCGTACAAGAAGAGCGTCCTCTTGATAGATCTACTTCAACACGTATCGTTGCTGGCTTATAGAACTTATAAGCCAGTAGACTCGAATCCCTGTGAATATCATAAGGAGTAGACGAGCACTAAGCTCTTCGTTTACATCTCAGTGGAAATATTCTTGGAGCATTGAGCTTCCGTTCCCTGCTTGTCAAGGCAACCGTTCTCAAGTCAACGAGTGACTTGTTTTGGTTGGGACAGAGTGACAACATGATGAGAGTGATGGAAAATGCGTTACAGAAAGGGCTTCCAGTGCTACTTCAAGATGTGTACGAAGAGGTCGACCCGGCTCTCGAGCCGATTCTTGCAAGGTCATACATACAGCGAGGTGCCAACGTAAGGATCAAGCTCTACTTCTTTCCTGTTCTGATCCATAGATCCATCCCTGGAGCTCGACATTTGTAGAAATTTCTGAGCATGGTCCTAATCCTGACTCCATTCCAAGAGATCTGCAAATACAGAAGGCATATATACGAACTTATGAACACGCCTGACAATTTCTGTATTACTTGAATGGGCAGTTCTTTATCCGGCTTGGAGACAAAGAGTTGGATTACAACTTCAGTTTCAAGCTATACATCACCACGAAGCTTGCAAATCCACACTTTCCTCCAGAGATCTCCACCAAGACCAGCATCATCAACTTTGCAGTGAAAGAGAGCAGTCTAGAGAATCAGCTGTTGACGCTGGTGGTACAGAAGGAGAGACCAGATTTGGACAAGCAGAGAAACGAGCTAATCGTTATTGTAAGATCTCTCTTACATGTCATCTACGCACATTGTTCACCCAGAACACATCTCTACTAGCGGATCGTAACTTTAGTGATGGAAAGGTAAAACTGCAAGCTTCTGGTAAGCTCCATTACTCGTGGAGCAGCGATCCGTGTTCTCTCAATCGACTGTGAGGAGAAATTCCTCACGTTGTAACCTCATGAATCAAGTCCCATTCAACTCCTGTTCGTCAATGCAGGTGTCCACAGGAAAGAAAACACAGATCAAGTGTGAGGACGACATTCTACGCTTGCTCGCGACTGCTGAGGGCAATATGTTGGACAACCTGGAGTTGATTGCCACTCTCGATACTTCGAAAGAAACATGGGAGAAGGTTTTGTAGCGCTTCTTGACTCTCCAACCTTGGTCTTTTTAATCCAGGCAAACACGCGGGAGCCCTTAATACAGAATTTCAGATCTCATGAACTTTTTTCTTCGCGCTTCTACTGTAACCAAGGCAAGGATGGTCTGCAGGTGAAAGAATCGCTGGAAGTTGCCGAGATAACTGCTAGAAAAATAGAAGTTGCCAGTTCCGCTTACAAGCCCTGCGCTGAACGTGCTGCCCTGCTCTACTTCATCCTCATCGAGCTTGTACTGATCGACCCCATGTACCAGTTCTCCTTGGAAGCATACACGGAACTCTTCCTCATATCGATAGCCAAATCTGCCAAGTGAGTTCTACATCCATTCGTTGAATCCTATGTGAAGAGGTCCGTCGAAAGCTTATGCGAGAATCTCTTTACTTGGATAAGCTCGACTCTCCAGTCGAACACAACAACAAGCAGAAGAAGCTAGAACTTCATGGAATTGTCCAATTAGTCTGAAGTGAAGTGCTTCTTCTCGACTGATGGATGTGCCTAACTCAGGTCTGATAACATCAACGAGCGGATCAAAGGGCTTAATGAGTTTCACACTTATGCCGTTTACAAGTACACGACTCGTGGGCTTTTCGGAAAGCACAAGTTGTTGCTGTCGCTTCAGGTATTTTGAAAGCCGTCGGTGTCTTCTGTTGGGAAAGGTTTTGCCTCGGTGCTGAGGATGGAATTGTTCCAAAATTGGATGGGATGTGGGCAGTGCTGAGAAAGTTCTCTCCTGCCTGCAGATATGTGCCAAGATTCTTATGAGAATTGGAGAAATCACGAGTGAGGAGTGGGGCTTCTTCTTGAAAGGAGGAATTGTGATGGACAAGGCAACTCAGATCCCGAACCCCTTCCCGAATTGGATCAACGAAGAGATCTGGGACAATCTCACCGAGATTACGAAGATACCTCCGTTTGAAAACCTTGTAAGCCGAACCGAATAACTGAAACACCCACATAGCAATCGAACTAATATCAGATCTCTAAATCGTGGAGTCGATGCTCCCAGAAATTCCTCATTCTATGCTATATCACAACTTGAGTTACTTGCGAAACAGCATGTTCCCTCAGCCAGCTCATTAAAATTTCGCGCAGCAATTTTGGAGTTATGGAGTGTTTCAGACTGACCACACGTGCATGACTTCAGCTGGACAGCTTGAAAGGAGATCAAGTGAAGTGGATGGATTGGTACAAGAATCCTGAGCCCGAAGAAATTGAGCTCCCCGGGGACTGGGAGGAGAAATGCAGTGAACTTCAACGCATGATGCTCCTGCGTTCGTTCCGAATGGTTTGGAAATCAGGACCATTTGATATTCGCTATTATAAGCTTCTAGTGCCGCTGTTCTGGACTATTACACCACTTTGTCTGTTCCTTTTATATCCAGATTGCGATGCACGATCAGAGGGACCCGTTTTCTCATCGGGTTGATCTGGTCCAAATGCAGGATCGGATCATCTTCTCGTGCACAACCTACGTCTCCAACTTTCTGGGACAAAAGTTCGTCGAACCCCCTCCTCTGGATTTGGGAGATTCTTACGGAGACTCAGTGCCGTCAAGTCCTCTGCTTTTCATCCTTTCTGCCGGTACAGCTCAAAACGCACCCCATGACATTCTATCACAGAATCCTTCTCTGTGGGCAATTCTGAAACCAATTCTGGAATCCTAATGAAACTGTTGTCACCCACCATCTAGCCTCCCGTAGTCTGTAAGAGCTATCTGTTTTTTCTGCAATTCACGCCCCGGCCAAAACATACAGGAGTTGATCCAACTACTGGCTTGAGGCAATTCGCTACCTTGAAAGGAATGGATAACGACTTCCACGCTGTGGCACTTGGGCAAGGCCAAGCCCCCGTCGCCATCAAGCTAATCAACAACGCAGTAAGCCTTTCATACAAATCCTGCAAAGAAAGAAAGTTGGACCAGAATAAATAGGCCGCAGAATTATCAACTTACAAATGCACCCTCCCCCCAGATTCCGATTTAGTTTGATTGCAACGCTCGAAATTACTGAAGCTCTGCAGCAGTCTCGTGTTCATTAAGTGAACTATACTCTGCTCGAGTATAATCAAATGCCTATTCTCAATTTTGCAGTCCAAGTCCGGAGGATGGGTGTTTCTGGCGAACTGTCAGCTCATGACCAGCTGGCTTCCTGCGCTGGAAAAGATCATTTCCACTCTGGAGAAGAGCAAACCCAACCCAGGCTTCCGATTGTGGCTATCGAGCGTCCCCACCGATAAATTTCCAATAGGCATTCTTCAAAGGAGCGTCAAAATGACAGCTGAGCCTCCCAAGGTATGCATCAGAAGCCCCAGAGGGATTCGAATATGGCGCCTGCAGGAAACAAACAAGGACCCGTCTTTCCAAGTCGTCGTAACGTGGGCATATCATGATTCTGCAGGGTCTCCGAGCTAACCTGCTGAGGATGTATAACACTGTAACGGAGGAGTCATTCTACAAGTGCAAGAAACAAGACAGATATCAAAAGCTCTTCTTCGCTCTAGCCTATTTCCACAGCGTACTGCTGGAAAGGCGCAAGTTCGGAAACCTGGGTCTCAATATACCTTATGATTTCAATGACACAGATTTTGAGGTGTTGATCTCGCCTTCTTTCACACACTTCACTCCTTTCTCTTCCTTAATCCTCGCATCCACTCCTAATGTAATGAATTTCCCGACGAAGTTTTTCTGCGCCTCTAAAAACAGTCTACTACGAGAGAAATTGTTACCTTGATTGAAACCTCACATGTGAGCTCGGCTATAATCCCTTTTGTACCAAATTCACAACCTGGGCACCCTGATTGTGCCAACAGGTGTCGGATGATTTGCTCAAGTCCTACCTAGATGAGTATGTGGAGACTCCTTTTGAAGCTCTGAAGTTTTTGATATCACAAGCTAACTACGGTGGGCGTGTGACTGATGAGCTCGATCGGAGAGTACTATCTTCCTACCTGAATCAATTCTACTGTAAAGAAATTCTGACCACTCCGAATTTCGAGCTTTCTTCGCTGTTGGCATACCATGTGCCTGATGATGGAACTCTCGGGAGCCACAAGGAGTTCATTTCAACGTTACCAGCGCATGACAGACCTGAGGCATTTGGTCAACATCCGAACGCAGATATCGCCTACCAGCTCTCGGACAGTAGAGAAATTTTGGCTACTATTGTTGGTTTGCAAGCTGGTGCAGAAACCGGCAAAAAGGGGGCAAGCAAGGAACAATCAGTGGATGCCATAGCAAGCGAACTCTTGATGCAGGTGCGTGTTGTGGTTGTTCGTCAAACCCTGTTGTCTGACTAAGAACCCACGTGCATAATTCCAGGCTCCTAAAGTGCATTTGATTCTCTTTTCATGTTCAATTTCACTGTGTTTGAATAGCACCTGGGAGCTTAATCAGATCAGATCCCACCATTTGTGTGAATTTTCGGTGATTTAAAAAAAAAAAACGACGCAACATCCTTTATATTCAGAGATGCAGAAAGAAGTTAGGGAGCTGAAATCTGTAAACAACTCGTGCAGGTTCCTGAACCCTTCAATATCGTTGAGATCGTCAAGTCAAAGTCTTTGGACCCGTCTGCTCTTCATACAGTGCTGTTCCAAGAGATAGAACGTTACAATATTCTGCTGAATCTGATTCGAAATCACTGCCAAGACTTGCAAAAAGGAATTCAAGGATTGGTGGTTATGTCCATGGACTTGACCATCATATTCGATGCCTTCGCAGCTGGCCGTGTACCAGCACAATGGATCAAGTAAGCCCAGCCAGCTACTCGTTTCACACTCAGCATAGATTGGAACTTATCCATGGACGATCAGATTCGAAAGGACAAACTCCCGAGGAGTACGAGCGTGCTCTTTAAATATTATGACACTACAGCACACCTCCAGCAGTAATCATCGCACATCAGGCACTCGTTGTGACCGAACTGGAGCTGAGATCTAACTAGTGGTTGGAATTGTCTTTGCCGTGCCAGGGCTTATCCGACCATCAAACCCTTGGGGTCGTGGACCAGAGATCTTCTCGCGAGGATTACAGAGCTCAAATTGTGGATTGAGGGAACATATCCAATTTGCTACTGGTTGGCCGGTTTCACGTATCCGGCTGATTTTCTCACTGCCGTGCTGCAGACAACTGCTCGCAAGAACCAAATCCCAATTGACACGCTAGTGTGGGATTTCACTACCATCTACAAAGATGAAATGGAAATCACTGAGTATCCCAAGGAGGGAGTCTATGTCAAAGGCTTGTATTTGGAAGGAGCAGGCTGGGACAAAACTAACGACTGCCTGACGGTAAGACTGCCTCCAAAATCTACACTCTTCGCTAATCGACCATTTCATTCTGATCCAGAGGTTACCAAAAGAAATTTAATCCACACATATAACCGAATATTATTTTTTTGTGGAAAATGTTTAGGAATATTTTGCAAGACTATATCTTAGCACACGCCTTTCACTTAATCCGATGTTGACTAGATGTGACAATCATACATGCAGCAGTCCTACTGCTGTCGATTGTAAGGCACGAGTACAGAGCTCAGAGAATCATTTCGGGCCGTCAATGTTGCAGGAACCAAAGCACATGGAATTGATTGTCCCCATGCCAATAATTTTGTTCAAGCCAGTGGTGAACAAAAAGAGGAATCTCAAGGGGCTGTATCAATGTCCACTATTTTTGTACCCTCTTCGGACAGGAACAAGAGAGAGGCCCAGTTTTATACTGTTTGTCACAGTGAAATGTGGCGCACAGGAATCTGATTATTGGGTGAAGCGTGGGACTGCACTCCTCTTGGCACTTGCAACATGAGCTATTTTTAATTTTCCCAATCCACTCCGGAGGTCCACCGATTGATGGCTCCCATGATCGTGAAAATCACAATAACTTCAGCTATTGGGTTCCCAGATGAAGACTCGCTCCCCATCATCAGACACCACAGGTTGCAAGTATCTTCGGAGGCACCATAGCGTGATTCCAGCAGCCGAGAGAATGTCATGACCGGATCCTCTCGATGTGGAAATGCCACGCAGGGTCTTAGGCACAGGACATCTTGACTTGGAACATCCAGAAACAGGAGGCACCGCACCTGTCGTTGCTTGAGCCTCTGTAGACTATTCATTTCATGCTCGTCATCAGTCTCTGAGAGAGCGGAGAGTTGGATATCACGAGCCAATGCTTTGTGTGGAATATTTGTTTGACAAGTTGGATTTGGTGGGCCCAGGATGGCCTACTTCATCCCGGGCAGTTGTCCAGGAGAATTCTGGGACTCATGATGAAAGATAAAAGTTCATCAGCTTCTCGTCAGCTTGACCTCTTGCAACAACCGCCAATCCCACTACCTTTGTCTTCGGTGGCTTCTCAGAATTCGCACAGATGCAATCCTCTCGCCCGCACCTGTCCACTGCTACGTGGTACCGAGCGGTCTATCAGACATCTGATTATAGGCTTCAGGAGCACTATTCTGTCCTCAGAAGTTGAATCTGTCAATGGAACCTTGACAGCCTTCAAGCAGTGCAAACTGTGTGCCTGGAGAATGCTTGTGGAACAACTTTGATTCCATGTGTAACACACACAGATGGACAGACAGCGGAAGTTTCAAGCGAATCTGGACCACAAAGTGGAGGAGTCATCTCACAGGACGATTCCCAAATCAACAGCCTGATGACATTTGTTTCATTGTGTACTGGAACGACGAAAACTTCCTCCCATTAGAATATTGCAGTCCACACGCCCCGTAAGAAGAGAACGCTGTCAAATACCTTCAACCACTCTTGGTCTGCAGGATTCCAGTCCTGAAAAGTTAAAGCTCAAGCTGTGCACTGTGGGAAAGTCCGTCCTTGCAGTTTTGTAAAGCTAAAATTTTGCACAAGATTTCGAGTCTCCTGTTGGATGATGATAATGATGATGATAATAATGATGGAAGACTTGGAGAATGGGTAAGGAATAAGGAGCATTCAGTAGAGAACTTGTACGAGAAGCCTATAATGTGCATCGAGGACGCAAGATAAGATTTATGATCTGCAGATTCTGGACTCCATGATCGGACCCACAGCAGCTTTCTCTTCATGAATAGACTGCAAATAAGGAAGTGCACACATCCACCGATTCTTCTCTCCCATGACTACTAGTGGACTGGGAAACGTCAAACAAATGCCCCATGCCTGTGAAAAAAGCTGATTCTAAAACGGCATTGATGCTTGGGAGACTTTCCTTGAAGCTCAGGGAGTACAAGCTTTAACAGTAAAGTAGAAGGCCAGGACGAGGACTTTACTCCGTCCGTCACTCCACCATAGCCAAAAGCCGAGCATAATAAAACTGACTCCATAAAGAGCGCTTTGACTTTTTCGACCACTTATATTATGCAAGGGAGTTGAACTTATACTCTCTGAAAGCACATGTGTTTTTCGTTTCGTTTTCTGTGAATAATTGGGGCAGGAATTCAATAATTCTCACAGAGAAGCCTGGACACATTCAGGTGTAAGCCGCGGTCTGCCAGGCAGTTCAGTCTACGATCAGATTTTAGTGCATGGAATTTTGGGTGTTTTCTCTTCACAAACCGTATGTGTCGCACGTGAACGTGGAGACTACGCAGTGCTCGCGCAGACGTCTGTCGCAGTTTGGTGACAGGCATAGCAAGCACAGTAAGGTTTTGACTATGACCAAGCCGTGTGAGCATGGGTGGAAGAGTAACGTGGGAAACCTTGACCTCTACTTCTTCCAATGAATATTCTTAAGCCCTTGGCATGAGAATATCCCATACATCTTTACTACGTTGTTGGAAGAAGTAGAGGTCGAGGAATTTCGGCCTGTTACACTTCCGTGTATAATACATTCCCCATTTAAAATCACTGGCCCGCCCCAACCCCACCCCCAACCACCTCCTTTCATATAAATGTACCTCCTAATTCCGTATGTGTGCTCAGAACGATTTAGTGTACACCATCTGCCGTAAATGAGCGTGGCCTTTGCAACCATAAAAAGGAAAAGCTCTCAACTCGGAAAAATACATTCGGGAGGAGATATACCATAATCACAGAGTAGGAATATATCACAGTATTTGTTAAGCAATTTACGTAAAAAAGTAAATATCAAAGTCAAATACCTGCCTAGCTTTTTCAGTAGACTCAATAGCTCTTTCGATAATATCTTCAGAGCTGAATTCATCACTGGCTCAGAAGGAGAGTGGAACAAAGGACTCCTAAGATGAAGTCTCTAGCTTCGGAATGCTGTGCAATCTATGAGATCGTTGGCAAATACTGTACCGTGTACAGGCTAGGGGCACCGTTGCTCTACGATCCTACGTTGGCGCTAGTTGTGCTCATTTCATTTTGGTGCTTCATTTTTCTGAAGGGTCGCCGTTCTGCATATCAGTTCTCATGCGTCTGTCATTTCCCTGTGCTCACTGTGCACCTACTCTCTGCTCTGCATCAATAATTTAGCCAGAACCTTTTTCAGGATTGCTGAATTATTTTAGGCTCATAATGAAGAGATTGTGGGTTCTGTCCACATGGCTGTTTTCTGTGCATGCCTTGAGCACGTGCACGTGCACACTGGGATGGTGCCGAGAGCAAGCACCATCTTCTCTCACATTCCAAATTATGTATCATTCGGTAGGGTTCAAGCGCGCCAGGCAAGACTATCGTTCAGTTTATTGGGCAGTTCAAAAGTGGTGAAAAGAATTTTTCGAATGTGATATTTTCATTTTCAATAGAATTTGCACATAGAATGATGCCGAGTATTACTTTTTGAGATAAAAACACATGTGCAAGATTACTGTGGATTGTTTCACTTATCTCAGAAGTTAATACACAGACTTTTCCTTTAAATTTATTAAAGGGATTAGGTTGGATTTCATTCTTAATTACACTTCTTTCTGGGATATTAAGACCTTGTAAATTTGTTTCTGGCGAAATTATATGTATGCTATCTATTAGGAAGAGCTTTATTTGATTAATCGCATGATACCTTAAAGAAATGAACGCATGATTTTAATCTCTTCAATCAGTAATTACATCACTTTACTTACCACTCTTTGCATGATAATATAATTATATACATATATTATATTTTAGTGTATTTTCATGTGGGATAACAGTTTTGCAACATTCAGATCTGATCAATTTATTACTTAATAATACTCATCGATTACGTGGATGGAGCTGTCCTTTTACGTAATCCAAACTCGGACTTTGGCTTCCAAACTACAATGCATCCTTCACTGTAAGCGTACATTGTTTTTCACCTATATGTCCCAGCTTGATCTCCAATTCCGTTTGGAGATATGTGGAGTGTGATTAGCTATCAAACGAGAAGAGAAGAGTTCGACATGTTCGGAGAGTGTGCGGGGGCGATGGGTGCGGCTGTTGGGGTGGAAGGTCCTTGTTGCAGTTGTTGTTGTCGCGGGTACGGTGGTCTACGAAGAAGAGCACCCGAAGAAAACTCGAGTGGCTGTCGATGCAAATCCATCTCCTCTGCCTTTTGTCCGCCCACAATTCAGTTTATTTCAGTACAGCAGTTGGGATACGCGTGCTATCGTAACGAACGAGATTCGCCGTATTGTCATATTCGATTGAACTGACGGACGGTCTGGTCCACTCCACTCGAAAGTGCACATTCCCAAAAGGTTCATTATCAGCAGAAATTCTTCCTTTCTTTTGCAGTGGCTGATGCGTTCGTTGCTTACAGTTAATTAGCTCATACAGTAACAGGATCCATGAGAAACGCCCAAACGTTGATTCATCGGCTCGCCACTTGTGTGGTCACGATATTTCCTCGAGCAGACAGCGCTGCTTGACCAGAAGACGCCAGATGGTCAATATCCAGCTCGAAAGCCTCTCTACTCTTTGGACTGGAATACATTATCAGATCAAAAAATTGATATGTATTAAGAACTTATCTAGGACGTAATTATTGAACATCTAATTCGTATATCCGCTCTTTGATGCCTGCTGCCCGACGACCCTTGGACCGTCATGGTCAAACTTGAAAAGTTGTTCCCAACCTCTAATTCTGGATTTAGCTCGCACTCCAGGAGCAGTCGCATGGACAGCAAAGTGGAGCCCACGTTTGCATGAGTAGATGTTACAAACTACTCTAATTTGAACACGCATCAGCAGAGTTTCCCATCATTTCACCTGCTCATCGACCATATGTCCCACGCACGTCATGAAACAATGTGCTCAAGTCAGACTCCAAACCAAACTTGATGTTAGGATTAGAATCTCCATTCGTGACAACCTTCTTCTTCCATAGGGGACTGAATTTGCAGACATCAAATCTCACATACGAGGGCTGAAAATCTTGACAACTATAATGCCTACTGAAAGTTGTCATGACTCGGTTTTGTATCATGGTTGGCACTTTCATCATCTTTGTTCACACCACTTAGTATCGATGTCGAGCTGTAGAGTTACTCTAAATATCTAGATATCCGGATAGAAGTGTCTTGCAAATTCTTTGATAGTGTCTTTAGTATTGTCTTCATTGAGCCAAAAGAGGCAGGTAAAAATTTTATGAGGTTTGTAAATGATGGAAAATCCCGTATATTTCGTAATGTGTGTAATGTTTATTAACTTTTCTCTTGTCTCGAAATGGTTTAAAGTCACCATCCTATACTTCTTCATATTCTTAGTATTCTCACTCGATCAATTTTTTATTCAAGTCACTACTTAGCTTTTGTCTTTGTTAAACAGAATTATGAATTCTTCTGTTTTCATAATTCAATAAGATTGAATGAAAATAAATTTATTTTCTTGAAAAAATATCTTGTTTAACAAAGAATAATTTACCATTATTTGAGTAAAAATATGATACTACATATATCATTCTGTTACTTAGATATTTTTGCATGCACTAAGGATATAATTTTGGCCGTGAAACCTGTAGGGTCCCAGAAATACCCGTTTGTTTGGAACTTGAACGAGTATTTCCGTATATTTATGTTATTTTACTTCTCTATTGAAGGTGGATTGAAGGGTCGCCGTTAGGCGCCACTCTTCTCAGTTCCTGCTGACGCTCTCGCTGAGACTGACACGACTACCGCAGTTCCCCAAACGGGACACCTCTCCCAGAACCGGGGTCCCGGGTCTCCTTACTTCGTAGGCGGGACCGCTTTGGTACTGTCCCCGAAGTTCCCTCCGAGGGACTCCTACGCGGACGAACAAAGCCTACTCCGCAACTATCGGAGCGGGCAACGGAGCGGGAACCCGTGATTCCCTAAGCGGGTCCGAAGGAGGTCCGCCCCAAGAGAGGAACCAGAACGTCTGCCGGTAAAACCGGTACCCGTTACTTAACGAAACATCTGACACGTGGAAGCGCCGAAATAGTCAAGTGAGACCGGACTAGCGGGTCGGAACGCGCGAGTGGATCAGGGATCGCGGGCGAAGAGGGCACGTGGAGAGAGCCCCGGAGAGCGGCCGGAGTCCTTGAGACAGGGCGAGTCGGCGGCGGAGCGGAGCCGCATGGATGGGATCGACGGCTGGGACGAGCGCCAGGGATCCAGTCCTTGGACGATGATGGGCGACGCGTGCCGTCGCTTCGTGGGAGAGAGCCCCTCGGGGAGCAATGTCAGGTCCGGACCAACATCTCGTCCCGATCGGGTCCCGGGGCAAGTTCGCGGCTGGCTCGCATGCAAAGCCTCGGGTTTGAGGCCCTCCTGCGCCCGAAGCATGCGACGAAAAGGTCCGTCCGTCGAGCTCGACATGTGGAAAGTCGGTCCCGGCCAATGGAATTTATCCGATCCGAAATTATTTTCCGGCCTATGGGATTTCGGCAGCGCCCGCCCTCCGCCCTGTCGGCTGCGCTTGATACATAGGCCGTCGGCTCCCAGACTCGACCCACGGACATCCGATACCGCTCTTACCACCCCCTCTACCCCTCCCCCGCAGTAACGTCTACCTCGTCCGATTTCCCTTCAGAGCTTTCTCAGAGATTGGTCGTCGAGAGGTCGAGCGAGAGGGTCGTCGATTGTTTGTGCGGAGTTGAAAATCGAGTGGAACGCGAAGGTCCCATGCATGTTCGAGGAAGCGTAGAGCTGCACGCAACTTGTGTCGGAGTCTGGTGAGATCGTGCTTTGGACGCACCGAGAGCGACAAGTTTTTGAGAGAGGGCGAGAGGCAGTGAGCGAGGAGCGATGAGGTCTTGGCAGGCCACGAGTGCTGGCAAGGGGAGCGACTTTCAAGCGCGCGGATCGAGCGCGGATACTTTGAATTCCGGGAATGGAGATTCTCCCAGAGCTTCGAGGAGTGCGAGCGAATTGGTCGTCTCGAAAGGCAAATCGCGGTGGAGCGCGGAGGATGTGCGCTCCGTGGGAGAAACGTCGACTCACTCGAGAAATTCTTGCTCGTCGTCCTCGTCGTCGTCGAACCGGAAATCCTCGAGGTCCTCTCATTCATCGCGATCGAGCTCTTCGTCTTCTTCGCGGTCGGGAAGCAGAAGCGGGAGACACCCGAAACCGCGATCGTGTATCAGAACTGTGTTTCCGGACGACGAGCTAGAAATTGTGGCGGATGGCCCTTACATCCACAACGGCCTCGCCCTCACAGAAGCGGAGAGGCACGACATTGACTCGACCTCGGCATCCGACTACGCATCCACCAGCGGCTCAGAGCCGTCGTCTCCGCAGGCCTTCTCACCAATTCAGACCAGTCTTCGAGAATATGACAGATCTCAGAGTGAACGATTCGAGGCCTTTTGGGGTGAGGGCGTTGACTTGTTCGAGAAGAGCCGGAAATCGACATGGAGGAAACTGCGGCATCGCAGGCTTCTGACAAATTTGTTCAACTTCAGACCTCAGGTAAACCTGAAACCCCAGTGAAGTTCGGTGTCGAATTTCAATGGAATCGCTTGGCGGCTGATGATTATTAGCGGAATTATCGCATGGAACTAAAGAGCTGACTTGTATCTGATGTCGTCTGCAGAGTGATACCAGCTTCTCAGACGGCCAAGAGTCTCAGTCAATGCTCGTAGATATTCATGTACTGGGAAGTCCTGGCCCAATTCGACTCGTGGTGGACAAGACCGATTTAGTGCAGGATGTCATCGAATCTGCTCTCCATGCATACGATGTACAGAAGCGCCAACCTGCACTCGGTCTTAGCTATCAACCATTCATGCTGTATTGCAAAGCGCCTGAATTTGAAGGTGAGTTATATTAGAATCCAATGCGAACTTGCAGTCTGGTCTGAAATCCACCTGTGAATTGAGCTAGCAACGATAATGACAATTATGAAAAGAAATACTTAGGGAGTTTTTTGAAACATTTTTTCTTATTTGTTGCCCGTGTCGGATCGATGTATTGACCTTAACTGTCTAAATTTTACAGAAATGGATGAGAGAAGCTCGATAGGAGAATATGGTTTGCGGCATTTCTACCTTTATCCCAAGCCTGACAGTGGGGACGAGCTCAACACATCTCCAAAGAGTAAAAAAGGAACGAAGAAATCATCGTCGATCAAAAGCTTGTAAGTTTCAATCGCCAATGCCTGTCATAAAACTGTTGTTTTTTGTTCGCTGGCAATTTCGTAAGATAACTACAGCTTATGGACGTCGAAACACTACTTGTCTGTCGAGAAGCTTCAAACTGATCTGATCTTCATGTGGATTGTGCAGGTTCGAAAAGAGTGTAATCGAGATGCAGTCGTGGGGCATGTGTGTGATGAAAACGCTTTATCAGAATTTTGGATGCTTGGCAAGTTCCCTCTACCACTTGAATTTCGACACAGTCATGGGTGCAGTGCTCAAAGCTTTGAGATAACTCGACTCGTCATCGTGGGCATACGCATCATCAAATCATGTGACATTGACAGGCCAATTTGCCCCATTTCACCCATCTTCAAATGTAAATACGGTCCCCCTCCACTTTAGATAGATTCAAAAGGTCCCCTTCACAGGGACCTACACAGTACACCTTATACTGTGCATATAGATTGACGTCTTCTTTGTACACAAGCGGACACATTTGTTCATGCCCTTCGGCAACGCAATTGAAAAAGCAGTAATTGCTGTGATTTTCCAATTTTCATCGGCAACTGAGTCGGATGTTTCCTGGAGTTATATTCGAATTCTACAGTTTGCTGAAGAACCACTAACAGAATGTAAGGATAAATAATAGGTCCAAAACATATCTCTCTCTCAACTGCGATAAATTTGCCACTTTTTCTGTCTGTAGCACAGGGAGAAAATGAAATTGTAAACATTATGTCGCACATCTCTCTCACACACGAAACTCAGTAAAGTAGAATTTACCGTATACGTGAGCATCGGTCAAAGTATAATCCATATAAAAAACCTTTTTGCCAAAAAGCGGTCAAACAAATGATCACTTACATTTGAAATCCAACAACCACACCGATCACGAAGACAAAAGCTCTCAGAAAGTAAACTCCAAGTATGCTCCAAGTACACTGATGTAAAGTACACTCCAAGTATGCTAGAGTAAAACAAGACTGTATAGAATAGAGAACTATGAAAAGACCATTCAACGAAGGGAAGAGTATATACCTAGGACGACGACAGAGTATACCCGCAATCTATATCTACGACATTAGAGTAAGAATTAAACTACAGTGACAATCTGATACTCAAACTGCAATCCAATCTCTTCGACACTTCAGGGTAATCCTGTGTAAGTTGGCAAAGTCGGATGTGAGTAGAGAGCCCGAGATTTCTACGATCACATCCATCAATTGTCGACGTCTACCTTGAAATCCATGAGGCCAACTGTACAGTTGTAGGACCTGAAAGCGCAAGTGCAGTAGCAGACAACGGAGTATCCGGGCCACTGCATCATTTTCAATACTGTCGACACCTTCGAGTTTCTTGAAAGAAGTGGTCCCGAGCAGCGTTCAATATGCTTTGATGTATATACAGATGCAGGAAGTTGTGAACAACTTTTATGCATGTCACGCTTGCTCCATCTGGACCTCAAGGGAGTTGGGAGGACTCACAAGTGAATTCATTACTCATCATCTACCCTTCATTTCATTGTCAAATGATCCATCGTTTGGCTTTGACATGTCATGGACATCTTTACAAGTTCTGTTAGTAGATGGTTCACATCTTGTCAGATCTCCGAGTCACACTTTGTCTGCCTTTGATCATTTTGTGAGCCTGACTTGGGGTCAAGGTATCAAAGTGCAAGATTTGGTTTCGATTGCATTTTTAATATCTCTTTTCAGGTTTCCCACAATCATTATGTTACTCCACGTTAAACCTTTGGAATTTGTCAGTGTCTTTTAAAACTCAAAATATTGCGACCTTTTACCTTGATGATGAGGAGATCCTACTGCATGATCTTTTGCACTACACTTCCGATACAATCAAGTGGCACAAGGTATCATATCGACATCATCCATCATTTCACATAGACGATATCAACTACTTCCTCATGTTACAATCAATGTCCATGACCTTCAAGGTACCTGCTAGGCTTGAATGCTGATTACTATTGGAGTCATGGATCTATCTGTGATGAAGGATTATGCCCCATGAGCATTGTTGGATAATTGAGTCTCTATGGCTTTGTATTGGTTTGTGTTTGCGTAGCTTCCTCCAACGTTCGGACATCTCATGTGCGATATGTCTTCCACGCGATGGTTTGTCATTTTTGGCTGGCTGGACAGTAGTATCCATCTGTTGAGAGTCTAATGATTTACACTTATCGCTATCTCGTGGCATCAACTACTTATACATTCCATGTATAGCATAGCAATGTGGTTTCAACTCTCCTATGACAGAATATATTTTGTTGGCGACGTTTTTTTTATAAAGTTCCTAATGTCACTCGTACTGAAAATCTGCCTGCATGTATGATACATCAGAGTCACCAAACGATTTATCACTATATCACCAATCATCAGACGATGAGGAAACTTTAGCTCTCTCCTTGTCTTTTGGCCCGGGTTGTTACTTTTTCTAGCCTGCTTTGGCTTAAGCTTTGTAGCTTAAACGATGTGGTTGCGCCCCTTATGGTTTTCATCTCCCCTTTGATTCTTAATTTCGTGGTGATAGCTTCCTCCTTAGAACACTCAAGAGAAGTAGTAAGGTATGCTCTCGAAATTCATTTAAACTGTTTGTTTAGTACCTACATACGTAGAAAAACGATGAGGGGCCGTAAGGATAAGACATTGAAAGTACACGTGGATGTCAAAGTGCACAACATTACATATTGTAATATCTCTCTTCATAAAAAGGGAAAACAAACTCCACTGTTAGACGAAGTAAAACTGTAATATGATGATAGAAGAGTTGTGGTCATTAACATGTCATCAATTGACATTTCACTTAGATAAAATGTAGTACTCTCATGGGACCTTGAGACAAAGTTTGAGGAGGCCTTGCGAATGATAACTAAGTCATGATACACTCAAATGGTCATCAAATTCCACTTATAATATATAGATGCTCAGATATGGCAATGGTGGGTTATTTATCGGATCAACTCATACAGCTGAAAGTGGACTTCAATGAAGACGTCACGGGTCAAAGGTGCGTGTGCACATATCTATCCGTGTTGGGTTGATCGTCTAATCAGTTCGTCTCACCCAAAATTGAAAATGAACAAAAATCTTTGAAGTCAAGTGAGGATGACAGGGTTCAGGGTTTGTATGAACGAGATTCAAAACATTTGTAGGAGTCCGAACGACATGTTCTCACTCCGAGTCGTGTATAGATCTATGATGGAACAGATGTCTATCCTGACAGAAAAGATTATGAACTTATTTAAAACCTGAGTTATATCAAAGGTATTGTATTTGAAATCTGTGTCACAGTCTCAGCTACATACTGCTTCCCAAGTAACGATCTCCTCGCGAATTTGGAATGGATATCATGACTAAAAAGCTATTTAACATATTGTTATAATGTGTTGTCGAAAAGATAATAACAGCAGGGACAATTTTCTTAGTGAAACATACGCTTTGTAAGAGCTAAACACTCGATTATTTGGTCAGCAGTACGATCTTCAGGGTTTTAAGATGAACCCACAGTTTATGATATTCTGAAAATGATGCACTCAGTCTGATTGGAGCAACCGTTGCTTAACGGTTGCCAGACAGCTTGAACGCTCCAGCTAAAGTTAGCTTACAGCGATAACATCAACAGGAGATAACGCACCTCCCGCATGCTAAGCGACCGCTGTACCATCTGAGCTACATCCCCGGATTTTAGCTGGCCGTTGACAAAACCTTACAAACCTTCATATGAGCAAATGAAGCAGGAAAGGAGTTTACCGAGTGTAAAACCCACAAGACACATCCATAGCTTTCGTAGCACTAAATTCACAATTACAAGCACAAGTCCAGATTACAGGCTCGATGAAGTATACAAGGATGAGGCCGGGCAGTGGACTGGAACCCGCTAGTCCAAGAAGGAGAATCATAATGAGAAATTGTACATGTACATGACTGCCTAACGACTTCAATTTTGGATAAGTCACCTTCATTTGAAAAGCACATCAATCTGGAAAAAAAGGGTAAACAACGCACAGGTTACCAACCCAGAGCGCCAAGTCTGCAGTATAGCAGATAACAATTTAGCAACAGTAGGACGCTCTTTTTACCGTGATTGCCCATCTAGATCGACCATGAATCAAAACAAATTTTCGACCCTCTCTGATAGTCCGACATAGTCACAACCGTGATTTCGCCTCGTCGTCTTTTTACAACAACAAAAAAAAGAGCCGATGACAAGGAAAAGGCCATTGCTGCCACTATCTCCCCGCTGACCCTCCGTTCGTTCCCGCCGACCAAATCAAAGCTCAGTACGTGCTCTGAGTAGATAAGTCTCTTGACAATTTCCTCCATAATAAGAACTCAAAAAGTACATAGTTAACACAACACTCGAGAGTACAGCATCCAAAGTAGCAAGAGGGTTATCTATGGACATACGAAAACTAGTGTTGCGAATTTATCTCAGAAGTTGCCAAAGAATCAATGGGGGGCCATGAAGACTATGAAGTTCTCTATAAGTAAACTAGCAACGGTCTACTCACGACCTTGTCTTTCTCTACACTGCTACCCTCATTAAAACCTCCTACACCAAACACCAATTATACTGACGTGTCAGTATACAATCCACAGAACCGTTATGAGACTAGATTCATGATGTCACCAAGAAACTACCTACGCCCTGAACTCTCACGGAAAAAGATCATAAAATATACAGAAACCACAACCTGGTTGGTTTTATGTAACGTAAGCTCCAAATGCAACGTAGAAATTCACAAGTCATAACAGTAAGACGTTTGAGCTCTGTAGCTAAGTTCTTCTGAATCCTAGTCAAACGTGCGCCGGTAACATGCACGCAGCCTATCTTCCACAACATAGAACCACATAGTTAATTTTCACCTGGGATTTATACCTACTCCAAAAATTCAGTTTCTTCTCACAAGAATGAGAATCCCAACAAATGCTAATAGACAAGACCTGGGAGGAGTACATCTTCGTACTTGCAAATGTTGAACCATTTCACTGCGCTATAATCCAAATGCAACACACACAAGAAAGTAGCGAGCACTTCAGTGTTACTATACCTACCTAGAATGAATGAAAGTGTTACTCTTGCTACATCAAACTTGAAAAGAGTCCTGGGGATGGTGGGCCTAAGGGTAATTACCAGAATTCATAGGTGAGAGGTGTACATAATGACTACCACTCACCGACCGGGACTTTAAACACTAACAATGACGATTCAATATACATCAAGTAGGGGGTCAAAAGTTTGCCAAGGGCAGATGTAGCATCAATGCCTCCAGGAACCTCCCGGCTGCGGAGCTCCATGATATGATTCTGGGGCAGGCGGAGCATTATAGTAAGGGGGTGACACATTTTGTGAGCTTTGCTGAGTGGGTTGTCCAGCATTATAGTACGACCCTTGCCAGCCAGGATAAGGAGGCTGACTGTAGTTGTGTTGAGAAGTTGCTGACGGATTGTGCTGATGTGCTACAGATGTTTGCGAATGGGCATAGTAAGGTGGTGGTGCGGGAGGGTTTTGCTGTGGTGGAGGCGTGGAGTAGTATGGTGGAGGTGCCCCAGGCGTAGCTTGCTGTGGAGCTTGATAAGGATACTGACTCTGAGGTTGTGGCTGCGAGACAGAAGTAGTATTGGACCCATAGTACTGAGGATGTGAGCTTGGTGCAGGAGACTGGTGCTGCTGTGGAGGGTAAGGTACACTTGCTGCAGCAGCAGCTTGTGCTCTTTGCGCAGTACCGACGGCTGGGTAGTTACGTGAGGAGCTATTACTGTCAGTGAAAGAAAGCCCTGCAATTTGGCGCTGAAGATCTTCAATCATTTCACGACACTGTATGTTCCGAGTCATGACATAGTCACTGCATTGCTGTTTCAAATTAGTGATCGCATCCTGCAAAATAGACATTTTCTGTGTTCATGAGTATTTCCCTATAATAATCGACTTCCAAGTATAGTAATGAGAAAGACAAAAAAGCTAACTTCAGGCATGAAATGTGGGGTAAAATGTATCAGAAATAAATCCCGTGCGTGTCAAAGCACTATTATTTCTGAAGAGAATCTGAAGGCATGTGAGAATCTGAAGAAATACAGCGTAAGCATGTTCTGGAGTAGATATCGCTTACCATCCTTCAAAGTCAGACTGCTACGACCTTCATTGTTTACAAAAAAAAAAAGGGCTATAGCTCAACCAGTAGATCTGGGCCATCACTGTCTACTTTCGAAAGCACTAGAAGGCATAAACTGTACCTGTAGAGTTACATAGAACTTGAGACCTTCGTTGATATTTTCCCTTACTTCTCGATACTTTGCGACAGCTGCAGATATTTGTTTATACGCCTTTTCACGACTCACTGCAATAAGATACAACAATGTCAACACATGACCGAAGAATATGTTGCCCATGAACTACAAGCTGGATTATAGATTAATAGAGCTGAAATATATACTAAGCAGCATCGCATCACCGGTTACACCCGTCTGCCACTATGTTGTTTACACGAGGTATGAGGAATAATTAACTTAGTTAAGATTCTGGCAAAAGAATAGGAGCTAAAGCGGTCAAAATTTGAAGCCAAACCAAGACATAGAACTGTCAAACAAATGCACTTCAGAGGTAAAGAACAGAGACGACTTCACTTTAATTAAACAAAGCATATTGTATGCAAAAGCTCAACGGCAAAATAACCAAACTAGGTGCCTCTCGAGCCACGCCAACTACGTATCATACTTTTACTTTCCAGCATATCCAAAATTCAGGAAAATATCTTCACAAAGAACACACCTTTGTAGTCTTCAAGGTTGAAGGTGGCAGCGAAGGCATCATTTTGTGCCTATTCAGCGAACATCAACTATTTAGACATTTGTACCACAAAGAGTACTCGAATACTTGACACACTAGCATTCCTTCGTACACCTGAGTGCAGGCGTACTATGGAGAATTGCAGATATAAGGCTCATGACGGTATCAGTTTCAAACTAGAATGTAAATACCAATGGGGATTGACTGAGCGAAAGGATGGCACCCCTCTTTGAATGGTACAAAAGTAATTTTAGTATTGTACCTTAATCTCATGCAACAATCTCTCTTGTGCTTCAACGTTTTTTGTCACTCCAGCGCACACGGGGTCAAACTTGGCAAGTTCTTTCTTGAAAAGCTCTTCGTACGATCCTGAGGTTGTCATCAACTTCGGTAGAATGTTATCCTGCAAAGTTAGAGAATTTGTCAAAAAAAAATTTGCGAGGTTCAAGGTTCTCAAACAAAAGCTCGAAAAATATAAGGGTCGAAGTTGAGGAGATTTTATGACCTTGCGTTTCATTTCCTTGAGCATATCCTCCAGACCAGCACGCTGTTGACCAAGCGCCTCTAGCTCTCCCTGAAACCAGCAAGATATTGCTCGGTCAGAAACAGGTCACTCTAACATGAGCACAAAGACCTTCCGCTTCTTTTCGCAGCCGACGACATCTTGAAATAGACATCTTGAGGTTGATCCACATGCTCACAAGCTAACATAATTGAAGTAGGAAATCAGAAGCTTATGAGGAGCGAAGAGAAAAGACGTAATTAAGCAACAGGCTCGACGGACTTACTAGTTTCAGTCGAAGAGCACCGACGATGTTATCCTCGTCGCCATTCAAGGACATAATCGGTCTTGCAAGACTTGGCAAGGCAGCCTCTATCTGCGAAAAACGATGTTATTTGAAAGAATCGGAAAACGGGAGCAAGAAGACTTTCCTTGTTCATTACTGCTCATTTCGCCGCCAATAATTGCTACTTCCAAACTCGCTGCGTAAGCAGCGATTTCAATAGGAAAATCAAGTTTAAATGAGAGAGTATCGAAGGTTTTCATCTTATTTGGTTAATATTACCCTCCAGAAGAGTCATGTAGGGCTCACTCACCGGCCTAGCGTCTAGAATTGACATAAGGTGCATGTTATCCCGAATAGTGCGCTCTATTCGTGCGTCGCTATCTGACGCTTGCTTCAGGTTAGCAGCAAATCCATTCGCTCGATCGTGCAAATTCTTCGTTAGAGTGCTTGACTGAGGTCTTGACCACCTCGTACCAAACTGTGTTCTTATCTGGGCATCCTCTCTGGCCTCCTTCTCAAGCAGCTCCTCCGTAAGAACTAGTAGCTCTTCGTTGACCCGCCTAAGGTCCCTCAGCTGTCTCATTTCACTTTCAAGGCCCTCTGGCCCTCCATCTATTTGAACTGCTTCGACATCATCTCTCAGTTGCTCGGGAAGAGATGCACTTCCTTCCAGAGCTTGAAGCGAGTCGGGTAAGTCCATCTCCCTCAACTTCACTCTTGTAATCTCACTCTCCTGCTGCAATTTTTCCGCTTGAGTTCTGATGATATCGTCCAACATCTCCGTATACTTGGAGAGTGCCTTCGCACTACTGTCTGGAACAAGGACAGCAAACATTTTCTCTCTACTTGCATCTAAAACGTCTGCCTGAGGAGTCGATCTTACAAGGACTGCGGTTGGCAACGGAGGTAGAGATTCGACTGCAGGGACTCTCATTAAATAAACCCTGTCATTCTCCTTGTTGGCCCGCTCCAAATTGCGGTTCACGTTTCCCTCGAGCTTCGTGACGGCGTCCAGCAGTGGTCCAACAACGCCTCTTCCAGATTTCTTGGCCTCTAACAACATATGACTGGCAGCTTTAAGCCTGGCAATCTCTTCATCTATAGTCTCCTTCTCGTGAAGCTCAAGAGCAATACGATAACACGCTTCTGCTTGAAATTGTGCAGCCTTCAGCTGTACGTGAGCAACCCACGTACGATCAAAGTGTTGATTGAGAGGAGGAAGCACCAGAGCTGCGAAGGCTTCTTCGTAGTACAGACCGACTTGCTTGGCAACTTTAGAGCAAAGACCAGCAGGCTTGCTGTCCGACAAAACCTTCTCGAAGAAGCACTCTTGAGCCTGGGCGAGCATTAGCCTTTCCAGCATACCGGCACACTCCACAGAAATATCCACAGTAGAGGCAGATCCACTAGCTTTCATTGAAATGTTGTCCCTAAGGAATGCAAAGGCTCCAGCGGACGCTTGGAAACAGTTGCAAGCTTGCTTTAAGCCATTGGCAGTTGATCTATCTGCAGACAGAGCTAGTTGACTCTGAACCGCACCTAGATTGAAGGCAATCGCTGCCTTCTCAAAGTGAATGTTTTGCTGGCTTGCTTTCCTCCCCTGCTTGAATGCATCGTACCAGGTAAACGAGAGGTTTACGTGCTCTTTTTCATTGGAGATAGGGAAGCGGGATTCCATCACTGAAAGGGCACGAAAATACCTTTGGAGAAGATCCCGACGGGCTTCTAGAGAATCAGTAGCTTTTTCTATATCATTCCGCATCTGCTGGACCGTTTGAAGGTCATCTTCCATGTCCTGTGCATACCTTTCGGAGTAATGATGAACAATGTACTGGCGCAAAGGCTTGTACATATCCACCGAGGTGGTCTTTTTCGCATGGATGGCGAGCATCACATTTATGGTCACAGTTGACGCAGCCATCTTGTCACCCCGACTTCACAAAACCTTCCGATGTCCTATCCAAATTTGATCCCGGCTCGATGGTTGCAGCCAACGAAGCGAAAATCAAAAGGGCAACCAGACGCACTTTCGTTCGATGGGAGCAATCTGAGAGCCAACCAAACCAACCTTGCTCTTCACAACAAAGGCAGAACAGAAACAAGGACCGACACAGACGCACAGGAATGAGAGCGCAGAGTTTCCTTCACCCACACTCTCTCTACAGCCATGACTACAGCACCGATCCGAACACCAAATCCAGGTCACCAAATCCGTCGACTGATCACACACCTGTGTCCTGTCAAAACGTCCCAAATCAATTGCCCCAGGCTACACTCGGAACCCCGATCTCCCAGGGGCCCTGACACTAAATCCCTCTACGCTTACTAGGGCTTTCTCGCCCCGCCCAAGCAGAGCGACAAAACCTGGAATCACTGCTCGCCTCGACGATCCGTGCAACTCCGTCCGGGCAAATCTTCCCTCTCGCGGGGTGCTGCAAATTGTACGTTCGTGATCGTCCCCTCCTCCTTCTTTCGTCGCTCGCTCCCTCCCTCCCTCCTTTCCTCCTCTGTCTTCCTCCTCCTCCTCCCTTCCTCGCTCGCTTGGGTGTCAGCGCCGGGGCGTGCTTCTTGAAGCAATCGATTGCTGTGCCATGACAGCGGACGATGGCAGAGTGTGCATTCCGAATTTTTTCCGCTCCACTGTACGAAGATTTCTTCGGTTTCACACCTCCGCTCTCGACCGCCTTTCGGGGGGTCCGGGGCAGCACATCTGGCGGTCACTTTTCGTGCCCTCCGGGTTCTTCTTCGATGACCAGCTCCGGCACGACCTCCTACGACGCCCGACCCTCTGGGTTTTCCGACTGGATAGGGCGGGCCCGAAGGATACGACGACAAATCCCTTGGTCCTTCGGTCATCCGCAGTGGCAGCTGGACCTGTCGCTCTCACGGCGTCACGGAAGATTTTCGCGACTGTTCTGGAGCAGAATGTTCAGGAGGGCCCGGGCACGCCCGTAGTCCCTTCCTGCCTTCCTGCCTTCGAACGGTGGCGTAGTTTGCAGAGAACCTCGTCGACGTTGTTTTAGCCCTCCCGTTGTCGTGGCCAAGACCGAGTGTTCTTACACAGTAGGATCTGATCGGTTTGGCCTGGAATGTGGCCGTGTGAATCAGCCCTCTAACCGCGAGACAATCTCGTAAGCTCTGCAAACAGAACATGTACTGTAATGTTTTATCTTTCACGCCTTTCTAATTAGATTTTTATCGGATAGATTAGATGTACTTCGTTTTGGGGTCTCAGATTACACCCGCTAGATACAAAGACGACTTCTTTCCTCTTCATTCCTTGTTTGACACATTTTCTACTCAACCTCCGAAAGATAAAGACGAAGAAAGTATATACTTTAACGCAGTTTGACGACGTTGACTGGGTTAGCAATGGTAGAAGAATTCGTTCACAAGCAATACGTTGTTTGACATTTTCTCAAATCTCTGAACTTTCGGAATGTTTCTGTGAATCCGACGTCGGATTCGGTCGACAAGTGGTTTGGTAACATATCTACCAGTTGTATTGAAATCATCAGGATCTCATGGTTTTATAAGAGTCCAAAATATACATGTAACTATATGTTTGTAGCAGAATTACGTGACGACGTTGTAAATTTCCCTTAGATATAATAGGAGTTGCTAACTATAACGAGGCAAACTATAAATCACGCGTTCATTATTCGAGTGGAAAGAGAGATAATAAAACTCTAATGGAGAAAATGATCTGAAAAAACTATTTTTTACAAATGTCTCACTACCACATATGCAACTCAAAGGTAATCTCATTACTATCATGCATTAAGTATCTTCACGTTTATACATCGTAGAGCGATGGATACGCCTTCGGATTACATGAACTTTGCTCTACCGAACTTATTTTTTTATATATATTTTTTAATTATGTACAATATAAACCATTCCATTGTCAATTTTGTAGTTCTCGTTCTGTTGGTTTCATACTTGTGTAATATAATGGATTACATTTATATTTACTATTATTATAGATTATATTATATTAGATTATACATATCAATAGATCCATGATTAAGCTTTCAGTTGATAAAATGAATATACTTATTTCAATTCTAATATTTTAATTGTTAAAGATAATCTAAAATTATATATATATACTAAAAAAACTTTATATAACATATTTTCTTTGCATATGATAACATATGTGTTTTAATATCTATGTGGAACAATGAACATTCATATTGCTATCAGATATAATTATACAGATTTAAACCAGAAAATTTGCAGGAACAGGTGTGAAAACGAAGTATAATGTCTTTTACGGAATCTGTAAAAATAGAGTCCCCCGAGGTGAGTTGTTATACAATTTCAAATATAAAGTATAGACAGATCCAGGCATTTTTTCTAAATATAGTCCAAGTGGATTTGCTCTAGGTGTAACCTCGGATATCTCGCCTGTGTTACTGGTAAAGGCGAAGGATTTCTCTCTTCTTTTTTTTTTTGAAAAACTGAGATCGTATTTTCATCGCCTCTGCGGTCGACTTTTTCGAATTAGCCGCGGTTTCCAACAATGACATTTTAGAGAGTTCATTACCCTGGAACGGTAAATTAATTTAAAATGGATATTGTTAGGAACATCATAAAAAAAGTAAATTTCTGAATAATACATTTACCAACAACTATTAATCAAAAAATAAGATAGAAACTCAATTTCTCGTATATTGAATATTAAAATTTACTTCAATACAACACAATTAAAATCATTGGTCATTCGTTTCTTTAAAATCATATTATTGATGCCTTGAAAAAATTCATACACAATTATGTTTTCTATTCATTAATAATTTCAGATTTTAATTTATAATAAAATGAAAGTTTTATATAAAAAAATTATACATTAATTGACATATTTTACATATCAATTTTAAAATCAAATTAAAAAAATTTACCAACCAACTGCATTGCAACAAATTGTATTTCCATTCAACCCAAACTTAAATCAGTGAAATAAATTTGTAATATAAAAATTGACACAATAAATAAATAATTATTAATAATCATTAATAGATAAAGTGGATAGAAAATAAAAAATAGAAAGTAAAAAGGATTTTAAAAAATATAAGTCATTGAAAAGTTAGTTAAAACTTTTCTACGATTATTTAAATGGGAAGAATTAAACCAGGAAAAATATATATAATTCAATTTATTAAGAGAAATATAAATTAAATTTACTTAGCATTTCACTTTGACATTAAGGTTCAGATTTCAAACATTTTTGTTACTATAAATTCACATTATAATACTGACAAACAATTTTAAAATAAACATCAAAATATTCTTTGCATTAATTTTTTTACTAATTAAAATAGTTTTTAAATAAAAAAATCTCTCTAAAAATAAAAATTATAATATATTAAATTTTGCGACATTTTAAAAATGTCCTTAGAAATCAATGTATATACAAATCATATATGAAAAGAAAATACAAATTTTCTAAATTTTTATGAATAATCGTTTCTTAGATATTTATAAGATACATTGTTTTATTTATTTAGCGATTGAAATTTTCTCATTTTAATTAATTTTAAGTTTTGAGTTTATTAATTTAATATATTTTAATAAATGAATATTTTAATTTTTAATATTATAAATACAGAAAAAACGGAAATTTTCCAAATCTTCAATATTTGAAATTTAATATATTTCGAAAGAAAATGTATAAACATTTTTTTCATAATCTAGAAATCAATATTCAATAAAAATCAATATATAGCCTATTTTTTATATCCATAGTTATCTGAAAAACGCTGTTAGGTTTTTGTCTTTATACACTATGGAGATATTTGCACTTCATTATAACTTAACATTGCTTGATTAATTTTTTTACTCAATTATATATGTATATTCAAAACTCATTTTTTCGTTTCTTCCGAAATTTATAACTTTTGGGGAATTTTTTCAATCAAGTTTATTTTATATCGTTTAAGAATCAATCATGGTTTTAAATTAAATATATATGCACATATGTTGCAAATATTAAAATCCAATGATTTAAGAAAATGTTTTTTAATAAGTCAAATTTTGTGAAAAATATATACACGATTTCAAAATATCAATTTAAAGATGGATATTGTTGTAGTTGCTTGAGTCTATCAAAATGAAAAAAAGTTTTCAAACATTAATTTGGATGTGATAATTAGAGTGTTTTCGAATTTTCAATTTTATATTTCATCAAAGCTTGAGACTAATTTGTAATAACTTTATATTTATGTATTGAAGAGAGTAACAAAATTTAATGTCATGAAAAAAATTTGGAAGTTACAAATTGTAGCTTGTAAAATCTCAATATTGTACATACAAAACTCTGAATTTGAAATTTTTTACGGTCTCAAATTTGTTGCTTTTACTACTTATTAGAAACTCCAAATTATAACAACACTATTCTTCAGTAAGTGGTGTAAATTGGATACAAGTTTGGAGTAGCTGACATTTATTCCAGCGAGTCTATGTTAAAAAAGCATGAGGATATTATATAGAAGAAGACAAATGTGAATACAAACATTTGTATAAGATTCATAATACCCAGTACCAAATAAAAAAAGGTTTAACATAGATTACAAAAGTTGGACAGAAAGTACAGAAGTAATCAATATAGGTAGAGAAGTTGTTAAAAATATAAGCTCAACATATTTTCTAGTTAAATTAGAAAAAATAGTAAAAAATTAAGGTTAATTTTTTTAAATTTTTGCACTCATATAAATTAGCATATGATAAATGAGTAGATGCATATTGTGATTCTTTACATCATGTTGGCAAAATATTTAGAATTAATTTAATGTATACTCATGTCCAGGCATGGTTGTGTTAGGTGACCATATATAGCGGGGCTTAAATCACCTACACTGTCTCGTGATTAGGCGCCTAAATTAATGTGGGTGTGATTTGGCACCTACATGTTGCAACCAATGGAGAGAGTACACCTGTGCAAAATTGATGGATATTTTATTTTTTAACAAAATTAAATTAATGTTTATTTAAATAAAAAATATTATAATTTTAGGGGAATTAAGTAGCCAAAATTAATTAGGGTTTAAATTGGCCTAATTAACGTTTTTGAAGAGACTAAATTAGTTCAAATTAGTTTTTTTGAGGAGACTAAATTAAACGTATTTAGGTAATTTAGACGAGTGACACTTATAACCATGACTGTGTAATCATGTAGCTATACATGTATATTCTCGCAAATATAACTGAACTAGTAGAATAGTTTATAACAAGAAATGATTGACATATATTGTTTGTGCAATCATTTACATCAAAATTTTATAATATTTTTTGATAGATATTTGTTATTATGTGTTAAGAACATTTTTCGCAATTGCAATTTATGTTTGCAACATATGGCGTAAACACATTCATCGTTGGCATCTAAATCGAGGAACAAAGGTAACACTGCTTACTAATCAATCTTTAAGATTTATTTTACATAACCTAGATTTAGTCAAGGGCAATATTATGATTTGTTTATATCGATTTTGAGTTAAGTGTTGGGTCATAAAAATATAGCTACAGTTGGTGGTAAAGTCGACATATATACCTCCATTATTAATTTTGAAATTTTTAATATTTGCTAGATTTTTATAATCTTAATTTACAACCTGATCTTCTGGCTTTAATATTAAATGTCAAATTCTGTGGCTTGTGATTGTTCAAATTGGAAAATTTTTGCATAACTTGCTATTATAATTCTGCAAAAATTATTTCTTAAATAATTTTTCTTGTATTGCTACTTTACATATATTTTTGAAAAAATATTTTAATATTTTAACTCAAAAGAGAATAAACTATATCATATCTTAGAAAAGACAGGTTATAAAGTCCAATAAAACATTATTAACATTTCGTACTGTTTGATACTTACGAACGTTGATGAGAAGACGTAAATATTTTAGAAAGGAATATATTGTATACAATTTGTAACGTAATCAAATTAATTATCAGTAAGAGATATTTTTGGACAAATGATAAAGAACATATCAAGCTTTGACACAAATGATATCAGATGTTTATCGTGCTCAGCAGTTCGGGAATTCTAGAGAAGATTCGATCGTCCCGGGAGGCATAGGTGTTCAAAACAGAACCAGTCGCACTTGTACAATGCAATCACCGAAATATGGTAAATTAAGTCAAGCAGGTCAGGAAACCGGGTGGCAAAGAATGCCGCATGCCGAAAAAGACAAAATCGACAAAAAGGAAGAAAAGAAACAGCGCAGAGTCGACGTCGAGGTTGCAGCGAAGTCCACCAGCGGAGGAGGAGAAGCAGACGTCGGAAACCGGAACGGGCCGCTCTCTGTCTGGCGGAGAGGGCAGGGGCACCGGAAAGCACCAGAAATCCGGATGGCAAACCAGAAGGCAACGAAGCAGACTTACGGTGAGGCGTGGGCAGGCGGTGCGGTGTCGGGCCAAATAACTATCGAAAATGAATACAGACAGAAGGTGGCAAGCGGGGCAGGAGCGGGGCAGGAGAGGATGGGCGCGGGGCGCCGCGCAGAGTAGAGGGAGAGAGGGGAGTCCTCAAAAGGAGAAGCGCGAGGCAGAGGCAGAGAGAGAGAGAGAGAGGGGGGTGGAGGGGGGGAGAGGGAGGGGGAGGGGGAGGGGAAGGGAAGGCGAAGAGGGACGGAGGGATGGCTGGGAATGCCACCTGGGAGGCCGAGGGCGAAGGGGGAGACAGCAGCAGCAGCAGGAGGAGCAGGAGGAGGAGGAGCAGCAGCAGAAGCAGGACCCGTTTTAGGGCAGCAGAGGGCAGCAATTGCCCCATTTGGTTCTCTGCTCGTCTTCCGATGAGAGGAGCGAGGGCGAGAGGGAGGGAGAGGGAGAGGAAGGAAGGGGAGGGAGGGAGAGAGAGCGGTGGGGTGGGATGTGGATGTGCTGAGGAATAGGAGGAGGAAGAAAAGCGAAGTGAAGCGCAGAGGGCCGGGGCTTGTGGGGGTTGATGAGGTGGTGCTAGAGGTCGCCTGCCTGCCTGCTCGCTGCTCGCTGCTCGCTATACATCTTCTGCACGAGACAAGAGCCCGGTCTTTTTATTTTTCCTGGTGTTTCTTCTTCCCTCCTCCTCCCTTCTCTGCGTCTCCTTCCGGTGCTCCAGCAGCAGCAGCAGCACCACCTCCTGTGTGTCGCAAGTGGGTCAGAGCAAGTGCAGGCCCAATCGAGCGAGAGTGGCCGAGTGGCCGTGAGAGGGAGGGCTCGTCAGATAACGGTGGTGGAGGGAGGTGCCGAGAGAGTGAGAAGAAGCGAGCACGCCTGTTCTGCTGATGCCTGATCCTGAAGACCATTAAACACGATCCAGAGATTCTGGGTGTTTTGGGCGGAGCTGTGCTCTTTCTCCTGTGCCCTCGGAGTTCAAATGAGGCCTGGGGCAGATTTTATGAAAATCGGCAGAGAGGGAGAGCTTGGAAGCTAGAGAGGGTTTTGGTCGACGTTTAGGTTTCATACGGAGAAGTTGAGTGACAGAAATCCTTCACCTCACCTCTGGCCGATGTTATACAAACCTGGGCGGGTTCATAACTGGTGTTGGAGGAGGTGGAGGGACGGGAAGGAAAGTTTTGACAGTGACTGAAGCGGAGGTATTAGGAGTGGGCTACGGAGTGGGTGGAACTCGGATCACACAATGGACGTCCAGAATCAGCCAGGAATGAAGCTACGAGTGCAGGCAATCGATGCCAGAGGCAGGGAGGGTTATGAGGGATGATGAGCTGGTGATGGAGTTGTGAAAGGAGAAATTCACTTTTCTGAGGAGCGGAACTTTCCCCACACGTAGAGATAGACAACATAGTCGAGTATTCTCAACCATTCCACGCGCAGGATAAAACCTGCAATCAAATGGTGCTTATTTAGGTTATTCAAGTCATCCCTACCCTGGCCCAAGTCGCCCTTGGCCTCCTGCTACTACCTTAGCCATCGACGATGCTCTAATGTGGGCGTGGAGGTTGGTCAGCGCTGAAGGGCCGCCCTAGCTGTCGTACGAAGAGTGCGGAAAATTCTCTTCACCATCTCAGTTTTGTGGTCTCGGGAAGTTTCTTTCGCGCTCACCTTTCCATCTGTCTCTGCCCCCATCCCCCCGCATCCTCTCTAAACTGAAGACTTGGGTATTCCGAGACTCTCGTTCTCTTCAGAACATCTCCATCGCCATCTGCTGTTTGTTTCGATTACGCCCGTGTTGTGAAGACACTGCTGTTTGGATATACACATATATCTGCAACCCTGTATATCTCAGCCAAAAGAAGATAAGGTTTCGCAAACTCAACCTACATCGTGAGATGCCCGGACACATTCTGGTTTCCTCAAGAGGGCATTCTCCGTAAGAATGAGTAATCAATGCTGGATGTTTCTCAGAAGTTACGACACGTAGCTGATTCCGAGAAGTTCGGCTTCTTTAACCTTCAGCCTTCCATAGCCCGCTTGACAGGATACCAGGACGGCCTTGCATTGGCTCACCTTCTATCACGGCCAAAGTTTGCCCTCCAGGAGTGTTCGAGCCGTGTGAAGCTCTTCCTCAGTATCTTACTCTGGTTCATTGCTGTGGCTGGCATCTTTCTTCAAACTAATCGTCCCTTAGTTTCTTGGTACTCGGGGCGATCCGCCGGCAAGCAATTGCCAATTGAAGATCAGTGCTGTCAAGTGGTTTCAAAGGGACAATTGACTGAGGAGTCGACACTGACAGTGACCTGACGGTCACTGGTTTCTCCGATTGGTACTTTGCCTACGCCTACTTAGACAATGCTGATTCTTCATTCGCACAATTTGCATTGAGCAATTACTACAGGGATGGATGAGTTCAGGCGATGCTCGGGTGAGATGGCAAATCTCGTTTGCACGACGTTTTTGTCGCCTATTGGAACGTTCTAGTTTTTGTGACTAAGCGAGCTTGAATTGGATTACACCGAGGGAGGCGCGTGGAGTTCAGAGGCTCGAAAGTGAACGACCTGTGAGCAATTAGGAGTGAGAGGGAGCTGAGAGGTTAAAGGGGTTGAATGCAGTGACATGGTGCAGCGGAGGTGGCGGGGTACGCCTCCCTTCATTGGGTACTGGCGCCTGCTGCTTTCTGCATTTCCTGAAGGAAGTCGTGCCCACACACACAAGCGTTCTGCACGATGTCTCGCTGCTATCCATACCCGCCTCCGGGATACCAAAAGAAGGCCCAACAACCGGAAGTGAGCGCTGCTGCTCCTAAGGTGTGCCCCACCGCAGAGCTCTTTGATGATTTCTCAGTCGCATTTGATCGTTTGTTCAGTGGATTCAAGGATTCGTTTGGTTTCGATGCCACTGTTCTTCCAAGTGTGTTTAGGTTCCAAAAGTTAGCATCAGGCCCAAGATTGCCCAGATTGATCCTAGTCATTTTTCTTACACGTGATGATTTCTTGTCACACGATTGAATCGATTCTGACTAGTACATCGGCTTTGATCTTACAACTTCTTAAATTATTGTACTCAGTCGCACATATGGTACTAGTTTCCAAATTGATCTCGAGTGGACCCATATATAGAGGCTTGGCGATGTTGGCAATGTTGGATGCCGATCAAATTTGACACCGAACGAGTTAGTAATGCTAGCTGGCCGTCTATAACACTATCCCAACTTCTGTCGTACACTTGATGGGTCTCTCACGTCGAATGATTTCTGAGCTTTTTTTTTATCTCTTATATCCCTCGCTCCCCAGCAGCAATGACATAGTTATATTTTTTAAAATCTGTGCACATGTAGAATGGGGTGAGGGAAGTCAATGTGCAGGATGCGAGGACTTTCCCCATAATATCTCATGGCAAAGATCCTTGATGGGGATGTTCAACTTTTTCTCACCGTCTTATTTCTAAGACGTTGAGAGGAAGGGGAACAAGACATAGGGTTTGTGATAGCAGAAATACTCTGTGTCCCGCCCATGTGTATAGACAAAATCAATACCTTTTCAGTCAGAATAATGATTGTGAATGAACTGAAAGAACTCATAGTAAATCTATGCTTTTTCCAAGGTGTTGCTGATGAGTTCCTTATTGTGATAAGGTGTTCAAAAAGTCACTGAAATATTGTATTTAGTTCAAAGAGGACAAGTTTCTATGTTATTGGTAATCAGCAAGAACATATAGCTACTGCCAGACATGAGGATTTATATTTTCAGTTTTGACAGGTGCCTCACTTTGGTCCTACCTCACTATGCACTAGAAATTCAGAAAAATTGACACAGTGAATATGGTTTACTTGTGTTAGTGAGCACCTGTGTCACCAACCTTAATGCGATAGGTTCTCATCTCGGAAAACAGGCTTTAACAGGTACAAGCTGATGAATACAGTCGTGAAGATCAGGATATCTGATTATGGTCGATTCCGGAACCATTGGACTCTTATGTAGAGCTCAATTACCTTTTAGGTCCCTGAACGCCTCTTAAGATTTCATTAACAGACCTTATGTCTACACTAGTAGGTAGGTGATGTTTTGATCATAAGGTCTTAAATGGGGGAAATCTTACCTTGGAATCTTCCAATTTTCTATTACTAAAAGATGAGGGATATCTCAATTGCTGAACTATCTACCGTCTGGATCAAATGTCGAAATTTCAGATCACTTAATGTAGGGTGATGTGTTTTTTTCGTGAATTTATCTGGCAGTGGTTCTTATTTGTGTGCTCCTTTGATTCAAGGCTCCTCAAAAGGAGAAGCACAAGAGCAAGGACAAAGAGAAGGAGAAGAAGGGAAAGGATAGTGAGAAGGACAAGGATAAGGAGAAGAAGGACAAGGAGAAGAAGGATAGGGAGAAGAAGGATAGAGAGAAGAAGGACAAGGACAGGGACAAGGATAAAGAGAAGAAAGATAAGGACAAGAGCAAGGACAAAGACAGGAGGGACAAGGACAAGAGGGACAAGGACAAGGACAAAGAGAAAGAGAAGGACAACGACAAGGAATCCAAGAGGGAGAAGAGAAAGAAGGATGTCGAAACCAATGGAACGTCACATGGTGGTGAGTCAACCTTGTGTTTTTTGTTGTACCTCTCTCTTCCTCTTCGTCTTCTTCTTCACCATCTTTGTCCTCAGGAAACTCATGTATAAAGAAGATGTGATAAAAGGGGGAGTTTGCCGAGCAGATGGGCAGGGAGTGATGAGTCCAAAGTAAGTGAGGTAGGCAAGGCATCCCCCTTTTATGTCCATAACTATGGCTTTCCTTTTTTATGTTTGTTTTTCTCCAGATAGGGTCAGCTTTACCCTCTCCGTCCGCAGGTCTCTCTACCTGCTGCTTCATGGCCAGATTCTAGCCATATTCAGACTCTTTCTATCGAATGGATTGTGTTAAAAGCCTCCAGGCACAAGGTCGCAGATTCAGACCAGAGGATTGCCTACTCTATCTATCTTTGACACATGTGACCTGGCGTGCTTTGACACATGAAATTATTGGCCATTGGATCCATTCTTGCCTGTGCGTACAGACAAGGACCCGCGGTCCAGTAAGCTTCAGCGAACAGAAGTGCTCCACTCCACTGAAGAAAATGGGAGAGTGCGCGAGATCAAGACTACTGCTGCTGTTGTTGCGCGTCCTCTTGACAGGGATGGCAAGGATGCCGCCAAGGCTCTTGACAAAGATGGCAAGGATGGTGCCAAGCCTCTTGACAGAGATGGCAAGGATGCTGCCAAGCCCCGTGGTAGTGTTGGAGGACCTGCTACTCGCCCTTCCTCCATGTACAGTAAAGAACAACATCAACCGAACGGCAAGGTTGACCGTACCCTGCCACCCATAGTTTTGTCAAAGCCCGTGACAGGTGATAGTCCACCAGCAGTCAAAGTAGAAGAGGCTGCTCCTAGTAGTAGGCCTAGCAATCATAATCATCATATTGATAGCAATAATTCAGGCTCACACAGACCTTCAAAGTTGCCAGATTTTTCCGTTTGTGACACTATGCCCCAGCGTACCTCTTGGTCAGCTATTGATGATGAGGAATGGCTGTCTCCATCGAGTGAGCAAGTCCACCAAAAGCCTAAGGCTAAGGTGGAAGAGGATACTCCACAACAGGTTTGGGCGGATCCTATTTACTTGGAGTCTGTCGAAATGTACGCCTTGCCTTACGTGGTTCCTTATTGAGATTTATGTTGATGATTTGTCAAATGTAGTATACGGTTTAACGGTAGGAGACGAAAGAGTTTGTCTCTAAGAGCTTCAGATGATCGGGCAATTATAGGTTGCATGGTGTTTCTGCTCGAGTCTTCCATGCATTCGTGGCAAGGCAGTTGATCCTTCAGATAACTGTTCAGAGGTTTATAAAATCTCGTCATAATGCATTGCTGGAAAAAACTGCATCATTCAGCGAGAGGATGTAGAATCAACCAAGCGGGTATATGGTTTATGAGATGCGAACAATTGAATTACCTGTATACTCGTGAAGCCCAATCAAATGAGGAAGTTTTGCTCATTGTTTTATTCTTGTAGGTAAATGCTGGTCTGCTGAGCATATAGGTAAGCAAAACAGCACAATAGAGACAGGCACAGCATTTACTCTGCACTTTAACGAGCCCTGTACTGTCGGATTGACAATTTGAGATTTAGGTCTCATGTAACATATGTATTCTTTGTTACCCAAATGAAATTACCAGAAGAGCTGAATCACTTTTGTGATACATCAAGTCTATTCTTTCTCCTGTGAAACGCTTGTGCTTACGAGACTGAGATATCTGTCATGATCCTGTCAGTTCTGCGTTGTCTAGTAAAGGCTTCGACTATCTTATTGAAAATCTGCATCTGTGTTTTCTATCTCTTCTGAACGAATGTACAAATCGTCGGAGATCTTTCGTATGGATGATGCAAAATCCCACTACTGAATCAACACTCTTTGGTTTCAGAAGATTTATGGAAGGTAGACTGGATGGATGTCGTGGAAGTACGTAGAGTTTTGTACTTTTTTTTAGTAAGTGCGGTTAAATTCGTCTCTGTAATGGGCATGTCTTCGATGTCTTCTATGTCTTCTATGTCTCTCATTGGTGTGTTGCGGACAACAATGGAATGTGGAGCGTAGGCCGTAGCCAACTGTTTAGCAACATGTTCCTCAGTTTGAAACTGTTGAACGCACTAGAGCTACATTCCCTTTTGGCTTTTACTCGTTCTTGGCGTCATCCCACGTCACGAAAGTAAGATCGATCATTACTCAAGGACGTTTCGTTACGGGTTCAGGAATCTAAATAGGACGCCTGCCAGCTGAATTTACATACACCTACATGGATTGGCCGAAGACTCAACGACGACTCAAACTCTTCCTAACGAAGTACCGAAACGTTACAATTTTTCTTGCTTTAGCTTAACTGTGCTAGTTTTTCCTATTGCTGACGGCAAAGCTTCGACACACGTTCCACCATGGAAGTTTGATTCTGTGGTAACAATCTCCAAAATCAGAAATGTGCTTGATGGACACCATCAAATGCCATATGTGTAAAGCTTCACGCACGGAAGAAAACTACACCCATGAATACTCTAACAAGCAGTCAGTGCATGCTTGTCGTCCTAAAAGTCCTCAATTTAAGAAACCGCCATTGGCCTTGTTGATAATTCGAAATCATTTGTCACTAGGAGTACTATACAGGTAGCTTTTGATCATCGTGCCAAATCTATGTAGGAGAATATAAGTAGATGCCTTTCGTTGACGCATGACCTATATTATATTCATGAAGAAAATCATGACAAAGAAAGACGCATGGCAATGTTTCGTATCCTGCTGCAATCCACTCTGCATGATGTTGTCCTACTTCGAAACTGGAAGGACACAAAACCCGCTGAAAAACGTGCATCCATGATAACTTTTGATCGGGCAGTAACTTAAGAGAGGTCAGGTCCGCCAGTCAATGTGCATGGGAAATATAGAAATCCGCTGTCTGAAGATAGCCCAAATAGTCGCCCTTGTCTCAAAGTCAACAGTAATATCTCTGATGGGGAGTCAGTATGTTGCATCCTCTTTCCAATGCAAACAGCGACAGTTACTTATCCGAATCGCAGCTTTCGGTGTGCACTTTAAACCATTTTTGGATTTTGCTTCCGTATATAAAAGCGTAAAATTGAATTTCATTGGCTGGAGCAAGAGACAGATTCCTTAAGTTTATAACATGGGGTTGAAATAAGTCCTCACAAGGGACATTCCAAATTGGTTCCTCTATTCAAGGGCGGATCAACAGAGCTGTACTTTAAGTTATGGTTTCATAACTGTTTTGACTCCTGAAGACCCTGAAGAAATATTACTATAAACTAGTTTTATCCCATCATCATAAAAGGCTACTTCATGAAACAGAAGATACAGAAGATATCGTGTTAAGTACTGTACTGAACATCTGCTTGTAAAGACGTTCGAGCCTAGAGCTTCATGCTTGGAATCTAGTTGGTGTGAGCCATCATGAATGCTTGAAATGTACCCTAAAACAGCACAGGAATTACTCAAAGAAGGGACTTTCTACTTGTTATTTGTTCAAACCACTCACTAAATTTAACAGTTAAATGCATGACTATCATGTCGATGTTCATAATCTCTCATAGCATGACTATCATGTCATAGCTCATAATCTCATCATGAATAATACTGGTGTCAACATACATGCAGATATCAGAAGAAGTACATTTTAAAGTTCTTGTAGGTACAGTGGAGAAGGTAGTGAAAACTTCTCATAATAAAATCGTGAAATAATATCACTAGTACTATATTGTACACGGTGATGATACAACTAATCATGTTTTGATGATTGGCTTTGTTCATGAAAACCCAATCCTATAAACTACTTGCTAGATAAGACATACGTGACTCCAAAATTTGGACCAAATCTATGAAACTATACGCAATTTCGCAATTGTCACAACGGACGTGAAGATACACGCAATCCAATCTACTTTCGCGTCATTTTGAAAAGAAGTAGCCAGAAGTGCACTCTTGGAGCCTGATACTACAAGTCTCCTGGAACAGTGACACGGTAGATTCCATAACCAGATAAGAACAAAAGTTTTAGTCTTGGAAACTAGATTCATTCAATCTTAAAGGGCATTGTGGGCATACAGTACATAGCACAGATATTTGTTTTTTATAACGTAAAGCGTTTTACTAAATATTGAGTATTCAGTAGAGCAGGCGTTACTGTATACATTTAAGAAAAAAACAAACATGTGGAACTCAGAATGAAGATAAAAACAGGGAATATCTCAGATGGCAAGAGGAGATCCAATACTTTCCAAGGACAGTGTATCTTCTAGATCTCGGTAGATAGATAGATAGATCGTCCGTACTTTTTCTGTGTATAACGTATGATAATCGATTGATAGACATTGTAGATCAAGTTCAGCATGTTGAAACCTTTCTATATATATATTTGACTTAAAAGGACCCAATTTTAAGTACATGTGCATTCAGCAACTGCCTGGCCTTTTCATACTTGAATTTCATATAATCGATTGATAAAACAGTTGTACCGCAACGGGCCATGAAAGAATAAACATGTGCAATTGTTAAATGAGAAATTTGTTTGATGGGACCACATCAGAACGCTGATTGGTTGATGGGACCCAATACGTTCCATTCTACCCGGCGGATCACAGCAGTTATGTTATTATAATTGATTTGTTTCCAATTCAATGAAAAAAAATATTTCTTCTCTAATTTAAGTTAATCAGATTTTCCATGGCTCCCAATTTACATCGTGGAAAAGCCCAATTTCTTGAGTCCAATAATTATTTTACAGTTATAATGTATAGGCATAATCTACTTATTCTTTACTTTTTTTTTTCTAAATCTCTTGGTCGAAATCATGTCAGTTGCGTATTTTGGTCCGTGAAGAGCATTTCACTTTTCAACAAAGAGCCTCAGTGTTTTGCTTAACTCGGTTTGAAAGCAATTACAAGAACTCGCAGTAGAACATTGGTGACGGTGGACTGAATTGCTGTCGGAAGGGTACCATCGGATAAAATGGAACTTATTGGGTACCATCAAGCAAATTTCTCATTGTTAAATATATAACTTCCTTAACACAATATGTAGTGGAATTCTGAGACTGTAGAACTGAATGAACTTCTAAATGCATCTCGTATGTTAGAAAAAAAGCTAGTACACTACATTCAAACAAAAGTCCAAATTTTACTTTTCAATTACATGATATTAAACACACATTTTCTATAGTAGACGAAGACATGATCTTCCTACCAATTTTTCCGCATAAAAGTCCATTTACATTTTATCCAAATTTATTGATAGGATCATGATTTGATGCATATAAATAGATAAGATCTACCATGAGCATACAAAAAGATATGAAGTGCTAAAACTTGGTAAAATCAATTTCTTTGAAACCAAATCATTTAAACATTCGAAGAATTATTGGAATAATCTATTCAGAAGAGAATCATTGTTGAAGGTTATTATCTATCTTGTGTAAGATAAGGACAATTTGATAAGAACGAGATATCACTCCGCATTGTACATCATAAATAGAAGAAGTAACCAGTCTGGATCTGGCTAAATGAGTGTTCATAACTACTTGAAGATAAATGTAGAGACATGTTATGAAGTTTGATATGAAGAATATTCATGAATGCACGACGTTTGACAGAAGCGGTACCGAAGCCTTCGATATGTGCGGGGAAGAACGACAAGGGCTTCGATTAACAGCTCGTTTCGCGCAAATGTGGGATTCAAGCTCCGACGTCCGCTCCTTGCACCTTTTGCACGAAGCTGCAGGCCAATTTATTTGTGAGCTGAACACGACTATCCAAAGTATTATCCGTCAGACCTGACTACATTCACGAAGCTCAAGCATTTTGTGTCACTTCTCTCTCACATCAATCGTGTAGTGTCATAGATTGACAATCTGATGTCTAATTCTAATTTCTGTGAGAAATTTGAAAATGTGAAGCTATGAGTGAAAACGTTTGTTTCTTTTATTTTCGACCAGAAATTGAAAACAATTTATAAATTTTTTATCTTATGAAGATGGTATCATCCGTTGTAGTCTAGTTGGTTAGGATACTCGGCTCTCACCCGAGCGACCCGGGTTCAAGTCCCGGCAACGGAATTGAGGTGTAGATCTCGACTTTCACATCTATTGCCTGTGAATGCTTTTCATATATTGCTTGTTTTTCATTTACCATTCATTTTGATCCAATTCATTATCTGATTTCTTCCAATCTCCATTTTACCCCATCAGTGTATAGCTTCGTTTAATACCTCCTCTGATGAGACCTTGACATGACTTGAAGTAAACGTATCCTCATGAAGCACTTGAATATCTAATGTGGACGTTCATCTCATCGTGGAGATCGATCTTTACCTTGACACTCATCTCATAGTTCAAATGTACAAGTTAAACATACGTATGTTTGTTACTGTAATCAAAACACAACAATCCTCCGTAGCAACATTTGCAAGATTCTAAAACTTGTAAATCCATATCCAATAATCAGCTCAAAAAAATTTGATTTGTTAACAATTGGGAATTTTTTTGCCTGTTAGAATTAAGGATATTAGAGTTTTTGAAGATATATTAAAGTTCCGATAACTAGTATTGATGAAATTAAAGCACTTCTCATGATACATGAATTCCAGTCTTATCTGTAGTGATCTGTATTTCGGTTGAATATTCACAATTTTGAAGTTCAAAATTACATGTGGAAACATGGATTCTGCATTTTTTATTTTGCTGCCATGGTGATAAGAAAACGAGTGCATTTGATTCAAATATTAAGATTTTCTTGCAATGCATATGGATCACTGTTTCTGGACTATATTTAACATCCTTGATATCAAGATGGCTTACCTGAAAGGTTAAATTTTTATAAGCTGTTTATACTTCACCAATTTTATGTTTAAACTGGATGAATTTGGAGATATCACAGATAGAATGGAAGATGTCGTCTCTTTAAAATACAGGAACAATAGAATATGGGAATAACATTTGAAGAGAAAATGGTAGCGAAAATGTATAAACGGTTTGTAGGTGGAAGCGGGGGAGGGCTCGGGATCGAGAGGCCACAGCGGACGACGATGCATATCGCGCATTCGAAGCTGCAATGACGACATCTCGCCGTGCTGACTGGACGACGGTGTCCATGGAACTGTGTCGCCCTTCGAAGATCGAGTGCAGCGAATTCTCGAGCCCGGGCCGCAAATCAGAAACTGGGCAATGCATCGCTCTGGCCGCAGGGCTGCCATTGCTTCTGATCCTGCGAACCGAAGCGAGTCCGAATCGCCGCCCGCCCTCGCATTTCGCAGATCTGCTCTGCCTCGTGCGTGCGTCCGTCGACGGGATCAGGGGCCAATAAATCGACATTTCGCTCGGTTCTTTGTTTCTTCTGCTCTGCTTCGTTTTCCGAGTCGCTGTGCCAGGGCTCGTTCCGTTTGGGGCTTTGCATTTAGAACTCTGATCGGTCTTCCACTTCTGCAGAATGTCGCCGTCGCTGCAAGCCACTTGGCGTGAGGTGTGCTCGCTTTTCAGCTTGATCTGATCGTTTTTGAGTTTGTGATGCCTGAATTGGAGGCGAGGTGTCATTCCTCTTGTCCTGCAGATTCTTTCTGTCTGTGAGATCGCTCATGGTGACAGAGCTGAGATTTTATTAGACGAGATGGAATTAAAATAGCGATTGCGTGGATGAGCTGAGAATTGCGGTCACTTCGGTGGCTGGGGATTCGGTTGATTTCAAGTCAGAGACAGAGCTAGATTTTTCCTTGCGAAGGTCGTTTCGGCTGAATTCAATGATTGGTTGTTCATATCACCGCTTGCCATAGCTTGGCAACAATTCGAGCTGACTGAAGCTCAACTCCATCTGTTCTCTGTGATGGTCAAAATAGTGAAATTAAATTGCTGCCAACACCTCATCACGGGAGGAGCTGCGCTCAGAAATGCCTGCTATCATCTGAAGTTTCGAAATTTACATGAGAGAAGGCTCTCGTGCAGTCTCTAGTCAGGTCAAATGTTTCTTCACTGCGTTTGTTGTACACTGAAGCTCATTTTGTTCGGCTGTGAAGGTGACACAATTAGAAGGTGCTCCAAAAGCCAGGAGCTCGCATTCAGTTGCCGTCATCGACAACAAAGCTTATGTCTTCGGAGGGGAGTTCGAGCCCCGAGTTCCTCTCGACAACTTGGTGCACGTGTTTGATCTGAAGACTCGTACCTGGTCCATCTTAGAAAGCAAAGGAGAAACACCCGCTCCACGAGTTGGAGTGACTGTCGCTGCTGTCGACAAGACATTGTACGTCTTTGCCGGGCGAGACAAGGAGCACGAGGAGCTCAATGAGTTCTTCTCTTTCAATGTCGACACTGCTGAGTGGAAACTCTTGTCGAGTGGTGACGGGAGCCCACCTCACAGGTCTGAATTATCTCTGCCCTCTGACATGCTACGGTTCTGGTCCATTCTCAGTACCCTGAGCTCAAATTCGAGAGTGACAGATTGAAGCTTTCTAGTCTGCTCACATGGAAAGCACGTGGTCATGTACCACAAGAATGCTGGTCGGGTCGTCGGATCAGTGTGGACATTATGTCGTTCGCAGTTCGTGTCTGTGGTTAGATCCTGATGGGCGATCAGTTGGATCTCGTCCAGGTTGAAGGTCACATTCGAGGCTTGAGGAATGTGGGACAGGGTCCAGGTTGAGCTTGCTGTTTGACCACATTGTTATCAAACAACGAGATTCTGACCTCGTGCTGGTGTGAGTTGGCAGGAGTTATCATGCTTTTACAGCGGATGAGGACAGGAAGCAGCTGTACACATTCGGGGGATGTGGCAAAGATGGCCGGCTGAATGACTTGTGGGTTTATGACATAACATCCGCAAAGTGGGAAGCTCAACCTACGCCACCACCAAGCAGTAATTGCATACCAAGAGGAGGACCTGGCTTGGCTGTAGTCAATGGCGCTGTCTGGATCATTTTTGGATTCAATGGAGGTGAGTTGACAGATATTCACCGTTTCGATTTTGATAAGAAATCCTGGGAGGAGGTTGAGGTGACCGGGGACAAACCTTCCGGAAGGAGCGTGTTTGGATCATCCGCTGTCGGGAAGTATATCGTCATTTATGGTGGAGAGGTTGATCCCAGTGACCAGGGTCACTTGGGTGCTGGTGCCTTCTCGAGTGAAGTTTTCGTCCTAGATACCGAAGCTCGTGTTTGGAGCAAAGTAGATGTTACGATCAAAGAAGGAAATAACCCAGGAGCTCGAGGATGGTACGCGTTCTCCTCTTATGGAAGTTCGATGCTGGTTTACGGCGGTAACTCCGACTCCAACGATAGACTGGACGACATGTTTGTGCTCACCCTCAAACATGTTTGACTCTGGTATTGTGGGAAAATTTGTAAACATCCTGACCAGATCGTGTACATTACGACTGATTAGTGATCAAACGGAGTGGGTCGAAGGGCTCAAAATTCGGGCCAGGAAATTATCTAATAAAAGCGCGTACGGTCCACTTTTGATTGGCCATCCACAGCAACATCCACAGGTAATACTGCTACTCCGATGTTCAGTACATGCAGTAAATTGGAGTATTGAAGTACAATATCCCCATAAGACATGTGGAGAAAGCACAAAAAAGAGCAGCTTCCGTGTTGGCACATCTTCACCAAGTGTGTATCTCGGTATATTTCGATCATCCATGACGAAAATGTGCATAATTGCACTCTTTTTCTCGTCCTCCTCATCATCCTGGCGGTGAGCGTGTCGAGTAACAAGCTATCTTGAAAGCATCAAGCAAGGCTTTCTTCAGAAGAACCTTATGTATATCAATCACTTCCAGAAGTCTAGCATCAGCAGCAAACACTTAATCTGGTAATAATGTTACTAATTTCGGCAGCGATGACTTAGCGGACGTGTGACACTCCGAATATATTCATCATCCGTAGAAGTTTTTTGGCCGACAGAAGCAGCTTGACATTGCCACAGCTCGGTAAAGAAATTAAGAAGGAAAAGAAAACTGCTAAAAAATGTTGACAGAAGTCTATCCAAGGATGTAAACTTCCATTATGAAAGTCATAATGAAAGTTTAGATCCTTGGAAAGAAAAAATCCTCGTTGCATTCTCTGTCGCAACAGCTGACAATTCCTCCTCTGAAACTCCCATCAGCGTCGAAACATGTTTCAAAACCTGTTCATGTTGACACCGACCAAAGAAGCCGACGGTAAGCAAGACCTTTCATAGAAAAAGAAAAGGTCACTCTACAGTGAAAACATATGTCTCCCATCGCTGTCTCCTCAATCCAACCACGTTCACAACATTCCAGCTAAGACGAATACGACTGGACAGACGAAGCGCTTTGCATAGGTTAAACTCACAGTTCTGATGTTAGCTGGATGATTCAAAGCTGGCAATGGACATGCCTCGTCCTTCTTGGCCGTCTTCCCATCATTTTTATCCGAGCAACAAGACCTAATGTCGGCATCCGCCTGTCGCACCTCTCCAGATGTAGGAGTGGCAGAGTCATCTGGAACCCAAAGGAGGGACTTTGGGTCTACCTTAGGTACAGCATCTGGCGCATCTGTCTCCAACAGAATCCGGTCCCGTGGCACCTGTTCACTCCAGTTTCCATGGCGACCATAAGAATTCGATCCTCAAGGCCGAAGAGTGCAAACGTAGCACTCTGAAGTCAATACAGAGACAATAAAGCGTGATTCTCGAAGCATTAACGTCGTTAGGTTATGCTGATACTGGAATCATGCGCAACTGCGAGGTTCTTCACGGTCTGGTTTGATGAAAAGATCATGCAAAAGGTTCTACTCCTTGACAACTAGAAACAGCACTCCCACAAACAGGTCAAAAATCATTCTTGATACCTGCTGCAAAATTGCGCGTGCCTTGGAAGCTCTCAAGGGAGTCAGAAACCCAGAGAAGGAAAAGTAAGCACCGTGCTTTACAAGACCACGCACTGCATCTGCTGGCCCCGTGAACGAGTGCATTATGAATCCAGCTGGAAATGTGCCCATTTCTCTGCAAATCAGGCCAACCTGTCATCTATGCTCCTGATCTTCATGTTCTTCTAAGTTCAGCTTGCATCAAAGCAGTGTATCTTCTTTCCATGTCAGGTGACTGGACAATAGTTCATCAAACCACCAAATGCACCGTTATAGTGTCCCTGACTAACATGACGATCTACTTCATCAAATCGGAAAGTTAAAATAGCTCTCGAAATGCCACTGATTCATACTCAAGGAGGTGTTGAAGAGGGCCGATAGCACGCACGCAATGAAGAGATGCAGGCCTGTTCAAGTTGCGAGCTAAAGTGAGTTGCGCCTTAAGTATGTCAAGCTGTAGGGCTTCATCAATTTTGCTCCCATGCGTTCCTAAATCAAGTCCAATCTGCTAAAACTTTGTAAGTCCGATCAAGCACAGCTGCAGTGTACCCAAGCGCAGAATCATAAGAAACCAACTCTTGTCAGACACAGGTATCAAGCACGGACCCTAGGCAGAACGTGGTGATGGCATGGGAATATGGAGAGAGTCACAACCAAGATCGACATGAGTAAAAAATTCATGATACGCTTAGTGGCAAGGAATTCATGATACCTCTCCCACTGCTGCTGTTGGAGTTGATTCGAGCATGCCTTTCAGAGTTTCCAACCAATTGTTTGTCCTCCCCGGGATGAACCTGTTCCAGTAACTGATGATGAGAACTCTATACGACGATGCCCGAGTATCATTCATCCGATCTAACCGCTTAGTCTAGTTCATGACTTCTAGCTAAAGATCGCTCACAGAGTTCTCAAATTGGACACATGCTGAGAATTGAACTCACCATGGGTGTAGACCAAAATTGGGGATCACAGTACTTTGGCTTTCACCCATCTCCTTTACAGATCTCCAATCGTCCTGGAGTCATCAGATCATGTCCAGTGACATAGGGTGCGAGCATTTCCGTTTCAATTACAATAAACAAATAGGAGAGAAGGAGTTCGGCTTTCTCATAACATGATCGCATCAAGTTCAAACAATTTGCAGTAGAATCTTTAGTAGAATAAGTAGAATAAGTAGAATCTTTGAAGCGTAACAGGAGTCTATATGACTGCAGGGTAACCCCTAACTTAATTAGGTTGAATTTCGAAATGTAGATCAAAATTCTCGTAAGAATTTGCCTGATCCAGGTGGAGTGCCCACTCAGAATGGGTCCAATTCACACAAGTCCGATTCTGCCCGAAGTTCAAGGTCTAGTACCTCAGATGTCCCGTTGACAGCAAACCATCGCACTCCCACTTCTGAGGCCTGCTTTATGAGCAAGGGTGCACAATGGGCGACCCGTAAATCTTGTAGATGACAGTGAGCATCAAAGAGCGCAAGTCGAGACATTCTCGTTTCCCGCAAGCTTCAAAGTATAGAATGTTCGACGATGGGCCAAAACAGAAATTCTGATGTCCCCTTCCTGCAGTGTTGAGTTCGGCGGCGTGCCGACGATCAACTTCACATCCGTAAGGTTCTTGACTTACGACAATGAAACTCACCCACAGACAACGCACACAACAATCCGGCTCGAGCATAACGGAGAGGTCAGCTTGCCTCCACGAGTAAATGCATGGAGTTGTATTAGTTCAACAGCCCCGCCTTTGCGGATTATTAATCATCTACCACCATCTTAATCACCGAACCTCCGACTACACCGTTGTGGCTCTAGAAGATGTTCTCGACAATTAGCGTCTGCTCTTCGTTCACTGCAGGTTGTCCCAATTAATTTTCCCAAATGTGCTGCCACGGTGTTGTTTTACAAGGTCCAGCCAGCTTTTCCATCCTCAGTTGCCAGTTTCGCTATGATTTCAAACTTACCGTATATTCCATTAGCTTCTTCAGATTATACGTTCATTACGGTAAAAGCGGGAGAATTTGACAGCTTCACGACTTTAAGTTTTCCTTTCCAGAATTGTGGGATGAAAGTGTTAAGCTTTCGCACCCATCAGGTGTGAGGGATTAATCTTCATTGGACAAATCATAACGGGTTTACTTCTTTCATTTCGTTTACTCACTTTCATTCAGTGATTATCGATCTGAGAGACGACCTTTTCGTACTACCAACTACTTGTTTAATTCTGTCTCACAACGTCGTTTAAGCGGAGTAGATTACCGCAAATTTCCGTCACGTGTACTTTCGGAATGGTCCTCGGAGTTGCATTTACAGTCTTACAGCTGCCCGTTATATCCGCGAACATACCATATACCCATGACAGTGCAGACAGTGCATAACATAATGATTGTAACGTTTCAATCGTTAGTCACATTAGTTTCGGGGATGCGTAAACCCAATCCTTCACATTTGTTCTGTAACTGGAGACTTTGAGCACAAAACTTTGACATTGGTCCATTCCTTACCAAAGAAATATGAATGTGCAAGTGACCCTTCAGTTAGGCGATCCCATGAGTGACAAATTTCGTTACACATCGAACAAATTGACAGGTTTATTGAGTATAGACCACGGATGGTATAGCTGCACTTCACCATCCTTTAAGCACTAGGAGTGAGGCTCATCCAGCGTTCATCTCAAAAGTCATGGCAAGGCTTTACTCGGCTGTTTCTCCTCCAAGCGCCATCCTCCACAGGGCTGACCTAAGCTCAATTTGGCTATTCTTCGTGTTCGAAGGTCATAGAACTAGTACCGGGATCCACATGGGTATATTTCAGCGCGCCCTTAGAGAACATAAGACCAGAAGCATTTCATCACCAAGAAACAGAAGACTCATCATAATGAATCAGTGAAATCTTCTTTCTTCCTTTCATATGCCGGAACTCCGTTGGGCACTCTCAGATAATTTCCTATGGAAGGCATCTGTATGACTCCATCCTGTTAACAGGATCTATCATATGGATTAATGCCCACAAGTGAGAAACTGGGATCCCACAAGACTCCACAGTGCTGAATTACATTGCCCATTTCATGGATACGTTTCGAGGCTACGCTCTACTTCAAAACTTAGGCCCGACCGACTGCCCAGACGCGGATGTGGCCATCGGTGTAGCCACTGTACAAAGTGCTGCCGTCTGCGCTCCAGTTCAGACTGATGCAGTATGGAACCTGCCGTAACAATTGTAGTTCAGTTAGATTCAAAGCGGGCAACAATTCGTCCACATAAACGGCAGTGAGCAACTCTGTGAACACATATTTGAGAGTAGAAGGTACATATTTAGGTGAGGAAGCACATGACAGAGCGATAGGGTTTGATAAACAAACTTCACTGAGATTCATTACCTGGGCCTTCTTGCTCACGAACTGGAAGTCAGGGCGCAGCTCGTCGACAATAGACTTGCTTTCCAAGTCCCATATCTTGATGCACTGCTGTGTGGCGGCACACAACCAGTATCTGATGGAAGAAAGGAATCTTAGAAAACCTCCAAACACGGGGACACAATGTGTGCGGGCATTCGAATCCGATAGGAAATTCAAGACGAGCGTAGTACGTGAAACATCAGGACGGACCTACTTTCGCTGATGAAATCTAGAGTATGGAAATGTAGTGTAGTGAAAATTGAAACCAGCTATGAATTCACAGGCAACTAATAAGATGGGCATGGAGGTCCACGGAAGATTGCCCTAGCGCAGTGTGCGAAAAACAATGCAAAATATCGTACCTGTTGGGGCTGAAGCACAGAGCGTGGATGATGTCACCGGCGTCCAGAGAGTAAAGTCTCTTGCCCTCGGCAAGATCCCACAACATGGCGACTCCGTCCTTGCCACCACTAGCGCAGAGAGAACCATCGGGACTCACGGTGACAGTGTTGATGTAACCGGTGTGTCCGACCAGGCTGGTGCGGATCTTACAGTTGGTCAGGTTCCACACCTTCACGACCTTGTCCCATCCACCGGAAACAATCAAGGGGTTTGCGGTCACGGGGGAGAATCGCACGCAGCTGACCCATCCGCTGTGGGCATCAGAATCCTGGATGGTGTATTTGCACTCTCCAAGGGTGTTCCACAACTTGATGGTCTTGTCGCGAGATCCAGACACAATCTGCCTGTTGTCAACGGAGAAAGCAACAGACAACACATCCTTGGTGTGTCCAACAAACCGCCTGGTGGTGGTTCCTGAGTTCAAATCCCACAAACGAAGGGTTCCATCCCATGAACCGGACAGAGCGAACTGACCGTCAGACGAGATGACAACATCCTGAACAAAGTGTGCGTGTCCGGTCAATCTTCTCTTGGCAAAACCGTAGTTACCCTCCTCCCTGGTGAGAGTCCAGACGATGATACTCTTGTCCCTCGAGGCGGACAGGATCAAATCCGGGTTGTCGAGGGGACAGGCAATTGCCGTCACCCAGTTGCTATGACCTTTCAGAGTACCACGAAGCACCAGGGTCTCTGCCATCCTTGCTTACTTCAAAGCTAGAGGGAAATTCGTGTCTCCGATCGATGCCTGCCTGAGCTCCGCAGAATCGCGGACTAGAGAATCGTGAAGGCGCAAAAGAGAAGGAAATGCTCGAGCTTCGGGACTATGCTCGTATCGGCGGGCTCGCTGTACCCCCAGCCCCAGCCCCACCCCCACCTCCGACCACGACCCAGCGCTCTCCCTCGCCCCGAGCCCTCGAGCTCCTGCTGCATTAGGGTTTCGCCCAAAGCCCTCGCCTTTCCTCTCCCTTAGGGCGGACGTGTCAACCTGCTCACTTACTGGGGTGCCGCACCGGCGACCTTCCCTTTAGCCCCATTAACCTCCTCCAGGACCTTTTCCGCCCTTTCCGCAGAAAACGAATTTTCGGATTATTGGGAATTATCGAATTTCCAGCTAAAATGGCAAATTGAGCGACACGTCGAGGAGAGACACTGGGAGGGCACCGAGTCGACGCATGAGGAGTTTGAGGGGCGACGGAATCCTCGTTCTCGGGAGTCTTCACTTCCTGAGCGACTGACTGAGAGAGAGAGAGAGAGAGAGAGAGAGCAGCGCGAATTTTGCCTTGGGTCGTCGAGTGCAGCGAGCGTGGGGAGCAGCAGGGGCGGTGCCTGGAGATCGGAGATTGGGGGACGGGCGTCGTATAATAGAGGTTTTCCGAGGTGTTTGTACAGTGCATGTGTAATTCAAACTTTCAAAAAGTCGTCTTTCTTCCGCGTCCAAGAGCTTCGAGAGGGAGGTTTGGATCGTCGACTCCGATCGGGGATCGTGCAGTGTCGGTGTCATTTGCATGTGAATTCTGCTCGTGTTGTTTCTCTGCTGGGTTGGGGTGATTGTGTGCTCTTCAGTCGTGGATGGTGTCTCTGTAAGCTGTAGCTGAGGCGAGACCTCGGAATGTGTACGTCGAACATTTCGTCGGATCAGTTCACAGTTTTTGGCTCGTACAATTGAGGTGCACCGTAAGCAGATCAGGGATCATAATGAAGCGAGTTGATGGGTCTGGATCAGTACGCAGCATTGGAGGCCAACTGGATCGTCGATCATTTTGCCTCATAGAAGGACACAACTGAATGTGGTAGCTCTAGTAATTTAGACCCCGGTATCAGAACATGGATTTATGGAAGCGTCTGAGGATGCGGTGTCGTGGAGAGGGGAAAGTGTCATCCCGGAAAGGATTCAACGGAGTATCGTCTTTGTCTCTGTGCCTGCGCGACCTCTAGGGCAAGAAAAGCCCAAATTTTTTATCTCTATGCTGCCCTTCGAAGCTTTTGAGGATTCCGCAGGCAAATTGTGAATATGGGTGTACCTGTGGTAAATTCTACCCTGAAGGAGCTCCTTCCTCTTTCCATTTCGGGAACGTTCGATGAATCTGCTCTTCTGTCAGCATCCGATCTCATCACTCTTCTGGACAGGATACGAACCCGCTCAGAGGGAATAAAAGAGAAGGTCCACAAAACTGTGACAACTTACAACAAGGAATTCAAGCGTATAATTTTACAAGCAAACAATACAGCTGCAGACGTCGATAGCGTGTCTGACGAATTGGAATCGTTTCTAGAGCTCTTTGGTGAGAGTGTAGGAAAGAATGTTGTCAACGATCGAAATGCCCAGAGCAGTAAGCGAAATCTGCTGAAGGAGAAAGGAAGTTCAAATATAATTAATGGTTTGGACACACAGAAAAGTGGGATAGGCACAAAGGCTCCCGTTGTGAAGGAGGAAGCTGAAAGTAGTGAAAATGTGCCTCTCGACATTGAGCTCTGCAATTTGGCCAGCAAAGTTCACACTCTTCACACTAGGATAAAGGAGCGTGAAGAAGCTCTTGTCGTCGTCAAATCAATCTCGTGTTTGTTTGAACAGCTGTTATCTACGCAGAGAAAGTTCACCCCCGGTCACCTGGTAGAAGCTGCGAATGACATGCGCACACTACAGAAAAGACTAGGATTGGATGTAAGAAGCGACGATCAACCATGTGAAGATGTCGTTGGTGATGTCAAGGCCTTCAAGCTTCTTCGAGATTCATGGACAGAGCGTTTTGAGAAGGTGCGAAGATCCTAACACTTGAATCCCAAATACATCAAACTTTCACCTTTTTCCACTGTCTTATGACCAAACTCAACATTGAAGCAGGACTCTCTCATCCACGTAGGTAACAACGCTCACACAAATACATATACAACGCTCATAAGCGTAGCCACATGATTCTAAAGAAACTAGCGGCCATCCTGCAGCTTGTTCACATCCTGGAGGAGATGACCTCAAGAGCCATTGTGCTCAACGAGAGCACCTCGGAGCTTTCAGTCATATCTCCTGTCACATGTGAGAACCCGGAAGTTGTGTCTGACTCTGCGGCCATTGACCTATCCGCCATCTTCACGGCTATGGATGTAAGTCTTTCATTTTCACTCCTCCATATCCACTTGGAATCCGTTGATATTCGCTGCTTCTTTCACTCATTCTTCCACTTCTTTCACTGTTTACTCACTGGTTCCCACACATATCGTAGTTTCTTTCATGAGCTACGAGACCCTGAGAGATGTATGTTTTGTATTTTCCTCGGAAATGACAGGTCATGGGAGTTCTGAATGAAAGACTTGCAAAATTGGGAGATGCTGTCCAGAAGCATATTCTTGCTCCAATCTTGAGAGATCCCCAAACTTCTGTACTTACCACAGATCAGACAGAAAACAATCTGATAAGAAGACGATCCCTTGCGCTGCAGGCCTCGGTGACTCATGTAAGCAGTATGATTCGCTCTGATAATTCTTTCAAGTATGTCTTTTTCTGCGTGTCCTAGCTTGCTTTATATGCGCGCTAAGACCTGCGTGTAAAATCTCAAATGATTTCTCTTGTAGGGCCAAAGCGTCGAACCTGTTATTATTCTGTTTCCAAAAATCGTCCAGGTCATTAAGTTTCTCCACAAAGAAGTCTTTGGTGATCACACAGAATGGATGGCACGTTTCGGACGTTTATTATGGCCAAGACTTGCGGATGCAATCATCTCCACGTGTTTAAAGAAGGTATGTTACTTCAGCGTCTTTGTGTATCCAGTTCAGTTATTTGTCATTTTGACTTTTCAAAAGCAGATGTCTTCTTATTTTCTCTCCCTTAATCGTGAACTCAGCATTTGAAAACTCTCCAAGTTACTCGACTCCGCTTATGGGTCCGCATCTCATGCAGGCAGTGCCCAATGAAACGTCTGAATTGAAAGGCTTTCATAAAATTGCGGAGCTGACAGAAAGTTTTGAGATGGAAATAGCAAACGAGGGTCTTATTGCAAACTATGATCGGGCAAGAGGCGACAAATTGAGCACTTTCACGTCAGATGTCGAAGTTCATTTTGCCTTGAGAAAGAAGGAACAAGTTCTAGCTAAGGCGAGAGACTTGCTCATGAATACAGACTACAGTTTATCAGTAAGCTTGCATGGACATGACCAAATGAATGTCAAAGCTCTTACTTTCTGTACTGTTCTTTCCTTCTTTCTTTCTTATCATTTTTTATCATTTCTCAAAATTTCGAACGGTTTTCACTGCAGATTTATGTCTTTTTCATATTCTGAACTGATTTAAATTAGCAAAAGATAAATTTACGTGATCCTAAGCATGTGAAACTTATATGAGAAATAAGGGAGAATTCGGATTCATACGATGTTAGCAGTTTCCTCCGTTGTAGATTGGGGCACCACACCGGACCATAATATCTGATTCGGAGTTGAAGTGTTTGTGATGATAACAACCTGTGCATGCAAATGTTTTACAGGGAAGCTCTTGGGGAAGATCTAATCCTCATCATCAAGAGGGTACCGATGCATTTGAAGATCGGTCGATATACCTGCTGCAAGAGTCTTGCGCGATCAGTTCCTTAGCAAGAAAGTTGTTGGCCATTGTACACGAGGCTGTTGAGGTGAGATCATTTGCTGTAATCAGTCACAAAACTGGCTTGTTTAACTGTCGTAACCACGCCATACCTTATGTAAAAAGTCCTTCCATGTCGAAGTGAGTTATGCTTTTGTATTGGCTCGGATACCTGAACTGTTTGTACCACTCAGACGTTTCTCCGTGGTTTCCAGAGTATCTTCATATGCTCCTGAAATCTGAGAAATTCGTGTTTATATATATGAAGAAAGATGGTGCGGGTCATGTGGAGTTCTTTCCGTTTTCATTCTTCCCATTGTACGAGAGTTCACAACAGAGATGATGATGTGATTTTTTTGCAGGATGCTTGCTTGTCAACACCAAGAACAGCTATGGAGCTTTATCATGCTGCTCGAGATACAATTTTACTTTATAGAGCGATCATTCCGGTTAAGGTTAGAAACTTATGCCTTTGATGTTCAGTGAAGTTGTTGTGTGGAAGTTAGAATGTCCGGGGATCAGATGCTGGATCTTGCAGACATGTTTCCGTCTCATGACTTTGTAGTAACATCAAGTAGATTTTCGTCCTTATTACTTTGGTATGCTGCCGTGCTCAGCCTCGTGCAAGGTTCTATTTTGTTTGACGGAGCTCTTCTCCTGATTTTAGGTGCTAGACTATTTGCGAATGCTCTCCATATTTTCGTTCATGGTACCAGACAAGCTTGAGCTAAGCCAGCTCTCTCGTTGTGACTGTTAATCGTTCTTCTTTGATGCTTTTCAGCTAGGGTCGAAGATGAACAGCTTAAGTCAAGTTGCTGCCTTATGTCACAACGATTGCTTGTACATAGCACACGAACTACTCACATTCGTATACCAGGTGCGTACATCCTACCCCGCTTAAAATCTAGGCATTATGTTTCAGGTAATACTGACTTTGGTCAGGTTTGCTGGGCTGTTAACGAAGCTCGTTTAGTATCGACAGACCTGCGAGATTTGAGCCCCTGTATCGTGTCCACAAATGAACCATTTCAGCACCTTTTTAAACGCCTTGCTGTCAATCGTGGTAGCTGCGTGTCCAAGACAGTGTTACAGCCATATAGGTTCAATCACGTCGATGAAGGAGTATGCCACTTTGGTTTGGAGAAAAGAAAAGAAAGTTTGACCTTCAAACTTGGGTACTTAACTTGGAAGATGTAGAATAAGTTTTTTTTCCCACGGCGTGCTTTGATGTGCATGACAACGATTTTAAAATATATTGTCTTCTTCTCCAGATCGTTTCTTTCAGGGGTTTAATTTTCACTTTTCGGTTCTCTCTCCTTTTGCAGCTGTGGATTTTTCAGTTTCATTCATTCATTCATATGTAAAATCATGCAGAATGTACTTGTTTCTGCAGTATGGGAAAGTTTTACCTCCAAGCTTGAAAGAAATATTTACGTTTGTGGACCTCGTACCACTCTTTCGGCGAATGGCAGAGGAAGTCCTTGATCGACAGATCGGCTTTGTTGACGAAGAAATCATGATGGTAGGAAACCATATAAAACAGTCATTTGAGTTGTTTACAAGGTTCTCTTGATTACAAGTTGTTCATGTTTTGCATGTCTTCTCCTTGTGGTTTTGGAGGGTGTAGATGAAGTTTCCGTCTAGAGTTATTCCAGTTGAATCGCTCTCTGCCGCCTTAGCCTCCTTTGTATCCGGACTTTTAACGACGGTGACTGAAACCATAAGGAGGTCGTCATACACTGTCAAAAGATGTTCAGTGTATCAGCAGGCGTTTATCTGAAAGGTGGAATCAGTCTGGAAGCTAATTTTTCTTGAGACGTCCTATGTTTCACAGAGGCTAGATCATGCTCGAGGATTCCAGAGAACTGATGATCAGGAGCAATATGAAATCACTCAGCAAACTGTGCAGAAGGTCTTTCCATCTCATGACCTTACTATGTTTACTTATTCGAAACTGATAAATCTAAGAAATGACTTGACATGGAGTTTCACTGAAGCTGACTTTGCAAGAAAGCTACAATTGCTCGCATGCCTTTTACTTCTCTTTGGTTGAGCTGCGTAGACCTATCCGTATTGCATTTCCTTGTGTGGCCGGCATCCTGGTTCCAAGTAGACTTTCTCAGTTGTTTTCGTAATGAGCTCAGTTATTTACTCTTTCTTTGTAGGTCTGCATCCGTGTGCTTATTTTGAATTTTCCTTTTTGACAACCTGATCCTTACCATTGTATTTTGTCTCTGTGCAGGTTTTAGATATCTTCAAGAATTTTGCTACATTATGGAGGCCGGTTCTCTCTTATTCTCTATATAGGAGGGTGATGAGTGGATTGATCGACAATGTGGTGTCACGGATCGTCTCTGAAGTACTTGCTATTCCCGATATTGCTGTTCAGGAAACTGTTCAGGTTCGCACCGTCCGATTGAGCAGGGTGTGATCACGCATTAAGTCATGGTGCATCGCGCACTGCTTACATTTTGCTTCTACTCTGTTCATCATGAGGGTCATTATTAACAGTGGGATGCTTTATCTTACCTATATCACAGTGAAACTTACAACACTGACGTCTTTTCTTATCTGTCCATATAAAGAGTTGGCAAACTCTATATACTTTATGCATTGCAACGATCTCAATGATTCTACGCGGTTCTTTCATGACATCACTTCTTTAATTTGGGGCCGCTAGAACATTGCGTCGTCCTTTTGCTTTATCTACTTTGTGTCGGCGTGCTTTTCTTCTTGATGGTCATGCCAAGTAATGATTGCTCTGTGCTTCAGTTGGGTAAGATTTGCTGAATACTCGAATCTGTTGCGTCACAGCTTCAAGAACTCTTGATTTTTGTTCAAGAAAATCTATCCCCTCTGTTAGCTCTTCCATCTGTTGACGAGTTGAAAGGAGACCAAGCTCTGGTGGATAGCAGCCCCGAGGACTCCGTGGAGAAGTCGGTTCCATCCTGGCGCAAGCTGGAGAGTCTTCGAAGTAGGCCAGCTAATCTTTTGAACCCTTGAATCTTGTTTGCTTTACTTTGTCTAGAGATAATGTTGTAAAATCTCCATTGGGAACCGTTTTTATTCTTACTATTTGGAAGACCTGAATAAGTATCAGACCATGCCTGAAGTTAAGGAAGATGTAATAGAACCGGAGCTGACCAGGCTGATTCTTCCATGCGGGTCTCTCAAATCTGCTGACAATAGTCTTAATAGCGCGAGCTTATGTCGTAGGCCAGATGCATCTGATTTGTCGGCTACGTCGCTAACACTCAGGAACTTCTCGTCTGATTGCATAGATTTGTTAGACATGTCCCTTGTGTCCATAACACAAGCTTGGGAAAGTGGAGATTTGATATCGAGGGGCTTCTCTGCCGCTGAGGTATGGATCACTGCAGCATGCTTGAGTCTCTTTCGGCATTTTCTTGAACGATCTACTTCCATGTAGCAGATATTGCAGACTCTTTCGACGCGTTGCTTATAGCATTTTCTTTCTTTGCAGGTACAAAAGTTCATCAGGGCGATTTTCTCTGAGACGGCACATAGGGAAGAATGTTTGCAGAGAATAGGATCAAGATTTTGACCGGTCTGAATAATTCTGGAAGAAAATTATGCCCTCAGTATACAAGTTTATTCACTCGGTGTTGATGTCATTTCTTGGTAGTCCTATTTGGGGTTGAATGTGTCCTCGGTCATGGCTAGCCGTGAGAGTTCACGTTGAGCTCTGCTTGAGAAGGCTTTTAGGAGATCAGTGCAAGTAATGAATTCAGCTCCAGATGTTAATGTTGTTCCTTCACCAAAATAGTAGGTACGTTTATGAAACAACACCCGATGACTTTCAGAAGACGTATTGGTATAGCAACCGTGATTGTGCCACCTTTTGTCTCGGATCTCTTCTGGTGTAGAATCCGTTCATCCAGCACAATCTCCGAGGCTCGCGTTTGGCCTCAAAACCTCGTATTATGACGTGATCTGGGAAAAGCGTTCAAATCTCTTCGCGAAATGTGAGTAGCGCCGAGTATTGAACACATCCCTTTTTTCCCTCTTTCGTGCCTTCTCTGTAATTATAATACCAAATTCAACTACAGAATGAGTTTCCCCAGTTGGAACATTTGGATGCCGGAACTGAGTTGGTGCACTTCTCCCAGCAGCTGCAAGTGTCTGGAACATCTAATCACACTTCATACTCAAGCAAAGTACATGCAGAATCAACACTTCCAGGGAACGTGAATCATGGACTCCCAAGAAATGATCTCTAAACCAAGAGAACAATCATGAAGTCTATAATCACCCTCGCCAGTGGATGTTCCTCTTGATTCAGGTCTCTTGGAAGTTAAGAATCAAGGGTAACATCTACGGGCAAGAGAGAATCATGGAGAATGGTCGAAGACTAGTAATCTAGCTGCGTAGTATCTTCTCACAAGTCGCTGCGAAACCGTCATCTATTGCACAGTAAGAGATTCTTCGGCCTAGAGTTCTATCGTTTAAGAATGTGACGTCTCCGCATGACGTGCGCAAGTAGACAAGAAGTTGGTTGACCTCAGGCAAGGTCACAACTATCCACAACGAAGGTCCATCACATCTACAAACTCCGGAGATTCTCTTCGTGCGTCCTTGCCTCCTGTGGTCGTCAAAACTAACCTGGAGGCAAATTTCAGACCAAACTCATTATCCGAGTGCAAATGAATCATGAGAAATTGCAAATGGTGCTTCTTTCGCCCTGTTCGAAGCTGGTACACAAGGCGAGAATATTCGAAGCACTTCCATCTGCGAGTAAGCTTATCACTGACCGCGACGAAGTCTAGCTCTTCCCTAGCTTGCAAATACAGGGAGACAAATGGAAGACAATCGAAGACTTTCCACCGCTTTCCATGTCCTGAAGAACCATCCGCCATCCCCGATCGGCTGTCCAAACCTCGAATGCCAAGTTCCGAAGACCTAAGGTGCGGCAACACGAGACCGAGCCCACGGCCCCACCTCCTTCCTTGAGCATGGTGTCAACGAGCCGGTGGCATCCGAGCGGGTGAGCCATCTCGTCACAACGGAATCACGGACCAACCCAACAGCGCCATGTCATAAAATGGTTGCCGAGACCATACGTGGCAGGCTTGCTGCACGTCCAGCGTGTCAGTCGAGCCGAGTCAGCCCCCGATGTGCGTCGTCCAACATGTCACATGAGCATGAACGAGATTTCGTTCCGCCAAAGTCTCCGTGCAACGTGACTTGTAATGTGCTTTCAGAATACTCTGCGCCAACGCCTCCTCTTGGAGTCAATGATTCGGAGTCGAGACGACTGTCGGATTTGGTGCCAGCGCCTGCTACGTCGATTCGCTGAATTGGCATCGCCTGATTGGCTGTACGTTGCTCCTGCTCAGAACTATTGGAGCCCGCCTGGACAAAGATACAGCCTATGGTGAAAACTCGTGTCAGCGCTTCTGACCGTCCGACACATCGACGATGGAGAGATGCACAGGGACATGTGTCCCGAGCCCAGGACCAATATCGCTGGTGATTGATAACATCGGGCTTCCACTCGGCAGACATCGCTATATGTTACGCTCAAGGGTGCTGCCGGAGGAATTTTCAACATCATTACAATAAATGTCAGAACCTCTTCTGAATTATTTAAATTAAACTGGAAGCACACTAATTTAAATATAATCTCACAAATATCCACCGAGAATTGAGCTTTGATATATGACCAGTTAAATTAATTAATGCAATACCGTTTAATATTAATCAGAAGCTCATGTATCGCTTCTGTTGTCATTTTTGAACCAATAGCACACTGCGTTGGCCATTCTTAAGCCACGGAATGTGCTGCGAAGTAAAGTTGCAGCCAAAGCACAAGCTTACAAATATCACTCAGCTCAGATTTAGTTAATTATTGGCACCTAGGTGAAACCACCTTCAATTTCAGTTGGAGGAACTCGTGCAATTACAAGTGGATATTATGATTAGCCCAAACAGCTGAAAATTCAAGATAATGTTTTTGAGAGGTTTTCGGAATACAAGCAGTTCTCTATGCATTCGAACTTTTTCTACGTTCGTTGAGAAAGATTAAGTTTCCCATTAAGTTTAGTTAGCAATTATTAAAAATGAGAAACAATTGTGATAATAATTGTGAAGATCATCTCAATAAAGAGTCTTCACTCTCCAGACATGCACAGAAGTACTAAAACATTATAATCATCCTTTCCCGTCGTTCCTTTTCTTTCACCAGGCATCCATGCTCTCATTGATAAAGCCTTGACAGCCTCAGTAATTACAAGCTCCCGATTGAAACGTAAATACGAATGACTTCCGGCAGTGGGCTCTGAAAAAAGTACTTGCCTCTTGGTCACTTGCTTTGAGTTCCTTACTTGGCGAGAATGTCACCCTTCCTAATTCACGAGAGCTATGGATCTGACAGAGTGTACAGACTAGGTATTATGTGTCACTAGAGTGATGTATTGGAGGTTTTTGCATGTGCTGATTGGCATGGTCAGTACAAATGATGACACAAATCATGCGTTCTGTTTACATGGTAATTGGACCTTATGAAAATAACTATTAGAGATTAACTGTGAGTCAAACCATAGTTTGCTGGAAGATTATCTACTCATACGAATCTCATGAAACTTCAAATCTGTAGTTGGCAGATGCTTATGAACAACATTAGATATTTTTATTACAATTGGTTTTGAGCGTTGTTAAAATCTCATTTGATATTTTCTTTATACATATATATTACTCATGCAAAATTTTAAATTTAACTTTCCATTCATTGCTTTCGTCTATGCATTTGAATTTGTCTATGGTGTGCATTCAATATTTGATTGTACATCGATCAATCTTCCTATCTACAACCAAGTCATGGATATGTGATTTCAACAATTTAAAATTGTGATTTTGACATATTACTTGAACTATGATATCATGATTAACACAAAAATATTGACACATTATATGTTGAATCTAATAAAAATCATTTAAAACATCTGTTGGTAAAGTCTTCCATTGGTTTGACCAACGTTACCAATTGCTGAAAAAAGAGATGTAAAGAATTGTTCGCTGATCCTAAATTTCTGGTAAAACATAGAATGAAAATTTGTTGTCTTGTCCAACGGTGAATTCCCCAATCCGTTTCCAATCCCAACCCATGTTCCCTGTTGTATTGCAATGCGAAACTGTAGAAGGCCTTATCTTAATCCTTACTTAACGGTGAAGCTAATGGGGGCATGATTGTGACCCACTTTAAAATGGACCTAAGACTTATTTCAAATCATAAGTCTGCCGAGTGAACCATGCTTAGTTGCAGGCAACCTGAGCTGCCACTGACTAGTTAAATACCCAAGTGGTGAAGTGGACTGATGGGCATATGATATTTAAAATGTGCTCAGTTGTCAAACTATTGTGCAAGCTGAATAAGCAAAGACAACCTTTTACTCTCGGAGCATTTGGTGAGTTGGAAGAATTCACAAACAGACCACTATGCTCAAACGGGTTTCTATTACGTCTCATACAGGATATACCACATATGAAAGAGATAAGAGAGGTAAGTTGCATGAATCTGATATTTATCATTTTGTTTCAAAGAGGGAAAAGAATTCCTACTATTGCGCCTGTATTTCTTACCTTCAAGATAAAATGGGAATAGACTGAGCCAAGTAAATGCAAGGTAGAGCAAAAGGGGTAGACTCAGAGAAATAGAAACCTAAGAGCCACATAACAGAACAGTCCAATATATACTTTTGTAAGACTAAAATTCCAACCGCAGGTCTACAAAAAGGATCTTAGACAAACTTAAAGCTGTATACTGCAACAGTTTCGATTGTTTGTTTTCGTGAGTTTTCTGTCAAATTAGCCACGCAAACAATAATTCATCGATACAAAGACCTCGATTACTCTAGGTCCCCGGCAGTTCAACGAAGGCTCAATGAGTCCACATTCATCTCGTGCCCTTCTTTCGTAATCTTTGAATGTGATTCCACCCGTTAAGTGGAGAGGCTTTGATGAGAGTCACGAAGCACTGCATAAAGAATTACGGCGCAATGATGCTCACATGAAAGGAAAGCATCACCATACAAATTTACCTGATACAATTTAAAGCAAAGTCATGGTGTCTCCGGAAGATGAATACCATACATAGATGTTGGTTCTAACAGGGAGAAGCTTGTAGGCAAATGGATGTTGATGTAATTTATGGTGCGATCATCGCACCAATCGAGGGTGTTGAAGCTAAATCGGCAAGGAGCCTCCGCTATAATCTAAAACCGAACCTGCGATGGAAACCTCGACCAATCTTTGTTCCAGTAGCAGAAAATTAAAGAGAACACAAGGACTGAAGAAGCGATTTATATCTAGCTGGCCGACGGCACCTCCGGTTATCTTTCGCATACATCTGATGACGAGGGGTGGTAACATCGGACCACAACAAATATCAGTAATAAAACAATGTTTCTCTCAAAGGCAGATGCTAACGCAGGTCTCAAAGTTATGGGATTGTCTCGAAAATGGTAATGATCAGTATACTCCTCGACGCGCGTTTAGGGGCAGCTCCCGAGAAGAGATTTGACTTTCTCGCCAGTGCGCCGCGCGGAGAACATGGTAACACATAGAGAAGCGAGAGGGGGATGGAAGTCAGGAGCGGGGAGAGTCAAGTCCTATCCGGTAGCGCCGGTCAGACGGAGTCGGAATGAGTCAAGAGGAGCATGGAGGTGCCATCCGGGATGCCATGTGGCGTGCCATACATAAGATGGCATGGACGAGGGGCAGTACGAGGCATGGAAGCATATAGTGGCTGTGCCCACTGAGTCTGCCGCGAGCAGCGTCGCATTCGGTCTTTCGAATTCGAGAACTCGCTCGCTCTCTGAGGACCTCGCTCGTCTCGCCTCGCCTCGCGGACACGGATTTTGGCGTCAGCCTTCCTCTCCTCTCCTGGCAAGATGGGCAAGGCATCGCTGTTTCTGCTCGGGCTGCTCGCGCTGAGTGCCGTGTGCGTTTACGGATCGGACCCGGCAGCGGAGTCGGATGAAGCTTCGGCGTCCTTGCAGACCGATGTTTTGACGTTGGAAGTGGGAAATTTCAGCGAGACCGTCGAGAAGCACGACTTCATCGTCGTGGAATTTTATGCCCCATGGTAGGTCTCTCCGGCTGCCCTTTTGATCAGTTTGATCTCCCGGGTGTTGTGCATGCCAGGGCATGGGCGCCGTCTCGTTGCTCAGATTGAACAGGCCGCCGTGACGGCGATCCCGGACTGCCCCGGCTTTTGCATTTCGTTGGATTTCCTCGATTCCGAACAGGTCGGATCGGAAAAACATGTTTATTCCGCCTGCTAATTTGGCTCAGGCTGTGACGTTGACCTTGCACATTTTGATCAAGCCTGTGAGCAAAAGACAATGCTGTCGGTAGAGGAGCTCTATCAGTCCATGTTGCATGGCTCCCGTTAAACTAGGCAGCATCAGCTGCTCTTTTCATATCCCGTCGATCATTTATAAATTGTATAGTGAGGATCTGGATTGATTTTGGTTTGCTCGCGACAATCAAATCTGTTTATCTTATGCATAGTTGTGCGATCAGCGTAGAAGTCATGACATTACGACAGTTTTATAACTGAAGTGATGGCATCGGGGAGTCACTATTGACTTCCAAAGTCTGCAAGAGCAAGTGGTCCTGCTCTTTGTTCTTAAGTTTTGTAAGCTGGCTTTTACGCTTGCTACTCTCGATGGCGTAGTATTTGGATCTGGAAGAAACAGGATGGTGTTTTTTTTCTCTACACTTTAGGTTTTGGGGTTTTGTTAGCGCTTGTAGGTTTTAGATGCTGATCAGGATGCAATATATTTTAGCAGCACAGTACATACTCAGGACATCGTTCGTCGAATATGGATACAATTAGTGAATTTATCATGAAACTGGAGAAATTGACAATCTATCTACGAGGGACTATCTTATTGAACTCTCGGTCTTTGTAATTTTTCCTGCAAACAGGTGTGGTCACTGCAAACGATTGGAACCGGAGGTGAATCTTCTATCCTGCATGCCTTTTCTTTCAACCTTTCAAGTATCCTGCATTGGAGCTACTTATGCTGCAACATCAAACCTGGCCTGTAACAAAATCCTGAGGGTCGGTATTACGCGCTTCGTCTTTTGCAGTACGAGAAGGCAGCAACCCAGTTGAAAGAGAACGACCCACCTATTATCTTGGCCAAGGTCAATGTGGATGCAGAACAGAACAAGCCTCTGGCGTCAGAATTTGACATCAAGGGATTCCCTACTCTGAAGATCATCAAGAACAAGGGGCAGTCGGTTCAGGAGTACAAGGGGCCAAGAGAAGCTGAAGGAATTGTTTCCTACTTGAAGAAAATTTCCGGCCCACCTTCGTTGGAACTCACATCTGCTGAGCAAGCTGGAAAATTCATCACCGATAATGAGGGAAGCCTGGTTATCGTAAGATTTCGATACCCTTTAAAGTAGTTCACTTATATTTTAAATTTCCCTTTTTGTACAACCATATTTCTCTGCCTTAAATCCGTTCGTAGAGTTTAAGACGATTTGCATTGTACTCTGGAGTGGTGTCACTGAGAATATTAATGACTTCAAATTAATGGGTTTTAATCTCGGCGAGTAATGAATGTTTGATTGTGCAGATTGGAGTGTTTGACAAATTGGAAGGTGAACACTATGCCAATTATCTCAAAGTGGCCGATGCTCTTCGAAGTGATTACGAATTCTGCCATACTACCGATGCTTCTTACATTCCTGAAGATGGGGTACCAGTGAAGACGTCTTCAGTTCGTCTCATCAAGAATTTCGATGATAAAGTTACCGTATTCACAGTAAGTCTTCCAAAATTTGGTCTGACCAAAGTGGTTGTCACTCTTTCAAATTTGTCTTCCAATTTCCATTGAATGCAACTGAAGGTCAGATTTTGAAGCTGATGCTTCTTAAATTCTTGTCATGTAAATATGCGCTGCCTCTCTCATGCGGATGTTTTTCATATCAGGATTTTACGGTCGAGGCGCTTACAAATTCCATTGAGGAGGCAAGTCTGCCATACGTCACAGAGATGAGCAAGAAGCCAGAGCACCGACCAGCACTCATGAAGTTCTTTGAAAGTTCCAAGACAAAGGTTCGTCAATATTTGCAAGTTGACTTTTCTTCTTAACATTTGTGTAACCACGTGTAAGTGTTCCATGTATCCCAGTTTGGAGACTGAAGTTGCAATGTACTGTGTTATCATGTATCATGGCGAGATATAATATACCGAAAGACTGTCGAGGTTACACACGAGAGTTGAACTGTCTTCAATTGATGAGTACCATATTGTCCGAATCGTGTTGTTTAATTGGGCCATCCACTCGGGATTATCTGATTAAATAATTAACTTATATGTTTGCGCAGCTTTTCCTCTTCTTGGCTGAAACTTCCGAAGGAGACAATTCTCAGAAGGATCTTCTTAAGACTTTCTCAGAGTTGGCCAAGGCAAAGAAGGCAAATGGCTTGATTGCTCTTTTTGCTGATGCCGAAGAAAGTGCCAATGCCCTTCAGGTATCTATGCTCACATCCAACACATTTTCTTAAACTTCGCTCGCGGCAACAGGTTTGTGCTCAACAAAGGAAAGTTGTTGATGTCGGCGGATGAATTGTTGATCCATATGTCTTTGATGGAGTTTTAACTTTTGGCTACAAAAGTTACCATACTCTCAAATTGTTCGACATGTGATATGCAGTTTTTTGGTCTTGCGAAAGAAGATGCACCAGCCTCTGTTATCCAAGACAGCAAGGGAAAGAAGTACCTTTTCAAGAATGCGGAGGGTAGCAAGCTTTCATCTTGGGTCGATGCGTACTTGGTATGCGAATATAATGTCTAAAGTTTGAAGCGTTTGAAATGAATATAATATGTCTAAAGTAACACATTCCTTGTGCCTCAAGGGTTGTTCTCTATCATTCCTCAGTCGTCCTACACTGTATGCAAACTTTACCTCTCCAATCATATCAAGTTAGATGACTGAACTTCCATGAATCCTGCACTTTATCGTGACTCTGAATTACTATGCGTAATGTAGAATGGTGAGCTGAAGGAGCACATCAAGTCCGAGGCTATTCCTGAAACCAACGATGAGCCCGTAAAGGTCATTGTGGCCAATTCATTCAACGCAGAAGTGGTTGAAGCCAAGAAGAACGGTGAGCTTCAAACTAATTCTCAGTACTAACACAATAGGTGAAAAAATTTTCATTTGAGCTCTCTTTTGGACCTAGAGATCTTTAAAAGTGGTATATGCTTTAGTTCAAGGCAAAGAGCAAGATTCAATAAACTGGACTGCACACATTTTTGACATTGGGAATGAACATCTTTTTGTTTCTTTTGAAACGTGTGTATCTTTAGTGGCATGGTCCTAACATTTAAGATCTGTTGCAGTTTTCTTGGAATTCTATGCCCCATGGTGTGGACACTGCAAGAAGCTTGCCCCAATTTTGGACGAAGTAGCAACTTCGTTTGAGGGTGATTCCGATGTTGTGATCGCTAAATTTGTAAGTTCTGTCCATTTTCCATCTATTATGAAAGGAACTCCTTTTTTCAGTTTTGCAGCCAGTGAACTAGCCCTGCGACAGAAATTTTGCTGATAAAACAATCAATCAATAAATACCTTGTTCAAGTCGAATATTACATCCACATTCTCTGATGCGAGTAAATGCATGTCACACAGGATGCGACCGCCAATGATGTACCAGGTGATTTGTTCGACGTTCAAGGCTTTCCTACCCTCTACATGTACAGTGCCGAGGGAGTGGTCACGGCCTATGATGGAGAGCGGTCCAAGGAAGATATCATTAAGTTCATTAACGAGAACAGGACTAAATCTGCTCCAGTAGACAAGGCAGAGAAAACTGTAGAAGATGTGAAGGCTCCAGTTATTGAAACGATAGAAAAAGTTACAGACCCAGTGAAAGACGAGCTTTGAATACTGGCAGGTGAAATCTTGCTCTTGCCTTACATCTTATTAGTGTTAGTTTACATTGTGAGTGTACTTTGATCGTGTTCTTATCACATGTAGATGTACCCCGTTCAAACGTCCCGTTCTCGTTTTGCTCTACGAGGAGTTTGGTCAGATCTGCTGGTGCTCTAAGTTTTCTTTGATCTTGTGGTTGAACACTGTTAAATTACTCCAAACTTCTTTGCAGTTACATCACATGAATAATAAAAAAGGTGGAGATTTTATTGAAAGCTGTTTTTCTTACAGAAAACTGACAGACATTGCTATTCGTTGTGCAGTGTTACACATTAGCTTTCGAGAGCTTGGGAGAGGTTAGGGCGTGGTTTGGAATGGGTATCAACACCAGCTCAAAATAACCTCAAGAGAGTTGAAAGTCGGGAAAGGCTCATATGAGCATTGCCACCGGACAGCAGTTGGAAGATCAGACTCCAAGGAGATGGTTATAAGCAGGACATCTCTTATGGAATTCTAGTTTGAGATCAAGCTTGTCTTGTGGTATGTAAGTTAGACATGCTTTCAAATCAGTTTTGCAATTAGAGAACCTCAATGTGCTGTATCTTGTATTTAACAAAGGATCACAAAATACGTAAGAAGTTTTTTCAAAGCATGTATTTTCAAAATATGTTTTTTCTCTTACCTAAGTGCCCTGTTCGTAATTGTTGTGTTGTTCTATCCACGCTATAATGAGCAATGACTAATTTAAAGAATTTTACGGGAGACATAAAAGTAGTCTTCAAGATCCTTAGGGCGACTTTGAAGGAGGGGGGATGTTTTGTGTACTCTCAGGCTGTGGAAATTGAATAATAAAAATGCTCGTGAAGTGCCCTCACGGTTTGACTCCTCTCCTTAATAGCAACTTTTGGAGAGACGTTATTTAATTGCCTGGTGTGTCAAAAGAGACGCAATACACTTCGATCCTAACGCCAGCCCTCTACGCTATCGAATGCACTACAAGCAGCCACATCACGCAGGCAAGGAAAGGCGGAGCAAACAGACAGGCAAACAAAAATTTCCCCATACCCAGTCCGTCCTCTTGTATTTACTTCGTTTTATCTCGACATCGTCATTTCTCTCTCATTCCTTAGTTTCTCCATTTGTTATTGTCACGCTTGTCTTCGCTTCTCTAGTTCTCTGATGTGTTTTCTCTGTCAGTTTTCTGTAAGGAAAACAGCTTTCAAACACTTTCTGAGGTTCTCGCTTCTCTAGTGTTCTCTTTCGTATGAACATTCTATCATGCAACGTGTTCATAAAAGGTAATCCTAAGTTGCATTCTCTCTTGTTCTCTTTTGAACAATTTTTTAACTAAATTTTATACAATTGAGGATACAAAGTAGTAAAATCATGTCAAGTGATGGAGCACGATAATCCTTTGTTTGGTGTACAGAATTTTAACTTGTAATTTGAGAGTTTATGGTATTTTATTGTTATTTGTATAGAGTTTTAGCTTGCTAGTTAAGATACAGTTGCGATAGTACACATCCGAATACTATCTGTACCTGGGCTTTGGTTTCAATTTGACTTATCTGCATGAAGGGGTTGTACTATCTGTTATAAATTTTCAAGTTGACAAAAGCAAACATACATTTTGTTAAGATGAAATTTTTTTCGTAGTACTCCATTGAAATTCTACAACAATATCAGATAATAAGAACATTTCAAAACCAATATATACGTTTGAACAAAATCTATTTCACGTTTCAAAGTAGCAAGTGCATGCAGTAATTACCTTTTACATATATATAGAAGCTCTAATTTAAACTTAAATCTCTAGACCAAAATTTTGTTTATCATAACACATGTTTCAAGCAAAAAATGCCGAAATATTAACCAATCGTTGCTATTTAATCTGCAGCTACATGTGCTTATCTAACTAAATAAATTACTACTTGAGAAGAAAAGATTTGTTCCTTCTAAACTCTTCCATAATGTGACATTGGTAGAAATGAGAGGGAATCCCATCAACTGCGCAGGAAGAACGTACCGGCCATATTTACAAAGTAAACCGAGTGTGTTGAACCAGTGATCAACCAGTAATGTACACTAAACTGCTCGAACGGCTCCCCTAGTCAACATTAGGATTTGATATCACAAGTCAACCAGTCACCAGGCAAAAATGTTAGCATCTCGATGAATTCAGTCTGAAAGTTACCCGCTGCTTCTTCATCAGAGTGATGTTGTTAATTCTAAGTAAAAGCTGAGTGAAGGTTACTGACTTTGGAAGAGTCCATCTGATGGACTCTTCCAAAGTTTCTTCAAGTGATGGACTCCATCACTTGAAGAAACTCCACTTCCTCGACTCCGCCTGATGCTACCATAGAACAGCGGTCATGAATGTCTAGTCTACCTTGGTCACGACCATCAGCCGAAGTTCTTTCTTCCTTACATACTATAGTGTCTCCGACCAAAGGGTCAAACCATTCATCTTTTGACATCATGTAGTCCGTGTGCCCAAAATATACCTTTGAAGCCAACTATATACCGGTATAATGAAAGCTCATTATTCTGATAATGGATGACTTTATAATTAGACATGATCACTTGACTTCGTCCAATACATCAACAAATGTAGAGGGGTTCAAGACTCCAGAAGATTGTGGAAAGTAATTGGTAATGCCTCAAAAGTGTATCACATATCCTCTAGGATCTAGTCTAAACTCAGTCAGACTAGTGTGAATATTTTGTGATATTATAAAGTGTTACGTAACTTGATGACGTCTGTAAGATGATACCTTTGTTGGACTTTAATACCCATGTACTATACTCTGATCGATACATTTTCTGGAGATGGCCGTTCACTGGCCCACTTTTACTTGTTGTGGTCGTGGCCCTTCGACCTCGTAGATGCATAATAAATCATACACGAGGAGGAAGATTAAGATTAAATCAAACCTCCGAAGAATAATTCTTCATAGTGTTAATAAGGAACAGAGTCCAAGCAGATGAGAATTGCTCAACCACCTCTCGAAGGATCTGACTGGCACACACACACCTTTGCATGATGATGGTGTGTGCGATGTCGAGCTAATGCCTTGAAGGAGTCTCTATCAAACCCGGCACGATCGCGTCAGCTGCTTTAATTTCTCCCAGTTTGATCGACTCAAATGACAGCAGAGAATTCTGGATTCCAGGTCGGACGTAGACTAGGGAACTGCCTATCTTTCCTCAGAAGCAAAGTCTCCCACCGTACTCCATTCTTGAAGCTTTATGTGGCTCCTCGTTGTGGAGGGGCCGGGTACGAAGAAGTTTCTACAGCCCCACAGCTACAAACATTTTTCAACTTGGGTCAGCCTCACACCACCTCCATCTTTATTGTACTTGCTTCGCTAAATTGTCCTTGTGTGCGAATTGCGATTTTCAGGAATTCTCCTCCCGCAATGTCTCCAACAGGAACCTTCATCTCCGACACTGCTGCACCCACGTCTCCAAGAAGGGATCTCCCCAAGTGTGTGCATCCACAAACCTGCAGTATAATTAAAACGAGCAGCTTTCGGCCACTCAAATGTAAGTAGTGTTGCCTCCATAGCGGCATACGGAATACGAATGTGGTCACCTAGTTTCCTCTTGGATTTGTCTTCGTTTTCCAAGGTTTTGGAGTATACGAGATAAGCAGTAACTCATGCACAAGGTAGGTAAAGTTCAAATACGATGGGAAGAACGCTTGTTCCATGAAACTTTTTTTTATGAACACAGATGCTAGCGAAGATGAAAATTTTGACGCCTAGGATAATGAAGTAAATATGTAATTTTATTATATTTCATAGTCAAAATAGATAAGCAAAGCTTTCAGGCTTCACATAATAGACTACACTGGCATACAACATCCTAAAACTGTTGAATTCTGGGAATCGTTTTGACACTTACCGTGTGATCATAGAGTATTGCAAAAGATCAGTGTTCCAGATCTTGGGCTAGTTTACAGCTGTAGATTGTGACAGGTGTTAAAGCGACCCAAAAAAAGTGTCAAACAAAACGAGATCTGTATTTTGAAATGCTTGATTACACGTATGACATTGTATGTAGATACTCATGAGAGTAATTATTACTTCCTGGCGTAAAGATAACACAAAGAATGAAGTAACATAATGAGAAATAGTATGGACAGCTGATTAGGAGTGCAATCTGCTTTGTTATGCAGAAAGTAAGCCACAGGCAATCAGATATTTATTCTTCGTATGAAGGGGCAGAAGAAGAGCTCAAGTGTTGATAAGTTCATGCCCAGCCGATTATTGGACGCGCGGTAGTGGAAGATTTATCTCTCTTTTAAGGAAGGAGTGCCTTTGATTTCTTCATTTGACTTCCTCTTGATTGCACAAAGCTGTAACTGCCAAAGAAGACACTTGGATTGTCCTAAAATCTGTATCATGCGCGGATGGAGATCGTGTGAAGCAGGTACAGGTTTCAGAAACTCTGGCTCCAGCTAGTTCATCCTTTTTTTGTTCGACGAAGATCTCAGGCCAAACTCGTCCCGGTGTTTACAAATTGTGGGGATTCTGCATTCAATTTCACGGATCCCTTTTGTAGTCATTCAAAAAATTGTTCTTTTGAAACAACCATTTTGATCGTGTTGAAGCAGAACGTGCGCATATGAACCTTTCATCTTTTAGATAGGAAGAGAGAATAGAAGGTTGAGCTCATTGTCACTTCTTTTCCGGAGCTCTCGAGTGGTCAATTTATTGAGAGAGGTTGGAGCCAGTGCAGTGTCCGGATAAAGCGAGAGATTTTTGCATGTGACTGAAAGCAAGTGTGTCAAAACGCAACTTGGCTATGAATGCAAGAGGTTGGGATTGAATGGGATCAATCATCTCCACGGTGAGAAAGAGGCGACTAATTGTAAAAATGAGAATGATGGCCGAACCACCTCGGCAGTATTGGCCAGGTCTATGCCTACTATTCACGAAATCCGAACTACCAACTTTGAAAGGCATGAGAAACGAAAGCCGAGAGTAACAAGGTTTTAAATCCAGAGTCATTCTCTAGCATCGCTATGCGACTACCTTATCGAACGATGAAAAATCCAGGATCTTTCATCGAAGAGAACATTACAAACTATTATATAAAACACGAGAGAGGGCTTCATGAAATAGAGCAGATCGCCATCAGCTCCTTGGATTGAACTAAAAGAAGGAAACGGACTCGTAGGACAACGTAGGACGTAGGCAGCTCACACACGCTGTCTCCCGATGATCACGCGATGTCTCCCTCCCTCCCTCCCTCCCTCACTCACTCACTCACTCGGAGGCTATTCCAGGCGCAAGCAGTCCAGACCAAGAAGCCAGCGAAGGGTGCAGCGATCAGACGTAACTCCCCAGGGGAAGTGGGGAGGCACTCAGATTCTTCGTACAGCACTCACCACCTTTCAGGTTGTACATAATCGTACAACAGTGATTCCTTCCATCTTGGATATAAATTTTTATTTCATGAGACCGTTAGTTTCACATGATCTTTCACACCTTCAAGAAAACTGATTAGTGTCCCTTAATCGTGCATTAATTGAAGTGTCGTCCTTGCAGTTTTCTCATGCGAGTTTACACATTGCCATCGTTACGCTCATTTGTGAATCTAAATTTTTCATCATTCATTTTCCGTCGTGTTCTTAAATCAAGGATTGTGACGTTGCAATCACTTGACGTTTAGTGATGCAGTTCACAAGAATAAGGCATTATACTCTTAAGTTGAAGGATTTGGTGTCCCACTTCTTTACTTGTGCACAAAAGTTGAGATGGTAGAGGTGCTACAGGGCAACGTGACAAAAAGTGGCGAGGATCAGATAGAAAGACACAACTTTTGGTAAAATGTAAGTGGATAGAGATCATTATAAGACACCCACATATTTCTTGTCAGAATACTCATGGGTAATCTTAATGTTCCAAGTGTAATCAAGTCCACAATATCATTGTTCCAAAGAGCAGTGTTTCAGTCAGAATCAGCATGTTGAAGTGTTCAGCCTGATAAAAAAGCAATTGTCTGTCGCACAAACTTTCATGGAAAAGCAGAAGTGGACGTCGGATGGTGCACAAGGTTCATGCGCGACTTTTTCCCGAGAAAATTAATTTCCTGCGTTCGCGCTTGACACTCAGAGGAATTCACCTCAGTCTAAGTCAATATTTCTTACTAAGCTCTGGAGCTTGATTGCGAGATTGATTGATCTCTTCTACGTTGCATCGCACTCGGACAGGTGAGATCTGTCCGGCCTTTCGCATCTGATACACCATCGATCTTCCGTGCTCCAGTTGTGCATCTTGACCGACAATCAGAGCGGGGAAGTTGTGAAAGAAGCCAAGAAAAAGCGACTCAGGACTGACGACAGCAAACAGACGAACTATCGGATCGGAGTCTCGACTGGAACACGAGTTTCAGTCGGTGACTATCCAGACCAAGACCTTCTTTCAAACTTACTTCGATCTACACGATCGAATCGAAACTGAAATGCTAGAATACAACGAAAGGAATCTCTGGACAAGCTGCTGTGACGGACTTGATCACCATGGAGTGATAAACCAATCACAGTCTCTTATCAAACCAAAGGCAGCGAACCATGCAGCCTGCCAAATCAGAGTACAGTTGTCAACCTGCTCAGGCAACCGATGAAGTAGCAGGGAGATCGTCTTGTCCTGTCCAAAGATGTAACGCCCAGTCATGCCCAGCTGTGTACCGAAGGACACGATGGAGTCAGACTGTCATGAATCATCTCCATGCAGAACATGGCTACCTTCAAGTTGCCGGTTTTATATCTGATTTCATGCTATGTTGTTACATATCCTTGGCACTGATAGAACCGAGAGAAACGGGAAAGGAGTAAATTACATTACATTCTTGCATTACAGATGAATTAAGGTGAAAGTGTAAAAAAATGTGTATAATATTTCAAAATAATAATAATCATAAGATGTTAAATCTAATCTACAATAAAGTTTATATCTTAAAATTTCAGTATACTCGTTGTGATTTATGAATAATGATTTTGAATCTAGGTAGATGCAATTGTTAGATTTATTAATAATATATACAAATTTTTCAATATAGGAAAGTCGAAGAAATTTAGTTGAAAGTAGATGTAAAAAATGAATACATGTGTTTTTTAATAAATCATAAAAAGCTTTCAGTTTGAGAAAAATGTTAAATAAATGTAAGGAAGACTCTGTAATATTGATTATATCTACGAAAAAAAGCCCTCTCCCTAAGGTCGAGTGCCCTTTGGCCCCAAGAGATCAAAAAACAATATCCATATATTCTTTTATTTCATTGTAGTGGCTTGACCAGTCGACAATGGCGACAAATCAAGAATAATATTGTGTACCATTAAAGGTAAAACTTTATTTAAACCAAAAGAGAAAAAACAAAATATTCTGCCAAACAATTAGGGCGATTGGATTGCACAGCTTGCTTCTAGCGCAGGTCCTACTTGTATCTTGTAATAATTTATTTTATATTTAAATTTCATGTCATTAAAAATGAAAAAATAATTAACAATAAAATTTGTAATTTTTTCTTCATTGATTACTGGAAATAATAATCATAATAAAGTAATTAAAAATGACTCCACCTTTAATATCATACATTTTTTTGGTTCGTGGAATATTCAGGTGTGAAGCTTCTCTTATCTCAGCACACATATTGGATGTTGCGCAAGCTTTTACAGTTTTGAACACAAAACTCAACCTCATTTTCTCAATCTAAAATTAGTTAATTTGTACATTAATGACCTTTTGCAGGTTTTAAGTTCTTAACTCGCTGTTTAGAGTTTTCAAATGTAACTTATATCAACTAGAGAATAAAGTACCACTCATCAAAGATTTGCCAAAAATGATTTTTGTTGATATATTTTCCAATAGAAAATATTTATACATCAAATAAATAAAATAAATCTAGCAGATGATTTTTCTTCTGTGTCTGATCTAACACAAATGTTCTGCATGAGAGAAAATATTTTCTCTCACGAAAATCTTACAACTAGATCTATTTTTTTTTATTTTCAAAAATGCTAAGATAACTTTTCTTCAATATTAGAATTAAAAATTCTAATATCGATGTTCAGCATCTAGACTATGTCTAGACGAAAGTCTATACAAAGCATAATGTATTTTTCAACAAAAATCAATTTCATCTATACTAAGAACTTTACCATATTCCCATCTCCAACTGTGGGGTGGGCTATCCCAATGGTAAATAGTAGGGGGTTCGGGGATTTCGCTAGGAATCACCGCAGAAGGTTCATCATCGACCTTCACTCCACTAAAACAAGAAAAAATTTTCTTTATTTTGTTCCAAAAATTCTTCATCTTGTTTGGAACCTGCATAGCAACAAACCAAGTGAAGAAAACATTATATTTAATGTAAATTTTATATAAAAAAATAAAATATTATTACAAATGATTAGAGTACACCATGTATTGATCATCAATGTCAATATACTATTGAATGTATTTCAAGGCTCACTTACAGAAGTAGGAGATAGGGTACTAGCGGTGATCCCCGCTCTGATTGTCGGTCAAGATGCACAACTGGAGCACGGAAGATCGATGGTGTATCAGATGCGAAAGGCCGGACAGATCTCACATGTCCGAGTGCAATGCAACGTAGAAGAGATCAATCAATCTCGCAATCAAGCTCCAGAGCTTAGTAAGAAATATTGACTTAGACTGAGGTGAATTCCTCTGAGTGTCAAGCGCGAACGCAGGAAATTAATTTTCTCGGGAAAAAGTCGCGCATGAACCTTGTGCACCATCCGACGTCCACTTCTGCTTTTCCATGAAAGTTTGTGCGACAGACAATTGCTTTTTTATCAGGCTGAACACTTCAACATGCTGATTCTGACTGAAACACTGCTCTTTGGAACAATGATATTGTGGACTTGATTACACTTGGAACACTAAGATTACCCATGAGTATTCTGACAAGAAATATGTGGGTGTCTTATAATGATCCGTCTCTTGCTTTCGGCTCCAACTCTTGATCCGTCTCTTGCTGATGGCTGTCGTCGTTCTCGTCGTTACCGCGAGAGGACCACCCTGGGGCGCAAGACCATCGTTCCCTTCGCGACCCGTCGGAGCTTCGAGGGGAAAATTCTGCGCGCGACACCTCAAAGCGTCTTTCGACTGGTGCGCTTGCGTATTGCGAATTGTTCCTGTGTTCGAATACACGAGTACTGCCGAGCTGTGCGACGATAGGCGGTGATTAGATTAGTGATAATCTGCCTTTGTCACCTCCTGGACTCCGAATGTAGTTCTCAAGTCGCCACCATATCTTGCACTCGCAGGCATGGTCATAAAAGCTGTCGTCGTTACCGCGAGAAGACCACCCTGGGGCGTAAGACCATTGTTCCGTTCTGCTCTTCACGACCCGTCGGAGCTTCGAGGGGAAAATTCTACGCGCGACACCTCAAAGCGTCGTTCTACTGGTGCGCTTGCGAATTGCGAATTGTTCCTGTGTTCGAATACACGAGCTGTGCGACGATCGGCGGCGGGGCCGATTGGTTCCGCTCGATGCGGCTTCTACTCAGAGCAAGTGCCCAAGAGTTTTCTACGTGTGCTCGTTTGGCAAGTTCGGACAGCAGAGGCGAGTATCGTGGAGTGGAATGCCCTGCCGAGGAAATCGAGTCGGACGCCGTAATGGTGAGCTTTGACTTTTCTGCGTTTTTTGTTTCGCACTCGAGACGGAGCTGGAATCGAGAAAGTGTGCCCTGCCCAGAGCTGAAGATGATAGTACACTCTGCAGTCAGTAGAATTTGTAACTCATATCCGTTGGAAGATCGGGATCATCCGTTGGCTAATTTGAATTTCAATTTGTTGCCGGTGTGCAGTCAGAAAACATGTCAGCCTTATAAAAAACTTGTCTCGTATCCAGGTGGTTATTGTAAACTCTTCCAAATGACTTCTGTTCCTGGATTTTTCATCGAGGTAGTCTACCTTATCGAACAATTTTTCATCGTTCGATAAGGTAGTCGCATAGCGATGCTAGAGAATGACTCTGGATTTAAAACCTTGTTACTCTCGGCTTTCGTTTCTCATGCCTTTCAAAGTTGGTAGTTCGGATTTCGTGAATAGTAGGCATAGACCTGGCCAATACTGCCGCAGTTTCCTTCTTTCGATTTTGTACTTGGCCGCACTGTTTATCCTAGAATAATGTCTCACGAGCATTCCTTCCGTGCGCGTAGGTTCAGCCTGTAAGCTACAAGGAGCAGGTTGAGTTCCTTGATTGGTTGAAAGAGCGCGGACAGCGAGATGCTTATCTTAGTACTACTGTGGGAACCTCCACACATGGCAGGTACTCAACTCATGTTTAACGAACTGTCAATTAGATTTCTGATTGTTACTGATATCGAGACGATCAGCAAAGTTATGATTATGATTCTATTTTTTAGGCCGTCGGTGAACTGAGAAATTCAATTGTTGTAAATATTTGTAATCGTTCGCGTTTCAGACCTTTTACCTCTGAGCATTGTTGGCTATCTCTCATATTTAAGCCGGGGGAAAATGGTAATAACTTCGATTGTGACTCTCCAGTGCTGAAATTGTACCTGTCGCCTTGTTCGCTACCCGTCCCATTCAAGCTGGCGAGCGTGTTCTTCGTGTTTCCCGAGATCTGGTGAGTACTAGCTTCGATTAGGCGTGTTACTCTGCTTCGGTACACATCTTGCAGATAGTAGCCGCATGGTTAGTCAAGGTTTTGAGCTATGGGGTGTTCAAAACCTTCCTGAATTTAGGATTCCTTGCGAAGTTGGCTTTGAGTGATGGATGGCGATTAAGTGTTTTGGGCAAATAATAAGCATATTATTCTCGTTCAATTTGGCATTCCAAATACGTCGAAGCTTGAAGTCGAGTGAATCACTTACTTTCTCACCTTTCATGCAGATGATCACTCCAGACAAGCTACCGAAGGAGGTCACGAAACTTTTGCCGCAAGATGTTAGTGAGTGGGCTCGTCTTGCTCTCTTCTTACTTGCCGAGCAGCATAAGGGCCAGGTGTGAAATCTCTTTTATTTGCGGGATCAGAAGCGGGATTGAAACAAATTATTCGATGTTCTTATCATCTGCGTTTTATTGTTCTTTGTTACTGTTTACATTTATTGTTTCTGAAGCAACGTGGACGATAACCAAGTGATGCAAAAACCTGGGCGTAAAGCGGAGATTATTTCCTAGTGTATCGTCAAAACATCGGCGTTGTAGGAAACAAGTGTTTTTCTAACTTTTGTATCATATTGAAGTGTATGTGTTCTGATGTAGGAATCAGTTGCCTACCTCCTTTAGGGTCTATTCACAGTACGGTACGCGAATAATGGCCGCCGAAGCCACCAAGCTTGACGGGCGGCTGGCTCGACGACCTTTGAAAGACAAGAACAGAGAAGCTCAGGCTATGAGCCTCCTGCTAGCTCGTTTGGAGAGTATGATGCAGCAACGGCATAGTGCACTTCTGGTTAGTTGTCTGCATGCTTACCTTATGGAGACCTTGAAACGTATTCTTTCCCTGTGGTAGTTGGAGTGAACTAAGATTGTACCCCTTATTTTGCACTTGATTTTCTGTGACAGCTCTTGATTTCTTGCTCCTGTTTATACCTGCAGACCTTGCGCTTGGTGAAAACATGTAGAGGGTCGAATTCAGGCTCGAAGAGTCCAGTTACAGTGCACGTACACATGGCAGGTGCCGTTGTCAGCGGAGAGATGCGCGTTTTAAGGTCTGTCATCGCTTGGTTGAGAATCATTGTTCTCCTTCGACTGTCCTCACATGAGCATCAAAGGTTTTCGACTTCGCACGCGATCCTTTTCCTTGATGGGGTAAGGCCTGTAAGAACTTGTGGTGAGCGATCAGCTTCTTCTCTGTCGAGAAGAGCCTTGTGTTTAATGAGCCTATCTTAGAGAGTAGGCAACACTCGAGACTTGTTTTCTTAGCACATCCACTGAAAGCGGCTACATTTCTTTTCACCACATTGGTGAAAAACTTCCCATAGAAAACGTACATGACAGCAGGTAGTGGAAGTGGCAGATAATCAGAAATCTCAACACTCCACAACACGTACTGGATGACTGTGATAACGTGAAATGTTTTCGACGGTTTCACAAACACGGGTTATCGTCATCCTCCTCCCACAGCCATATGACTGTTTTGATATTACCCGAATCCCTCGTCGTCCACGATCTAGATCTTCACAACCTAGGCAGGGTAAAAGAGTCCCAGAAGTGTACATTCACTATTTTTTCTCTCTGGGATTTTTCACCGAGAGACTTTCACGATGATTTCTCAAATAGAAGTTCAAGGTTCGTTCCTTCACTTCTATATCTCGTTCTGAATACTGCTCTTTGTCCCACCATCGTACAGAATTTTGACCTTGTCTTTGAAGGTGGTGTCTCATGCTCGGGCGTGAATGCTTCCACCAAACACCCGTTTCACAGTGTTCATGGAATAAATTTTGTGTTCGACCGGCCCCTCCAGCAGCCCCCCTACAAAAATCACACACACACTTCCGTGTTTATGAGTTACACCTATCGTTGGTGAGTTTTAATTTAGTGTTCAATAAAAGCATCAACAATTTGGCCCTTCGCAAGCCCGCGAAAGTCGCGTCATCCGACGCTGGATGTGCTAAGAAAACAGTTTCTGCATGCCGAGTGTTTTGAACAATTCCCGCCTTGTCAAATATTTACCAAGAAACAGTGCCGACGTATTCCTTGATTGAAAACCATACCTCAATTATTTCCTTGGCTTTAAATCAGGGCATGATTCGCCTCGTGTGAGTAGAATGACCGTGAACGATCCATGCTCGAGGCGGCCTTACTCGCCGCGAAGAAGTTTTCAGCAGCCACGGCACTCACGATCTCATCCTTTGAACGTGATAACAGAGCAAAACCACGAGTGCTCCCTGACAACCAATGACGCTGATGAAGAGACCTGGAGACAATTCCATACTTGCAGTCATCAGGCAGCAGCGTCCGCAGGTTCGACTACAAAGGAAAAAACATTGTCCAAAAATATTCATGTAAAACATTCTAACAAATGTACGGGGTTCTCAGCTCTCAGTTGAAGACCTCGATCGTGGCATCAGGTGATCTAGGATATGCTTAGTCTCCATTGTACTGTGACCTACTTTAAGCTTGTGAACAAAACTCATCTGCTCCGACAGGATAAGTCAACTGTGACAACCAGCGCACGGTTCGACCAAGCATTCATAGCAGCGATTCTTGTCATAGAGAGGAGAGGACATAGTAGAATAAAAGAGCGCTCAAGGAGGAGCTGCTGTAAGAGCAGCGACAATGAATCCCAAATATGGTCAGCACAAACAGTAGGAGTGGGATGTTGAATCAATCAAAGGGAAAAATAAATATAAAGAACGTCGACCAACTTTACATCAACTTTGGGTGAAACTTAAAAAATCAATATATATATATATATATATATATCGGCTTGCTTTGATTTGTTTTCCTTTTCCTTCATGAACATCTGAATTCAGCGATTATATCCACTCCTGGATCAGACACAGCGAAGGATATCCAGATACAAGACCACTGTTTTTCGTATAGCGTAAAAGTTGTCTTGTTGGTACTGGCGTACTGGCAATTGGAAACAGTTGTCATTCAGATTGGACTGCCGATCAGAAGTTAAGGTGGACTGGAGTTTTTAGTAACCACTCTAGTTCCAGCCGAGTAAGGCAAAGTTTAAGAACAGCAAATCTGATTCCATTTTGTCCAACTCAACTCTGGATGTGATAGAATATCATCTGGCTGTATAAAGCTCATAGCATCGGTTGGTCGGTTCCAATCAAGCGGAAGCTACATGGTAGGGGTTATATTGCCCAAGGGGTTATACTACATGTGCAGTATTCCGTCCTCGCGGGATGGTTTCTACTCAAAGTCAATGGAAATTACACCTTAGCATACTTCATAGAATATCCTCCTGGTCGTAGAGCGGACATATCAGTTCGCCTGAACAGAGAGCGATCACTCTTGGAAATTCTCTGATAATTACTGATGTTTCAGGCATTTTTTTAGTTCGGTTTGTTAGATAAGACTTTTCACCAGTAATAAGGTTTTTTCTGTTGTAGACCAATCCACTGAGGCCACTATTATTGGTCGCACCACAAATCATCTTAGCTTTTCCCCCATGGCATGAAGAGTAGATACATTTTGTTAGGATTTTTCATACCTCTACTTACAAAGAGCTAGAGACACGTAGGGTGAGGTTTAACGAGGAGAAAGGAAACGAAGAGAATCAAGACTTATCTTGACCTGAAAGCCGGTCGGATCATTTATTAATACATAAGAAATTTTTTATTAAGAATTGTTCAGTTAGTGGAGGTATTGAATCAGTCAACTATGTACTTACGTGTTCATTTCACTTGGACCAAAAAGTACATGTCATTTCCTCCTTCAAGCTAAATCCGGAAACAACTATTCGTCGATAGCTGTCTCGACTCAGTATAGATCCCTCACCCTTTTTGTATAGAAAGAAGTGGGAAAATTTTGCAATAAGTCAGCTACCCTCGGGACGAAGATGACGTACAAACAAAGTAGTATGTCCATTGTGAACTTGGTCCTTCCAATCAAGCCCTTGTCAATAAGCTCACATCATAACAGCATGTTCTGTTCGATATATATATGTGTATAAATAGCAATAAAGCATCCATCGTTGAATTGGTGACTGGCGGCACTGTTATGGATCTTAATTGTGTGTGTGGGGATGTAGCTGTGATTGTGGTATGTTACAGTCTGCGCCACCCCATCACCCCATCTTTGATTCAGAAATTTGTTCTGTAATTCAGTGAAATTATCGGAACTGAGAGAAATGTGAATTCTGGGTTTCTGACGTACAAACAAAGTAGTATGTCCATTGTCTACTTGTCTTTCTGGGTTTCTGTGCAACAGAACTCAGAATGCCCTTGGACACAATGACAAATCCATAGTCTGAAATCTATTTATAAAGGGGAATTTTTTTCATGGTTGACACTTCATAAGTCAGCTGTATTGGGTTACTCTAGACCCACTCAGGATATATCGGTGACTATCCTCAAGATTATGTGACACATTATCTTCATGAGACTGTATCACATGATATTTTGCATGTTTACTATAGACCAGACTTGAGTTGACTGAAATTGAAGTTAGTAACTAACTCATGTATTGGCTAGCTCTAGTTAATATAACTATGTTCATATTCATATAGTTAGACAAAGTTAGCAACTGCCATATAAGAGTGTTGACAGTAGTTTTATGTGAAACACAATCAAGGTTTTTTTATTAAAACTTTGTGTTCCTGTGTACATAAATTTGTAGAGGTGAATCACTTAGTTATGGTGTCGACTACTGGTCATGAATATAAGAACCCATGAATGCACCTGATTAAATCCGTCAAAGACTTGAAACACATTATGAGATTCTATTTTCATTCACTATGCATGACAACTCCCTTGGACGCATCTAGAGCCCACATCAGTTATTACACTTTGACAAAGGTGAAGGCCTGTGTTTGAATAAGCCTACATCTCATCTCTTCATATTGCACATTTTACTACGATAAATCTACCAAATGTAAAATCGATCATACCGATCTGCTTTTTCTGAATTTGATCCAGTTTTCAAACTCAGTTTTCATTTGCCACTTACTTGACATTCTATCTTTTCGAAATGCTCCATACAAGATTATGAACTATACCACTTGTGCCATCGCTCTAAAGAGTGGTCATGCAGAGATAGATGGTACACCCTCGAATCCGAAAAAAAAAAATCTAATACCTTTACGAAGAGGGAGGGCTGAGTTGCGACTGGACTTGTGATCTCCTATCCAACTCGACATACTATGGCCACATACAGCATCACATGTCAAGCTAGAGACAAGCCCTACTACCATGAACTGAAATGATAGAGGATTGTGAATGTAACATATCTTCGTTTCATTTATTTGGGATATGCGCCGAGTAACTGGATCAAATATGGACATGCTTTTTCTTTGCATTTTGCAGAGCTGTATCCTTTTTGTTCGGACCCCGTTATTTCTTTTCTAAACTGATTTGAGATTGTTTTGTACGTGAGTAGATTTGGTTTAATATAAAAGACTAAATTTCAAACCTGCAGCTCAAACAACGCTAACACAACAAGAGAACTCGTCGGACTCTTCAAGTTTTGCGTCTTGTAAAAACGTATCGGCTTTTCAGAAATGAAAAGATATCTTCTTGCCTCGTGGATCCGCCACTATCGCGCCATCTCACGACCAGGAAAACCATGCCACTTTGGGTAGCCACTAGTTGAACTTGGATGTGGCATGAAAGTTCTCAACTGTCTATTCTATACGCGCCCAGCTCATGTGCGACAACATAGATGAGCATTAATACTTGCAAGAAAGAAAAAATTGCAAAGCAGCCTAAATAACTGGCTCAGGGTTTATACTACTCCATCACAACGTACTCTGCCTTGCATAAAGAAAAGAAAGTCTAACCTGCTTCTGCAATTGCCAGCTGACAATGCTCTTGCCAAGGAAAAAGAACACGTCGGTTGTGCTCTTGCAGAAGTCGATGTCGCCCGCCATGTCGCTATTGCTATACCCAAATAGCACAGCGTCGAAATTATTCCTTGCATACCGGCACCCATAGTATCACATCTAGCTATAAATTGGAGGAGGTGATTCACGGACGACTAGATGCTCGGTGGTGGTATAGAGTTAAATCTCTGAATAGTGTAAACTCTTATTAATGACATACTCCCAATAGTGACATAAAACTCAAGAATCAAGTTCTAACATGTAAATCTATCCAATAAGAACGGTTCTGTCACTATTGGCAATAATGATATCATAATATCTAATAGTGACGATTCCAACTATAATTAAAAAAATAAATTTGAATTTGATTTTTTATTGCTCTTACTCTAGCTGAACTTCCAACCTTTGACTTTGGCTCTTGCTTGCCGCCAACATGGCATGATCGCACACCACGTACCCTGCCCCAGGTCTTCCTTGCACTAGGTCATCCGTCATGTCTACGCTTCGTAGACATGACGTATGACACTCACGACAGGAGGGTTGAGAAAATTATCCACTAATTGCTAGATGCATCATTAATTTCATACTCCCACACAAAAGCGACTTTGCTTGGAGAATTCTACATTCTCAATTTTGAAATGATCTCACATAGTTAGGATTTGTTCAGACATTTGATATTCAACTTCTTGGACATCGGAGCTCTTCGCAAATGATCTGGAAATGAAAATGTTAAGTACGCATCTCCTAGTTAAGTATGCAAAGAAGTTTAGGGTTAAATGTGCGTAACTAAATGGGAGACTATTGTAAAACTTGATCCATTCTTATTCGTGTTACTTTATTTCAATCTTGTTGTTTCAACCATTTTACAAGTGAGAAAATACACAAATCACTCTATTGATTTCCTCAGCTATGCTTATTCACAACTCACCGTTTATAACTATGATTTACCTTGGAGATCTAACCTCCGCTTGTTCACTTTCACAATGTATACCTATGATTTACCTTTAGAGATTTGAGTTTAGACTTAATACAGACAATACAATATTTAAATTCGAAGACAAGTAGTCAAGAATGATACTATGAGCCAAATAGTTCGCTAAATATTTAGCGGATTCGCTAAACGTGCAATAAGAATGTTTCTATATTATTTTCAATATGCTACCCAACCTCGTATGAGTGACATCTCCCAATAGTGACTTAAAATCCTAACATCAATGTACGTCACTATTGGGAGGTTTAACTATGTAGCCTCTATGAAGTAGCTTACATACCCCACCGAGTAAGTGATGTCAGGTCGTGTGTGCACAAGATAACGGAGACGATTAATGATGCTCCTATATGTAGTTCCGTCCGTCGTGGGCGTAATGTTCACCTTGCTGTGTTTGAACTGCGGTCATGGTCACAAGACAAGGATTGCATACCTCCATGCCACTCTCCTTGATGATCTTGTGTAATTAGCTTTTATTAGTTAGAACTAAAGTAAATATTACTCAAGATTGAGTAAAATAGATGATCGTGGAATATCTACGTCATCAATCAGTGTGTTTATTATGTAAGGATTGAGTGCACTAGTTGATGTGTTAGTTGGAAGCGACACGTGAGTATTTGTTATATAAAAATTGAACGGGTTAGTGAGTGTGTTAGTTGGGAGCGACATATCAGCAATACGTGCATTTATTAGGTATATGTGTTTCGTATACGTGTACTTATTAGGAATATACGACATGTTATCAATCCACTAGTAATGTTTTGGATAGTACTGAAAATATCTTATTTTGGTATATGTGTTTGAAGTAATTATACAAGTGAGAGTAAAACCATTCAAAATATTTTATTTTCAAGTTTATGTTTCATTTTTGAGTGAATTTATCTCTAAAATAATTTTTGTAAAGTTTGAAAAATTTTCATAATTAAAAAAATTAACTTAAATTATAGATTTCATACTCACTCTACTATTTGATCTCATTGTGAATTTGGTCTAGATTTGATTTACATAATTTACTTACTCAAAAAATAAGTGGTGCAATACTACTTGTGGTGTAATTCTATCTATGGCGAAGTCAAATTTGTTTTGGATTCAACCATTGTTACAAAACAAATAGTTTCATTTATGATATGACATTCTTGATTTGTTGATGACTCAATTAATTTTGGAATTTTGTTAGGGAATACCAAAATTTAGTACAACTGCTCTAAAACCTAATGTTACATCTTGCAAGTGTAGGCGATTTCGTTGAAGGAGATGCCGTGGGAGTTCTACTTCACCTCAATGTCGAGATAAAAGCCGAGCAACCCCAAATGACTAATACGGAACAGCTTCTCCGTCTCCTTCTAGAATTGTGCAATCTCCAGCTAATTGTTGTCGATGACCATCGGATCGTCAACAACCTATGTACCTTAGTCAATCTTGTCGAGGAAGTTAGGGATGGTGTAGAAGATTCACAAATCGTCCCGTCACAATTTCGATCGGACATGTCATCTAAGATAAAGAGTTTGTTGACGATTTTGATGATGAGCCGAAAGCATCAAGAGTACTTGAAGGCAATATGCATAATCTGCATCCGAGAGCGGTCGAGCGCTGAAGATGGAACGACGAATCGGAATCGCAGGCCGGCGACCTCATAAAAAATCTCGCGCTGCGTCATGCCGATCGGACTTTGACGGGGTCTCTCGTCCGGGTTGGCCTTGAGTACGATCTCGTTCATTGACTTCGCCGAGAAGCTCTGTGACATGAGGCCGTGGCCCTTCATCTCAGTCAAAGCCTAGTCGTCCTCGGCACAGTAGGGCGATGAGTTTGTGGTGAATCGGCGAGCGAATCTCGGACGTCTCCTGCTCAGCAGCTCCGGAACTCACCCTCACTGATTTCAGTGTGAGGCCAAGGCTACACCTTCGCCTTAACTTTCTTAATCACCGATTTCACCAGTTCCAGAGTTATAATCTTACTGTCGGTGAATTTGACAGCGGCCTCGGATGTGGTTGGTGTGTGTGACCTGAGCTGGTTATGGAATAGAAATTACTGTCGGTACACCGATTCCATGGATATGTTGAGCTCGTTCCATCTGCCCAGAAAGGCAGATGAATCGCAGTGGTTCGAAAAGAGGAGCAGCCATCCATCCAACTGTACTCGCGGATGGAGTCGAGAGCCGAAGGAAGTGCGTTCGGCGATGGAGCCTAAAGTGGCAAATCGGTCAACCGAGGCCTAAAAGAAGGCCAAATTGGAGCATCCAGCGGCGACCGTCGAGAGAAAGGACGAATAGAAATGTCCTTTGTACTCCGGGATCCCGTTGATTCCAAGTGACTCTGTGCGTAGAGAGGTGCTGGACATTTATAGCCACCAGAAATGCACTTCTCGATGCAGTGGGCCGTGATGCGAAAAGCTTAGATGAAAGCAGCCATACAAATTCATTGCAAGCGCTCTCACATGGCCCCATTTCATGTCGATCCCACAGGACGTTGACGATAAGGCTAAGGATGAAGATCTTCCCAGCTACGTCTAATCTCAATGTCAACGCCAAGTGGCTCATGCATTCCATCGGATGCGCCATTGATAATGCATTTTGCAGCGGGAAGGAATGATTGCTCGTATCTGCTTCGTTGAGAAGCAGAAGGAGGAGGGTAATCGCGGCCTCCAAGCGTCATCAGTTTCATGGAAGCATCTCTCGACCTGTGTTAGCAGTCTCCTGTAGCGAACTGGTGTGGTGTAAACGCCAGGCTAAGCTCACTTTAGCCCCTGTCGATCCCGCCATCTCCAAAGTGTCCACGCTCGGTAAAAGTAAATTCCATCCCTCATCATCCAATGCCCTCGGAATTCCATGGAATTCACTGTGGGCCTGGAGATCGGTCTAGAACACGGAGAATGGTAGACCAGTATCACTTTCACCCCCAATGACTTCTGATGGCCCCACCTCATCTTCTCCCATCAAGCTCTAAAGCGTAGATCAGCACATCAGCAGAGTCATTGGTGTCTACGGAAGATGAATACCATACATAAATGTTGATTCTAACAGGAGAAGCTTGTAAGCAAATGGAAGTTTGCGGGAATCGCTTCCACGACCCTCATCATTTTGTGTGGAAAATTGTCAAGTTTAGTCACATGTATGGTCCACAGAAACAAGCTTCAAGAGATCTCGCTCGTACACAGACTGTTAAACTCCGACTACGTCGGACAAAGCGCCGAATCCTCTCTATGGTGTTGCGTTGGTGCGTGTATCGCTCCAAGTCTGAGCGAGTCGGAACACTGTGTACTTCGATACGGAACACTTGTATCATAAACAGTCCATATGCAAAACTATGTGACTTTTAGCTCCTCGCCACAGCCAGTCTTCTTGAGTAATGAAAAACAGCCGAGTCTCTCTTCAAATGCTTCCAACAATCAGGGAACAGTTGTGGTGAAGATGCGTGATCATTTGAAATTAAAACACGAGATGTAAGCGAAGATTGCTGCTGTCAAGTATACCTCATCCTAGGGTGTGGCTTGTGATGTATGTACACAACAGATCCTCTTCAAATCTTGGAAACAAAAGGCCACGGCTGCGCTTGTGTCCAAAGCAGATCACATCAGACAAGGAGCGGCCCCAAGTTGATCATCAAAGATACTTTTACGAGCATGGACGTGTCAAAGCATCTTGACGGTGTGACGTAACGAGAATGTAAAGTCACGGCTGACTGACGTGTTCAGGACAAATTATTGGCAAAGCGAAGACTCGAGGGAGACTGCGATTGACCTGGACCTGGACTTTGGCCGCGTTGGAGATTTCTTTATACAAGTCAGACTGTTTCTAATCATGGATGTACGTTGAGATCTTGACGGGGACCACGCTCACTGGTCCATGAAAAAGTGGATAACACCTTCGCTAAATGGTTGCCTTCAATAGCGTCTTCTGTCAAACACGAAAGGAAAGGTAATGTTTTGACGAAATTCTTAAGTTTATTACGTTCAAATGTAGGAGGAATTCTTTTCAAGAATATCAACAATCAATAACACATTCGGAACATGTCACGCATTCGGTCTTTCGAAATCGAGAACTCGCTCGCTCTCTGAGGACCTCGCTCGTCTCGCCTCGCCTCGCGGACACGGATTTTGGCGTCAGCCTTCCTCTCCTCTCCTGGCAAGATGGGCAAGGCATCGCTGTTTCTGCTCGGGCTGCTCGCGCTGAGTGCCGTGTGCGTTTACGGGTCGGACCCGGCAGCGGAGTCGGATGAAGCTTCGGCGTCCTTGCAGACCGATGTTTTGACGTTGGGAGTGGGAAATTTCAGCGAGACCGTCGAGAAGCACGATTTCATCGTCGTGGACTTTCATGCCCCATGGTAGGTCTCTCGGGCTGCCCTTTTGCATTTCGTTGGATTTCCTCGATTCCGAACAGGTTTCGGATTGGAAAATCAAGTTTTTTCCGCCTGCTAATCTGGCTCAGGCTGTGACGTTGACCTCGCACATTTTGATCAAGCCTGTGAGCAAAAGACAATGCTGTCGGTAGAGGAGCTCTATCAGTCCATGTTGCATGGCTCCCGTTTAAACTAGGCAGCATCAGCTGCTCTTGTCATATCCCGTCGATCATTTTTAAATATGTATCGTGAGGATCTGGATTGATTTTGGTTTGCTCGTTACAATCAAATCTGTTAATCTGAAGCATAGTTGTGCGATCAGAGTAGAAGTCACGACATTTACGACATTTTTATAACTGAAGTGATGGCATCGGGGAGTCACTATTGACTTCCAAAGTCTGCAAGAGCAAGTGGTCCTGCTCTTTGTTCTTAAGTTTTGTAAGCTGGCTTTTACGCTTGCTACTCTCGATGGCGTAGTATTTGGATCTGGAAGAAACAGGATGGTGTTTATATTCTCTACACTTAAGGTTTTGGGGTTTTGTTAGCGCTTGAATGTTTTAAATGCTGATCAGGATGCAATAGATTTCAGCAGCACAGTACATGCTCAGGACATCGTTCGTCGAATATGGATACAATTAGTGAATTTATCATGAAACTGGAGAAATTGACAATCTATCTACGAGGGACTATCTTATTGAAATCTCGGTCTTCGTGATCTTTTCTGCAAACAGGTGTGGTTTCTGCAAACGATTGGAACCGGAGGTGAATCTTCTATCCTGCATGCCTTTTCTTTCAACCTTTTTCAAGTATACTGCATTGGAGCTACTTATGCTGCAACATCAAACCTGGCCTGTAACAAAATCCTGAGGGTCGGTATTACGCGCTTTGTCTTTTGCAGTACGAGAAGGCAGCAACCCAGTTGAAAGAGAACGATCCGCCTATCATCTTGGCCAAGGTCAATGTGGATGCAGAACAGAACAAGCGTCTGGAGTCAGAATTTGACATCAAGGGATTCCCTGCTCTGAAGATCATCAAGAACAAGGGGCAGTCGGTTCAGGAGTACAAGGGGCCAATGGAAGCTGAAGGAATTGTTTCCTACTTGAAGAAAATTTCCGGCCCACCTTCGTTGGAACTCACATCTGCTGAGCAAGCTGGAAAATTCATCACCGATCATGAGGGAAGCCTGGTTATCGTAAGATTTCGATACCCTTTAAAGTAGTTCACTTATATTTTAAATTTCCCTTTTTGTACAACCATATTTCTCTGCCTTAAATCCGTTCGTAGAGTTTAAGACGATTTGCATTGTACTCTGGAGTGGTGTCACTGAGAATATTAATGACTTCAAATTAATGGGTTTTAATCTCGGCGAGTAATGAATGTTTGATTGTGCAGATTGGAGTGTTTGACAAATTGGAAGGTGAACACTATGCCAATTATCTCAAAGTGGCCGATGCTCTTCGAAGTGATATCGAATTCTGCCATACTACCGATGCTTCTTACATTCCTGAAGATGGGGTACCAGTGAAGACGTCTTCAGTTCGTCTCATCAAGAATTTCGATGATAAAGTTACCGTATTCACAGTAAGTCTTTCAAAATTTGGTCTGACCATAGTGGTTGTCACTCTTTCAAATTTGTCTTCCAATTTCCATTGAATGCAACAGAAGGTCAGATTTCGAAGCTGATGCTTCTTAGATTCTTGTCATGCAAATATGTGCTGCCTCTCTCATGCGGATGTTTTTCATATCAGGATTTTACAGTCGAGGCTCTTACAAATTCCATTGAGGAGGCAAGGCTGCCATACGTCACAGAGATGAGTAAGAAGCCAGAGCACCGACCAGCACTCAAGAAGTTCTTTGAAAGTTCCAAGACAAAGGTACGTTAATATTTGCAAGTTTGACTTTTCTTCTTAGCATTTATGTGACCACGTGTTACTGTTCCATGTATCCCAGTTTGGAGACTGAAGTTGCAATATACTGTATTATCATTTATCATGACGAGATATAATATACCGAAAGACTGTCGAGGTTACACATGAGAGTTGAACTGTGTCTTCAATTGATGAGTACCATATTGTCCGAATCGTGTTGTTTAATTGGGCCATCCACTTGGGACTATCTGATTAAATAATTAACTTCTATGTTTTGCGCAGCTTTTCCTCTTCTTGGCTGAAACTCCCGAAGGAGACAATTCTCAGAAGGATCTCCTTAAGACTTTCTCAGAGTTGGCCAAGGCAAAGAAGTCAAATGGCTTGATTGCTCTTTTTGCTGATGCCGAAGAAAGTGCCAATGCCCTTCAGGTATCTATGCTCACATCCAACACATTTTCTTAAACTTCGCTCGCGGCAATAGGTTTGTGCTCAACAAAGGAAAGTTGTTGATGTCGGCGGATGAATTGTTGATCCATATGTCTTTGATGGAGTTTTAACTTTTGGCTACAGAAGTTATCATACTCTCAAATTGTTTGACATGTGATATGCAGTTTTTTGGTCTTGCGAAAGAAGATGCACCAGCCTCTGTTATCCGAGACAGGAAGGGAAAGGAGTACCTTTTCAAGAATGCGGAGGGTAGCAAGCTTTCATCTTGGGTCGATGCGTACTTGGTATGTGAATATAATATGTCTAAAGTTTGAAGCGTTTGAAGTGAATATAATATGTCTAAAGTAACACATTCCTTGTGCTCGTTTAAGGGTTGTTCTCTATCATTCCTCAGTCGTCCTACACTGTATGCAAACTTTACGTCTCCAATCATTTCAATTTAGATGATTGAACTTCCATGAATCCTGCACTTTGTTGTGACTCTGAATTACTATGCGTAATGTAGAATGGTGAGCTGAAGGAGCACATCAAGTCCGAGGCTATTTGTGAAACCAACGATGAGCCCGTAAAGGACATTGTGGCCAGGTTGAACGGTGATGTTGTGGTTGAAGCCAAGAAGAACGGTGAGCTTCAAACTAATTCTCAGTACTAACACAATAGGTGAAAAAAATTTCATTTGAGCTCTCTTTTGGACCTAGAGATCTTTAAAAGTGGTATATGCTTTAGTTCAAGGCAAAGAGCAAGATTCAATAAACTGGACTGCACACATTTTTGATAATGGGAATGAACATCTTTTTGTTTTGAAACGTGTGTATCTTTAGTGGCATGGTCCTAACATTTAAGATCTGTTGCAGTTTTCTTGGAATTCTATGCCCCATGGTATGGTATAAACTGCAAGAAGATTTTCCAAATTTTCGAGGAACTAGCAAAACAGCGATCACAACACCGGAATCACCCAACTTCGTTTGAGGGTGATTCCGCTGTTGTGATCGCTAAATTTGTAAGTACTGTCCATTTTCCATCTATTACGAAAGGAACTCCTTTTTTTTAGTTTTGCAGCCAGTGAACTAGCCCTGCGACAGAAATTTGATAAAACAATCAATCAAGAAATACCTTATTCAAGTCGAATATTACATCCACATTCTCTGATGCGAGTAAATGCATGTCACACAGGATGCGACCGCCAATGATGTACCAGGTGATTTGTGACACACTACCTTCATGAGACTGTATCACATGATCTTTTGCATGTTACTATAGACCAGACTTGAGTTGACTGAAGTTGAAGTTAGTAGCTAGCTCATCCATTGGCTAGCTCTAGTTAATATAACTAAGTATAGTTAGACAAAGCTAGCAACTGCCATATAAGAATGTTGAAAGTAGTTTTATGTGGAACACAATTAAGGTTTTTTATTAAAACTATTATTTTTTTTTATTTGTGGAGGTGAATCACTTCGCTATGGTGTTGACTGTCTATCTTAAGTTTTCTGGTTTGCATCAACTCGTAAAGATAGTATCGGACTATCAGTTACATTATGCATCCCATACACATGCATCTCAATTTGCCCATCACATGATGTTTTTAACGATACATACTACTTTGTATTGCATGGCCAAGCTTGATGATTAGAATAAAATATTTTTTTAAAGCTATAGTGATATAATGGGTATTAAAACATGGGAGTCCCTAACTACCCTCCATGCTTTATTGCTCTTTTTTTGCAGTCATGGGTCTACTGGTCCTGAATATAAGAACCCATGAATGCACCTGATTACATCTGTCAAAGACTTGAAACACATCATGAGATTCTATTTTCATTCACTATGCATGTCAACTCTCTTAGAGTCATCTAGAGCCCACATCCGTTATTACTTTGACAAAGGTGGAGGCTTGTGTTTGAATAAGCCTATGTCTCATCTCTTCAGATTGCACATTTTACAACGATAAATCAAGTAAACGTGAAATTGATCATACCGATCTGCTTTTTATTGAATTTGATCCAGTTTTCAAATCTAGCATGCTTACATGCAAGTGTGATCGAATTCTATATGCACTTGGGACCTACTTGACATTCTAGAGCGCGGAGAGTATGGCCAAGTCATCGCCGTCACTCAAGTTGTCATCGCCTTTGATTACATCCTAGAGATCATGGGCTCGCAATTTGATTTTCATCACCAGGATCCACTCAATGTAGTTCGTGAATGTTAGTGTGATATTGGTCCTACCCATCCCTGATTCTTTAATTACGCACTCGTGAACTACGATGTCATTGCCGCGCCTTCTCATCCTACTACGCCCACGTCTCTGATGTTGTGTCAACTGTGGCTTGCGCAAGCAGGGTGGTATCTGGAACTCGAGGAGTCCATCCCCTGATCGTCTATGGTCATCATGACCATAGACTCCTCACAAAGCTATGATATTTAATTCGTCTTTATTTACTCTCACTTTGATAAGTTTATCGATCTCTTTCTCCATACGAAGAATGTTATGTCTCGGTCATTGTGATCATGTTGCTAAACATGGAGTAGGATGGATGATCTTCAACAGCAAAAATTATGGGTGTGTATGTATATTTCTGGTATTATACACATGCTATTATACCACTGTAGTATATAACAATTCTAAACCAGATCTTGTATAATTTTATAATAAAAAGTATGTACTAAGCTGATTACCAGAATTGTAAGATTTCAGAGTATTAGTTTTTGAAGACTCTAACATCATATTTATGTGGGGTTGTGTGGCCACCTTCTTTGAAATTTCAAGAATGATTTTAATATCAGAAATACACTCAAAGATCCAAGTTTACATGCGAGCAATGAGTGAATAAAATGCTAATCATGCAACTTGTTTGCAGTCTTGAAAATTCAAACAAGTGGATGTTGACGTTTGTATATGTTACATCTTATCTCTACGTGCCAATGTTGAAGTCAGGAGAAGTAAACAAAGAAGTATGTATCAAAAGAATATAATGTGCCAATGTTGAAGTAAGAAGAAGTAAACAAAGAAGGTTGTTGTATCAAAAGAATATAATGTTTGAGTTATTTTCCCATGTACTGTGATTTTCTATTTCTGAAAAGAGTTCCAGCACATGCTCAGTGTAGGGCAGCGCTTCCGGTTCCATAGTCGAGAGATATCATTTTGGCTTTTGAGAACAACATGACTGGTGAAAGGTTTGTTGTGGATGGAAGATAAGAGTTTGCTTATGTTACACCCGAGTGAAATTGACTAACTATGAGAGGAATAACAACTCCATTTCAGAGGAAAAAAAGAAGAAGTTTCTACATGCCAACATCAAAGTGAGCTGAAGTAAATAGAGAAGGTTGTATCACAAGAATATTGTGTTCAAGTTCCTTCCCTCTAGAGCTCTAGTTATCCATTTCTTAAAGAATTTCCAGCACATGCGCATTCTAGTGCTTCTAGTTCCATAATCAAGAGTTTTCATTGTTATTCTTCAAAAGACAACTTTTTCATGCTAGCAGTCATAAAACTAATGTGTGTCCAAACGGACACATATTAGTTTGTATGGACATTTACTCCACATGCATGAACTTTCTTCCTTGCATCGTTTGAATTGAAAATTCTTCTCATGAAGTAGCTGTAAATTCATTGAATAAGTTGTTGGTTGCACAGATGCACTGCAGCACTTCTTGCATCAGTAACATGCCCTTCATTTGAGACAACTTAGTATGAGTTAGCTTGAAGCGATATAATCCTAAACATCATTCTTGATATTTGTAATTTAGATTAGATCAAGTTATATATGATGAATTGTACTCATAGTTGGCTCTCCTTTTGCCCTTGTTAATCAATCACAAAGTTTCATCATAAATTCATCAAGATAATGTAGTAAGATATTGCAGAGTAGCGGATTCAGCACCGAGCAATGTAGACGAAGTGCTTTCGTCTAAATTTCATTCAATTCTCAATTGATTGTATGAAGAGAGAAGCCTAATCCGCTTTCGCTCGCCGTTACTAGCAAACTCTCGGTTAATTTTCTTTCATTTAGCTACTTAGATGTTTCAGTTCTCTCACATTGCAAAGAAAGATGTCGTAGCATTACCTTGAAACATATACACTTTTATGTAAATTATCCCTTGATGGCTCCAAACATTAACGAGTACAAGCTTGTTACAAGTTGTACAGCTCCTTCATGATTGTGCTAGCCTTGTTGTGGATGGACGATTAACGTCTCCTTATGTTTCATACGAGTGAAACTAAAAACCTATTCCAAGAATATCATCTCCATTTCACTCAAAAAAAAGAAAACAATCTCTACATGCCAACGTCAAAGTCAACAGAATTAAATAGAGAAGACTACTGTGTTCAACTAAGACTAATAAAACTCTACTCAAAATGACTAAATCAAAAGATGCAATTTGGAAAAAGTTGGAGTTTGTTACAAGCAAGGTGATACCATATCAAAGTATTGCAAGTGTACAACTTGCGGCTAATTGGTGTTTGAGAATGTGGATCGCATGGACGATCACTACGCTGAATGTAAGGAACGAGCACGTTAAATAGACTACTTACCATTTACCATTTATGGAAATGGGATTTCAATCATCTTGAAAGAAGATGTTACAATTAACCATTAGTTTATTTGTAACTGCGAGCAGCAATTGGAGCAAGTAGGTGTTCCCCAATGATTCAGAGTACGACTTTTTTTTATGCATTAGTAAGCAATTTGATTTCTTGAAGAAGCACAACAAAAGTTTGATACACTATTTGCATGTGCTATTCATTAGTCTATGCCATTTTTCCGCTTTGAGCGTCCGACATTAAAGTTATTTTTTGAATCGCTTTGTGTCTGCTTTCAACTTACTTAAAAAGAAGCTGTTGGTGGTCAATTGATGCAAGATGAATACTTATATGTGATGAATGATGGTCTTTTTACATTGAACGAGATGTCGTTAATTTGATTTGCCTTGGACGGTGCCACGAATCTGCATGATAAGCATGTGATCGACTTGATGACTTTTTTACCAATTGTGATGTTCTTGGAACATTTTACAATGAAGCTTTGTAGAGAGATTGTAGAAAATCTGTTGAAGAAAGTTTTGGATAGCAAGCTGCGCCTTTTGAAAATTATTGTAAGTATAATCTTGGTTTTGTTTCATCATTGAGTATCGAGAAACACCAAGGTGAAAAAGTAATGCCGTGCACCAAGAATGAAGATTTTGTTAATCCATCGATATTTTGTTTTGTAGTGATTCATCAAACGTCATGATTAGGCTACGCAAGGAATATCTTAATTCACGTGATTTCATGTTTACCTATGACTGTGCACCTCATTTCATCCAAAAAATTTGCATGGATCTGTGCAAACAATATCAAGGAGTATATCATGTTTTAAAACATATCATGTTTATGATCAGAACATTAAAATTTCCACATCTTTTGTTCACGTTGTTCGATAAGTTGTGCAGGGAGAGTAATATTGGAACACTTACTTACTCATACTCTTTACAAATAGCTAACGTAATACTGTCTACTATGTTGTCAAAAATGCCAGCACGGTCAAATCAGCATGTTTGTCATTGAGAGACAAAATTCTTAATAGAGATTATGATATTGATGTATACGACAATTGGAAAAACTTTGGTTGCAGATCAGTATTATTGTTTGTCATTGCCAGAAAAAATTCTTAGTAGAAATTATGATATTGATATATGCGACAATTGGAAAAACTTTTGGCTGCAGATCAGTATTATTGGAACGGCGTAACTGAGATTGAGTCACTTTTTAAAATGATATGCTTGTGTTTAACATATTTGGATGGAGACAAAACGACATTTTTTGTTGTGTATGCATGTTTCGTGAAGATCAAGACGCATTGGATTTCAATGATATTGAGCAGATTATAACGATGATTCATCACCGTTTTTTGACAATCTATATGGAACTCCATGCTTTGACAATGGCAATGGAAGTCCATGCATTGAGCATTACTTATCCAATATTCACACCCATCCATGACAAAGTTCAACGAAGAGTTTCTGACATGGAAAAGTATTCAATACTGCAATTAAAAGCCGCAGTCATTCGTCTTGCGAATAGCGAAGATCACTTCTTGCAAAAAATCTTTATGAAGGACAAAGATGAGGAAGAAGGGGATTTCAACTACATCACCTTCAAACCGTGTGATTTGTGGAACATATCTGACGATCATTACTATTAAGGGGCCATTAAAGGAACAATCCGGCAGGCGCAAAAGAGGGTGAGTGCAATCACAAGACGATAAAACGCGTTCACGAGCTTGGTTGGGCAATCACAATTCTATTTAATTCCAAAGAGCTCAATCGTCAACTCTGTAGAACAAAAGATACAAAGTTTTGCATATTGGTGCATGCTCTATGCCACGAAACTGTACATGAAACTGAACTTGGAAGAATAAATAACCCTTGGAGAAGGACGATGGTAGCATTGATTTCGTTGACATATCCGAGTGAGTTTACCTAGTTTTTATCCGAGGAAAATATCTTGGAGGCCCTTGAGGAGATGATAGAAGAGGATAAAATCTTCGAATTGGGTGTACCTCTGAGAGTGATAGAATACATCTGGTATTATCTTGTATTATACACCGCGGTCGGCGAAAATCCAATTATACAGGCCCATAGCGAAGATACACCAAGTAGTTGGCAAATCGTCGACACCTCACTCCTTTCCGAGGCCGCTTCCGTGCAAAACATTTGACACCATGAAGACTCTATCGAAAGGCTAATCCCATGAGGCTTAAAGTTTTGCCAAAGAGGTAAAGGATGCCATGTCCATCGACAGGAGCAATCTCCAGCGTGCTGACTATCTGACGCAGGGAAAGCTCTCTCTTGTGGAATTGGTCTCGATGTTACAAACACCCGACAGATGTCCGCTCATGAACCGCCTTGGCACGCATCTCTCTTCCCTCGGGCTCACCTTCCCATCGCTCCATGAGCACCAGTAGAAGTTTATGGGAGTCAAGGACCACGATCAATTCCCAGGAACCGTTCTCTCGCAGCAGCAGCTCGGTGTCTGCCCGATCTCGCGCTCCAGATAAGCGCGAATCGGAACGCGACACAGTTTCTCGTCCTGGGCACGGAGCTGACAAACACTTTACTCGTCCCAGCGCGTCTCTACAGTTCCAACCCGGAAGCATAATCTGCATCCGAGAGCGGCCGAGCGCTGAAGATGGAACGACGATCGGAATCGCAGGCCGGCGACCTCATAAAAAATCTCGCGCTGCGTCATGCCGATCGGACTTTGACGGGGTCTCTCGTCCGGGTTGGCCTTGAGTACGATCTCGTTCATTGACTTCGCCGAGAAGCTCTGTGACATGAGGCCGTGGCCCTTCATCTCAGTCAAAGCCTAGTCGTCCTCGGCACAGTAGGGCGATGAGTTTGTGGTGAATCGGCGAGCGAATCTCGGACGTCTCCTGCTCAGCAGCTCCGGAACTCACCCTCACTGATTTCAGTGTGAGGCCAAGGCTACACCTTCGCCTTAACTTTCTTAATCACCGATTTCACCAGTTCCAGAGTTATAATCTTACTGTCGGTGAATTTGACAGCGGCCTCGGATGCGGTTGGTGTGTGTGACCTGAGCTGGTTATGGAATAGAAATTACTGTCGGTACACCGATTCCATGGATATGTTGAGCTCGTTCCATCTGCCCAGAAAGGCAGATGAACCGCAGTGGTTCGAAAGAGGAGCAGCCATCCATCCAGCTGTACTCGCGGATGGAGTCGAGAGCCGAAGGAAGTGCGTTCGGCGATGGAGCCTAAAGTGGCGAATCGGTCAACCGAGGCCTAAAAGAAGGCCAAATTGGAGCATCCAGCGGCGACCGTCGAGAGAAACGACGAATAGAAATGTCCTTTGTACTCCGGGATCCCGTTGATTCCAAGTGACTCTGTGCGTAGAGAGGTGCTGGACATTTATAGCCACCAGAAATGCACTTCTCGATGCAGTGGGCCGTGATGCGAAAAGCTTAGATGAAAGCAGCCATACAAATTCATTGCAAGCGCTCTCACATGGCCCCATTTCATGTCGATCCCACAGGACGTTGACGATAAGGCTAAGGATGAAGATCTTCCCAGCTACGTCTAATCTCAATGTCAACGCCAAGTGGCTCATGCATTCCATCGGATGCGCCATTGATAATGCATTTTGCAGCGGGAAGGAATGATTGCTCGTATCTGCTTCGTTGAGAAGCAGAAGGAGGAGGGTAATCGCGGCCTCCAAGCGTCATCAGTTTCATGGAAGCATCTCTCGACCTGTGTTAGCAGTCTCCTGTAGCGAACTGGTGTGGTGTAAACGCCAGGCTAAGCTCACTTTAGCCCCTGTCGATCCCGCCATCTCCAAAGTGTCCACGCTCGGTAAAAGTAAATTCCATCCCTCATTATCAAATGCGCTCGAAATTCCTCTAGCTTCATCCTAGAACACGGAGAATGGTAGACCTGTGTCACTTTCACCCCCGATGACTTCTGATGGCCCCACCTCATCTTCTCCCACCAAGCTCTGAAGCGTAACTCTGCGCATCAGTAAAATGCCCGATCACGAATGGCGGTCTAACACAATCGGCTCTCCACAGCTGGTCCATCCTCTCCCACGAAGAGCTCGCTGGCCTAGACGGGCCACGAAATGCCCTCTCAGAGCTCGATCCGAAGACTTGAAATCTCAACCGACCCTGTTCCAGGACAGGTACAGAAGCAGATCCAATCTCCGGCCTTAATGAATGGGAATTTAAAGTATTCTTGCCCTGCAGCTCACGGAGCTGTGCAAAAAGCTAAGACACCGCATCATCACCTCTCGTCTACAGCCACTTCCAGACTTGGGGTCCGGATGGGTTCGTACAGAGTTGAAAATCGATGCTGTGCTGCCCCTGGGCCAATGTATTCCTGTCGTACATGTTCGTGAGGAGGAAATTCAGTCCGAGGATCACAGGCATTGAGCCCACTCTTAAGAGCGTCCCTTGTTATTATACTCGGACCGATGCACGATCCAGGTTCCAACGCTGGCTGACGATCCGAGTCAACGACTGCAGCTCGTGCAATCGGTTCCTTCCGTTCGCTTACGTCGAGGTTCGAGGTGTACTATCTCGTACCCAGGGCACGGCACTGCGACCTCTAAGCCATCGCCAAAAGGGGAACAGAACTGCGCAAGCATATTCTCCACGAAGCAGGCCGCAAAGACACGAGTCTTCCTCAGCGCCGCCGTCGTCAGTGCTCTTCTAAACTTCGCACATTAAGAACGTGCTCACGTTTGCAGACATTCAGTGCCCCCATTCACTTAGAGACTGCTTGGGCTTGGTTCAGTGAGATGCTTGCTCGGAGGGACAAACATTCTTATGTGGGTGTGCGGATCGGACCGGGAAATCAGGGAGATCTGGAACCTACGTCCGGCTGTATTTGGGCTGTGAACACCGCTAATCAGATAGTTGCGCAGCCAAAGAGCCCAATTCAAGACAGATACCACCTAATGCCGCATGCGACCAAGCTGTCGGCTACAGTTCACTACATATAACAACGACGTCCTGCGGCGTGCAATGTTTCTCGGATCCCTGTTAAGCTCGATCCAAAGCTATGCCGATCCACTATGCTCAACGACACACTCCCTTGGATCCTCACTCCTTCTCCAAACCGACATCTCTTGACACCTTGTCATCTGTGGCAAGGTCGAAGGACCCAAGGACTCGTCTTGGGTAGACTCATTTATCGTCATTCCAATGTCGCATCTATCATGATCTGGATTTACAGCAGACCGATCTGGAGCTGGATGGGATTCACTTTTCTGCCGCACTCTGAACCTTTCGCAGCTTGACTAGCTCGGGGGCTAAGGGGATTGTGGAATGACTTGGAGCTTCTTCCACCGACGCCCGCTCTGGACGACGGCAGATGGCACTCCGATGGCACTGAAGCCATCGGTGGGCGGTCCCTAGGAAAAGATCGATCGACAGTTCTAGAGTGGGGGAAGACTGCGAGCGAAGGACCGCAGTCTCTAGTCTAGCGTCGCGAGTCCGAGGGAAGGACGGAGTGGGAACGGAGTCCGGGGCGTTGGCGGGGACCACAGGAATGATGTGCGCAGGCAGAAAAGTGAAGCCTGCAGAAGAGGAATTGGAGGGCAGAGGAAGAGGCAGTCACTGGTGCATTATGATCGAATCACTGTAACGTACTCTGGACACGAGATGGGCATTAAAGACAGAGTACGGTAACTCGTGTGAGAATGGCCCGAAGTTGCCCGAGGCTGCGCGGAGGCTCGCATGCTTGGATGTTTCGCAGAGCCACAGCTCAGCTCGTCTGCCAGACTCGGGGCCTTATCCTTTTCGGTGCTGGGGCCGGTGGTTGCGTTCGAGCTCATGAACAAGTCTTCCTTTGACTTGGGCCATTTCAAACATGGTCAAATCTCTGGCTGGACAAGATCGTTGCGAGTGGACAAGGCATTCTAACTCGAGGGCCCTACGGTTCGGCAGCAGAGACTCGTGTACCGTCGTCACATGCGCCTCAGCCTCTCTCTTAAACCTCGCTTATGACACAACCTTCCCCCTCTCTGACTCCAGCATGACTCCGCTGGAAGACTGTGATAGCCGAGCTGCGTCGCCCTCTCTCTCGCTCTCTCTCTTTGGCGACTGATGCGTGTGGCCCTCTTATTGGAAACGACATTCTGAGTTCACTTTGGCAGTGTAAAGTTCCTTGTGCGTGTCGTCGTAGTGTAGTCTTTTCTAGCGTCTGGAGTGCGGGCGACGGAGACTGTCTCGTCACCTGAACGCACTAGAGGAGTGCCCGGGGACGTGTCACCGAAGGAAAGATCGGGGAGGTCCAGGAATCCATCATTGTGAAGGCGGAGTACGAGATTACGGCTGCACGGGTTTTTCTGCTTTGAGGTCTTTCGGTGCATGACACTGCTTCCAAGGCTTGTTGTTTATTTAATATACAAGTTCTGCCCCCCGGCACTAGCTTAAAATCCTCCATGCGTTGAGCCTGCGTCAGGCGCACTAGAATCACGGATTCGGTCGGAACACTCATGCACAGAATGTTGCTCCCGCAACTGCTTTGCAGCTATGGCTTGCACACCTTGGTGTTTAGAGATTGAGCAGGTGACAGGTCGACCTCTGTGTGATTCCGAGATCACTGATGTGCATTTTCACACATTCTTGGGATACAAGTTGGAAAACTGGCTGGGAGGATTGAGATTCGGCCTCTAGTTTTGGGAAGGATCTTTGACTTCGTCAGTGGAAAGCAGGAGCTGCACAGAAATTCAGATACTGTAGTTTCAGATTGCGGTGGGGTTTTGAATTCATGGTAGGAAGTAGGCTTCAGGAATTCTTGCGAAACAGAAACTTTGAAGGACGGGTTTTTGAGGAGCTCGAGCTTAGGCGTATGTGCTCGCTCGAATCAAATTGTAGATTAGTACCTGCATAACCATTCGTGAAGGAGCCTGGACTTGTTCATCTCGCCTGGCGTAAGGGCTGTACTCTTGATCATTCGGAATAAATAGAGCACTGTTACATATTACAGCGATCGACGGTGAATGTAGATCAGGAACATTTGTTAATCAGAAATTCAGGGAGGAAATTTTGATAACTATGGCAAGATCCAGGTGCACAGCTGGACTTGTGCTGGTGCTGGCAATCACAGCGGCAACGCTGTCCCTCACCTTCTGTTCCCTAGAAGAAGGTTGGTCTCTGAGCACTGTTTGTCACTGAGCACTCATTTTAGCTGGGGATCAGAGTTGCCAGGTTGCAAAGGTTCAGGTGTGTTTGAAACTAATCAGTTTCTGCCACTTTTTGATGGCAGGAGTCGCACTTCATAATATGATGACAAAGTGGAATGTGAATATACCGAGTTGGACTCCTGGTAGTGATCCCTGCGACGGCTGGGAGCTTATTCTTTGTACAAACGGACGTGTGACAAGCTTGTAAGCGTTTTGTCTCATCTGCAATTTCCTTTCGTTCCAAAGTTCCTTAAGTTTCAGATATTCCTAGTGCGGAATTTCCGGGTTGTCAAAGTCCGATGCGTATTGTACCTACCAATACGGCTGTTACAAGTTTCACCCGAAATCAGCCACCTTCATATATTATATCCACATGCCTACTAGTTTGCTCAAATTTCAGATTCGTGTTTATATTAGCTATAAATTTCTTGCAGTCCTTAGGATTACCAGTAAGAAAGGAAGGAATGCAGGAGATATCCATTGCTTTACAGTTTTGGATCCATGTTCATCATCTATTTGTTTTTCATGTCGAATCTTAGAAGGTCCAAAACCTGAAGAATAAGCAAGTCGTGGAAGTTCTTCAAACGTGTCTACTTCGTTGTGAGAAGGAATAGATATTTTTACCTCCTCCCAGAATGTGATCAGCTGACCGAGAACATATGTAACATATCCTCCATGTTCCAGCTTGTTTTGGTATGATATCTGTATTCAGCCTTTGGATGCACAGCGCCAACTTTTCTGTGTGTCTTGTAGGAATTTGACGTTGGCTGGAATCTCTGGAGAGTTACCGGAAGAAATAGGTGTGCTAACCGAATTGGAGACTTTGGATCTCAGTGAAAACGATTTCCGGGGTTCATTTCCGGATAGTCTGGCAAATTGTCAGAAATTACGAGTCTTGTAAGAAACACGAATACATGTTCAAGCATTGTGGTAGAAACTGTTCTATTGTCTTTCTTGTACTCTGATGTGAAGTACGAAGTATGTGCAGGGTAGTGTTCTCCCCGAATGATTGGCCTTCAAATGAGCACCTTATGATTTGAAATAAACCGCATCTTCTGACGCATTCGTCTTGCTGGATACTTCAGAGATGTACAAGAGTGTAATTGGAATGTACCTTTCCCTTCGGTGTTTTTAAAACTGTCCAATTTGGAATATCTGTAAGTAACTCTATCTTAAGTGTGAAATCATTATCAGTTTGTTCAAGAGCATCATAATATAAACTCATTCGCGTTAGATTCCACAGGAAAAAGAGTGCAACTGACTATCGGGATTTGTATCTGAGGATGATTGGAGGTCAATAGAGACAGTCAGAAGTTGTTTGGTTTTTGCCAAAAACACACCTTTTTCGACAATGTTCCATGCCTACATCTTACTCTGGCAGCAAACCTAGCGTAGACTTTGATTGGTGATATAACTTTTTTCTGAACCACCAAATAAACCTACAGGTCTGCAGCTAGTTCAGGACTATCTGGACGCTTACCGGAAGAGTTTTACGCCATGAAATCTCTTAAATACATGTATGTTATCAATTTCAGACCCTTCTCTCTTCCAAATGAATTGTTTGGTTTAGAAGGTGGGAACGATATACGGTTTTAAGTATTTGGCCTCTTGATAAACGTTTTATATATTTATCTATCACGTTCAAAATATCTACTTTGTCAAAAAGCTGACCACGGGGTATTGAAATTCTATAAACATTGTATTTTGATTGGCAATGTGATCGTTTGTCACTTGAAAGTCAGGTTTACGATTCACTAACATCTATGTCCTGATGTCGGTCCGAAACAGATACTTGGGAAATAACACCCAGCTCACTGGAAATCTTGAAAGCTTCACTCTTATGTCTAACTTAGTCAATCTGTAAGTATATATTTTTTTTTCTTTCACACTTATCTCTAAGAATTTTTCCTTCATACCGGACTCTTTCGATAAACTTTCCTTGATCTCTGATTCCCTCTTCATACCGTCGTTGTTTTCAGGACAGTTTGGAGTATCAAATTCGACGATTATGTACTTCCTGAAAAACTTTCAACGCTGAAAAACCTGCAATACTTGTAAGTTTTTTCCACTTGGCAAACAGAGCCAAAGTCTTCTCACTTTAAGCGCCTTCTGTTTGGCTGCCATAACTTACGTGATACTGGGTGGTTTTGCAGTAACTGTCATGATTGCAATCTCCATGGCGGTCTTCCAGAAAGCTATGGCGATTTAACAAATCTTATCGAATTGTGAGTTTCTGCTTGAGATATCCAAATTATTGTAATTCTTTAGCAGCTGGCCAATCATTCAAGTTAGCAGTATACGTATGAGATTTTCTTCACACGGTAACATGGGCTCATCTCAGTGCAACTCCTGCGAAGTAATCAATCTGCCATGAATTGACCACTAACCCGTCACTAAACCTGCATTTTCTCGTCCTGCAGCAACGTGCGCCGGAACTATTTGACGGGAGGCATTCCTGAGAGTTTTAAGAAGCTTACTAAAATGGAAAACTTGTACGTCCATTGTTCAAAACTTCAATGCCAGTCAGAGTCATTTTGAAAAGTCATTGTTGGCAATCAAGGAGTTTCTTCCTCATGCTATTATGTGGAAGTGCAGACGAATAGTTCAACTATACTAGTCATGGCTACAACTGATGTTCTTTGCCCATGCAGCCGCGTGGATACAAACTCTTTACTGGGTCCTTTTCCGAATTGGATGTTCTCCGCATGGCCAAAACTTTCAAGCTTGTAAGTTTCAATAGTTTATCCTGGGATCTTTAGTTGCGGTATCCTGAGACAATTTTGATCACATTGAAGTTCACCATATTCATGTTTGCTGCCAGCACAGCGAGTTAATTGTACTTACACCTACCGGATACGAATGACAGGTACATCAGCAGAAACCAGTTTTATGGGACGCCGTACAATATATCTTACTTGGAAACGAGATTCAATCTCACAAGCAGATTCAAAATATTGTAAGACTTGAACTTCTCCTTCGCAGTTTATATTAGTTTTGGTGCCTCGGTGCAGATGGAGTGACGTTGGGACGTAACTCTGCATGATAAAGGAAGTCAAATTCTGTAGGGGTAGAGATCGCAAATTTTGTGGTGTGGATCAGATGTTGACAATTTCTGGAACTACCGTTCAGGCGCTGGGATTGCAACTACCTGGAAGGAAACCAACCATGTGGTAACGCAGGCGGAAACAACTGCAGTATCGAGACGTAAGTGCAGTTCCAAGCATTCTTTATTCAATATGTGTATAAGAAATTCCAGGGCTGCGCAGCAAGCAGCTTATGTTCCACTGAAAGTCTGTAATAGCCGCTGATTGTTCTTCTTTGCAGAGTGGCGAACACAGTCGGTGAGGTTGTTGAGATACTAAAATTCGCTTTCAATCCCAATTGTTACGACGACGTCCCAACCGACATCATATCTCAAGTGGGGTACTGTAATGCCCACACACTTACTTGTGATGCGTTCTATAACGAGGTTGTAAACCAAAAGGTTTGTCCAGCCTGCCCATCTTCACAAACACTTGCAGCTGGATCAACCGTCGACAGCGGGTGTCTTTGTCACGCCAAAGGATCTGGTAAGTTTGTCTTCACTTTTTAAGATGCAATTTGGTTGCGCTTAGTACACTGAACCACACTGCAAGCGTTGGCTCCTGAGACTAAACCCAACTCCACCTTCACACTCGCAGATTCCGGATCAGGGTTCCCTGTGAACGCAGTAGTGGGCTTGGTGGTTGGACTCTCGTCGCTGTTTATTATCATTCTGGGGCTTGTCATCTGGAAGCGAAGAAAGCACTTCTCGTTTTTCGACATCTTCAGCAACAAAGAGGACGCTTTTGATGGTAAGTTCAGATGGAAAAGGTTGTACCAAGTGGGAATGAGAACGAAATCCAACCACTGTTGATTGCTCCTTTTTGTAAGCGGTCTATGGTTTTCAGGTTTTGACAGGCAGATATAGCTATGAATACATTTTGAGAATAAGTACTCTCACACTCTTGTGTGTAACATGACTTGGCATGCCCTTTGTCTTCTTAGGCTATTAAACATAAGTTTCTCGTGTCTGTAGAGGAGTGGGAGATGCCTGCGTCCGTTCACAGATTCTCTGTCGAAGAACTTGCAAGAATCACGGAAGACTTCAATGACAGCCATATTATCGGCCACGGAGGTTTTGGAAAAGTGTACGCCGGAACTTTGGATGATGGGCGCATGGTTGCAATCAAGCGTGCCTCTGCAGGCAGCCTGCAAGGAGTGAAGGAGTTTCGAAACGAAGTCACTCTCCTCAGTAGACTGCATCATCGCCATCTTGTTCGGCTAGAGGGATTTTGTGCTGAGAAAGAATTTCAGGTGCGTTAGTTTCTTCCCTCTTGTCTTCAATCTTAGACACACGGAGTTTATCTCCTTCAATCCACTGCTGATACTAGATATATCTCCTACTATTAGGGTCGAATTTATCTACACTGTATTGTTTTCAGTAATTAAAGAAATTTCGACAGATGTGTGCTGTAATGGAATGTATTGTCTTATTCAGGTTCTTGTTTACGAGTTCATGAAGAAAGGAAATCTGGCAACTCATCTTTATGGTAAGAGTTAATAGGAGCCCAGTTATTTTGTTTGGTTTGAGTTTGATTCCCAACTTGTCTGAGCCTTTAGTTGTTACCTGCTCAATTGGAAACTTTTAATCAGAGTTTGTTTCCACCTATGTTTACTATATTGTGATTCTGAACATTGTTTGGTTTCCGGCGTCTTTCAGGAGATCATGCTAAGTTTGGAGAGAAAACAAAACTTGGCTCCCCTTTACCATGGTACAAGCGACTGGAAATAGCTTACGGAGTTGCCCAGGGTCTAGAATATCTTCACTCTTTTGCGGTAAGTCTTTTTCTCAAATCATTTATATAAATATGTCGTTGGAGAATCTTAACTTCCAAATCGAAAGCCCCCGCTACAACTACTGTAACTATACAGGATGAAAAGGAGAAAAGCTTGAGTTACGATATGACGAAGCTCTGATCTTTATTGATTGGTTTCTGACTGCATCTATAGGATCCTCCAGTTATCCATCGTGACGTGAAGCCTTCGAACATTCTTCTAGACGAGCATATGATGGCAAAGCTAGCCGACTTCGGCATCTCAAAAGAATCTCCTGAGCTCGACACACATATCTCTACCCGTCCGGCCGGCACTGCAGGGTAAGATAATGATGATTAGTTCCAGTAGGCGATTTGATAACTGTATCTTCTCTTGATCTCTATATCTATTCTTCATACAGGCACTTATTGAGCATACACCTGTCCTGCACTGTAGGTATCTTGATCCTGAGTACTTTTTGAGACGACAGCTCACAACAGCCAGTGATGTCTACGCATACGGCGTCGTGTTGCTAGAGCTTGTCACGGGACAGGTAGCCATCGACCATACGAGAGACGACGAGTATAACTTGGTAGAGTGGGTAAGTTCCACAACAGAACAGTCCTGAAGAGCTTGATGACATATTCTATGTGTTCAAAACGTAGGTGTGTAATGGAGAAACTGATCTTGACTAGTTGTAGATGTTTGCTTGTTGAATCGACGTTTTCAATGTAGGGGGTTTTTGGCTGGTCCGCTGGAAATCTTACGAGGAGCTAGACAAGTCAATCTGACCGAACTTGGCAACTTGATACCATGCAGGCAAAGAAAAGGTTCAGAACTGCAGGCATTATATCAATAATCGATCCCAGCATTGCAGATGACTACTCCAAAGACGCATTTACACAAATCACCGAGTTGGCTCTTAGGTGTTCCTCGTTTTCGAAGAACGAGAGGCCGACCATGAAGGTAAAGACCTCTTTTCAGCCTATTGTCTTTTTCGTCATCTTACTCATGAAACCTTTAGAATGAGACTTATTTTGTACCAAGGCTGTGTGCATTTTCTGATGCATGATCCAAATTCTGGGAAGTGTTTGAGAGCTTTTTCGTGAAAGAATGTGTATCTTTTTCTTTTTTTTTTTTGTTCACCGAGAGATCCCGAGAGATCCAAGCCTCTAGTGTATAGAACAATAACTCTTAGAACACCAATTAAGAAGACTAAAGTTTTTCCCCTCCCGAAAGCTTATATGTTAATATGTGGTGAATCGAACAGGAGGTGTTAGCGATCCTGGACCCCATGACAGCAAACTATGATCTGGGTTATTTTTTTGAGGAAAAATAGGGTAATCTCTCTTAGATATAGAAAACCAAATTAGAGGAAGAGCAGACGTATGTATCTTAGGGCACAGTGCAGTGGTCAATGACTGTCAAGTTGTAATTTTTACTTCTGTCTGAAAATCAAAGTATCGTAATTTTCTTCAAGTTCAAGCTTTGTCATCCAAATGTGCTTCTGAATGACGAAAATCTGAGCTGATATCCTCATCATTATCATTCGAGCAGGAGGTGATAGAAGCTTTGGACCCGCTTATTGTTCCCAAGTCTACAAAATCGTCATCTAGTAGGACGGAATCTTCTTCATTCACTGAAAAGGATTGGCTCCTGGCTAAAAAGGATTTGTTCCGCAAGCTTCACGTCACCCTTGACAGCACCAAGTACAGCTCGGACTCGAGTCTGCCCAGCACGGGCTCCGATGTCGCACGAACTTTCAACGTCATGGACATGTCTCAAGATTTCGCACCCAGGTGATTTTGAGATGAGCTGCCTGGCCTTTTATACATGGCATCGGAGTGTCTGACGGCGAGAAGATATGCCGGGCCTTCCTGATCATTTCGGGTACCATTTTTGTAGAAGCATGTACAGTAGCAAAGGTTGGAAATAATGTTGAGCCGATTCATTTGTGTTTGTGTTCGTAGAGGCTGAGATCCTGAACTTTGTCTCAAGATTGCTCTGGCAGCATCAAGCAAATCAGATAAGAACTCCTCAGCTGCGTGCCCACTGATATTTCACTTCTAGTAACTTTTATGGGCCACGTAGCTATTTACACATTTCATTGTACAATAGGACTTTTGTGTCGATCATTGATTATCAATCATACAGGGCTCCAAGATTCTTACTGCCAGGCTCCCTCAGAGGTGAATGTGGAAGACATTCAATCGTTCATCTTTTTACTGCAGTGCACTCAGATCTCTTGAGAAACGTTGAGGAAATGGTGTTCTGATTTGAGATTAGTACCTATGACGTATGATTATGAGTGTGTCGCATTATATTCAACTTTGCATCCTAGAGTTATTACAATTCTATCTACAAGGGAGGCAGCTTCTCATCTGAAGGTCAGGTCAAATATGGCTCAGAAGCAGCGTGATGGTGAGAACTGTGTCGTGATGTTACTAACGATGAGCTGAAACCACCCAAATCGCGGTGCCTGCCTGAGTAGGAGGTCTTTGGCCAAACATTTGCACTCCTGACATTATCCGATCCAGCGTATTTCGGCTGTGCTTTATAATATTCTGAGCTCAGTGTTATCCAAATGGTCGACTCCACTCCCGGACAACACCTGTCTGTGTTTTGGTTCTGAATATTGTGGCAGGGGAACTCGCGTGTGCAGTCAACAAGGAACATGCTAAGTGTGCGTGATCGTGAACAGGTCGAGATCTAGTCATCGTTGACGGAGATAGGAAAGGCCCAATGATGGCCCACTTCATTTGCGATTGTTCAATTAGGAAAAGAGGCCCGTAGGCAGGGGAAGCCCACGCGATCTGAAGCGGAATGAGTCAATGATGATCTGGCGGGTACTCGGAGTAGACGAGTAGACGTGGTGGGGAACGAGGACAAATGTAAACACAAATGGCTCGCTTTATCTAAAAGCTCCAAGACGCCGCTACTGCGAAACAACGAATGGCGGTGAAAGTGTTGGGTGCCTTTCGGTCCAGAAGCATGAGTTTACCTCTTCAGCTTTTCACAAGATTCTATCCCACCTACCCTCACGTATTGCTCTGCAATAAATACGACGATTGCTTGTAAAACGTCAATAATATAGTCAATCGAGACAATGGCAATAAGGTTTCGGCCAGAAATATCACACTTACTGACGCGTTTCTCTAATGTTGGAAAGATCACTGATCAAATATCTGCACTAAACAAATCAACTTCAATTAGTCAATATGTCACTCAGCCTCAAGATGATGTAAAACCTGATAAGTACTACTGTAGTATGCACTACTCTAGATAGATATCTCAAAATGAAGATTACGTGTGGATACATATTATATATCCACACGTATACGTGTATATATATACGTATTACGTATACGTGTTACGAACTTTAACGAATCACATCACTTACGAAACAAGAAGGAACATGTGATTTTCTTGGTCCTGCAACTCATGCGAAGTATATCCACATCAATCTGCAGCATGATCCATTTTCAATCAATCCATTTTTCAAATGAATGTTATGGACTATAACTGTGCTTTAGATTTTCTGTGTATAACTAGCATGCAAAAATATGACGATATTGATATGCCCCGTGTCTAATAAATTTCTTACTTTGAGGAATCTTGGTTTTCTACTTTTTTACTTACAAAGGGGTTTGGCCTGGTCCACGCTCGGAACAACATTCTCAAACGAAGTGAATGGATTTTCTTAGAACTCGTTCGTTCGACTCAGCGGTGGTCCAAACGCCCGATTCTGCCTCCTTCGAAACTCCCACATGAAGAAACGAAGTTTCTCGATGCACTCGCGCCATCACTTACATGAGTACGGATATTTCAGATTTCCGCCCTCAGCAACAATATCTTATTCTACTCGCAGTGCTCGACATCTCTTCCTTCACTGGCGCTAGTTCTCATATTCGCATCGCAATTTTTCAATGCACGTGCAACAAATTTTTTTTAGTTGTTCCCATATTCTAATTTCATTACGGCCACTTTCTCCCGATGCGGTGGCTGAGGTGGAGAAAACGAAGATAGCCCGGCCTTGCCTACTTCGTCCCAAGTCGCCAAACCCAACATGGACCACGACGTCGTACCCAGTCCGCCGTCGTGTCCGAGGACACGACGGTTGGTTTCTGTTGCCAACTCAGATCTGAGTTGGCAAGAGAATCTCCGGCCTAGTCATCGAGACGATGACTTGTCGTGGACTGCGTGCGACCGCGTGGTTGGTCCAGTCAGAGGTGCACTCCTGCTTCGGCCCAGTCACCGTGCTCAGAGCGACATGGACCACAACCATTACGCAGTACGTGGGGTGACACAGTTCACCGTGTGGTACTTCGAGGCGCAGGGTTGTGACTGCGCCTTCGTGCTTTGCTTTTGCCGTGGCTACATCGGAAGAAGCGAGGACGGCGGCGCGGCCAGGACGAGAATCATGCCCGTCGCGAATCACGTGGCTGCTGTGTCGACTGCATGAGAGGGGGCCATGTCCGCGTCACATGTTGACGAGTGGGTCCTGCTTCGCAATTTGCAACCCTCTCTCGTTGTCTTGCGATGGCGAGATGGAGTCGTAGTTGACTGGGAGCCCAGAGGTCTCGAGAGCTGTGACTTTCTTGCACAGAGTCATCCAATGGTGAGCGAGGAGCAGACAATGTCATGCGGAGCTGCGCATATTAGGCACACTAGATACTTCAGACCAGAAACGAGAAAGTGCAAAGGTGCGAAATTTAAATTAAAGGAGGAATATCGTGAAGTGATCGGTCTGCAGTGGCTCGATGTCAACAGAGGACGTCCTGAATGCCCACCTGATAAAGTCGAATCCTTTTTCAATATCACATAAAGTGCTTGACCTCGTCTGACCATCCATCTATTCTTCGGCTCCTGGATTTCCGGAGCCCCCGGGACTATGCACAACATTGTTTACAGCTGCGGGGATGTTGCTTCTCCGGTCGCACCATTCCGCTGATATCGCCCTGTATCTGGAAACTGGCTGCACTTGAAGATTTACTTCTGAATGCATGAGTTTACGTAAGAGGGCAGATCGGATGGTTCCTCCACAAGAAGTCATCCGACAAACGAACTGTGTGTAGATGTACGGACATCTGTGTGTCTGTACGAGACTGGTATGGCTGCCTTGTGTGTGTAGATCGTCCATGTAGAGTGCTTGTTCCCAGGCCTCGACACAGTCTTTACGTGATGATTATGTTTCCTTTTCGGTTTGTCTTTTCACATGTTTGCACAATGAAGAGTTGGTAACGTAATATGTCTTGTACATCTGCAGCATAATAATCAACAATTACCATTTGCGACCATACGCGTGGAGAGATCTGATTTCGAGGGTTTTCTAGAAAAAGAGTTGAAGAAAAGCGTTACATGACATTCTCGATCAGCTCGCATAGGCAACTGAGGCAATAAGAGAATGGCTGGAAGCTAATAAGAGAGTCTCAAGGAGGCAATGGAGATCAGATCGAATGTTTCATAAAAATTAGCGATATGAACAAAGCAGCAGATTATCATGATCACAGGTCTGCAATGGAGTTATCTCCTTTCTGTAGGAGTAACTGATAATACTCGTACCTTACTCGATGGATATGGCAAGATATAACATCACAGCTGGTCTTTTGCTGCTGTTCGCGATAGCAGCATCAACAGTCTCCCTCACCTTCTGTTCTGTAGAAGAAGGTAAATTTAAAACATTTGCAACACGTCAGTAATCTGAACTCTTTGTCAATGTATGACACAGTCACACTTGTTCAAAACTGAAGTACTTTGTTCCTAAACTTGATGATGACTTGATGGCAGGACTTGCTCTTGTGAAACTAATGACTGATTGGGAGATGGAATTCACGAGTTGGATTCCTAATACTGATCCCTGTGACGGCTGGGAGAACCTTATTTGCACGGGAGGACATGTCACAACCTTGTAAGCCTTCTCTTTGTACGATCTCCATCTGTTCGAGTTTAGATTTGAGAGGAACTAGTTTACAATAGGCTTCACTCCACCTCTGAGTTCCAACGATGGACGCAATTATCAGAGTCTGATTGCACAGACAGTAACTAACGTAAGAGATGGACACGTGAGGTTTACAAAGCAGCACGTTGTTCTGGAAAATCCGACGGTGATGTTCTATGTTTCAATCTCGAAGAAGATCACACGGCTTTCAAATAAGAATTCTAATGATTCAATAAATCCGCTTCGAAGCCATTACAGCAAGTTCCGTGGACAAGGGCACACAACTTGATGGTACAGCAAAACGATGATCAGTGAAACATCCAACGTGTCTGGCTCAACAAGAAACTGTGAATTGATCTCATGTTCGTGGTATGTAGTCACTACGGTGGCACGCATGGTACTTTCTTTTGAAGAGGAAACTCCGAACGATGAATAGTGGAATCGACTTGATCTCAAAGAAACAGGATAAGAGGGTTTACTGGAAGTCATATTGGATCACGCTCATCCTCTCACGAAGTCGTCTGGCTGAACAGATGCCTCAAATACGAGACCTGATATGTCATATGAAATGTTTGTCTCCGTGCTTTCTTTTCTTCCTGCAATTCGATGGATATATCTAATTTTTTGTTGTTGTTTGAAGAAACTTGACGAAGGCTGGAATTTCCGGAGTATTATCAGAAGAAATAGGAGTGCTAAGCGGACTGGAGAACCTTGACCTTAGTGGAAATGATCTGCGCGGTCCTCTACCGGACAGTCTGAAGAATTGTCTAAACATGCGTCGATTGTAAGGCAAAAAATGTCTGAACCGATCGATCTCCATGTCATTCATGAATTTTGAGCCTATAGTTTAGAGTCTAGCTGATTTGTTCGAATCATCTGCTCGAGTAAAACCTTATAGTTCTTCGTGTCCGTTTTCCTGATTGACGCAGATATCTACAAGATTGTAACTGGGACATTCCTTTCCCAGAAGTGATTTTAAGTCTTCAAACGCTGGAGCACCTGTGAGTAACTCTAGCATTCATTATGTTCATGATCAGATAACTTAAATCGTTAGTGTAAGCTAGAACAGCATGAGATCCCGAGAATGTAGATGAGTTCTGTGGATGAGAACTGTTTTCATAAATTCGAACGCGACTAATACGACTGTCAATTACTATACCTATCACTCCAGCCCTACTGGATCGCCAAGCCAAAGCATGTGGATTCTTAAAAGAGTATCCCATTTTCATGTCTTATATATCTGCTGATGATGTGTAGGTCCGTCCACTTAGTGTTCTCACCTTCTGATTCCCTTCATCGAATACAACCCTTCATTAGAAATTATATCACAACCCCAGCGTTGAGTTTTAATTGAAGACATACCAAGTTTTTTTTTTTTTTTTGAGTCGTATCGCTACGCAAAATCGTGCTCTACTCTCGAATGACAGTAAAATTTAGTTTAGGGAAAACAATATCATCTAGTTCCATCAAACTGTGTAAGAAAAAATTACTGAGGGTCACAGTGGGTTAGCACGGAAATGAATCTGCAGGCGCACCGTCTTGATGAAGACAAGTGATAGACTGAGAACTTGACCCACGATCTGGACAGGGATATATCGGGTGCCAAATTGTCAGGAAGTATCCCGCCGGAGTTTTACAGCATGCAGAGTCTGAAATACGTGTATGTAACCAACTTCTACATTCAACCTCCAAATCACCAGCTTGTGGAGTCACGAACTTCTCTCACTGCTTATCAAATGAAACTTTCTTTTACGAATACGATTGTTTGTACGGCTGCTTGATGGAATATCTTTTCAGTTATGTCCTTTGAGCCATTTTGATGGAAAATTCCAAATGCAGACTGGCATTGAGTCCTCATGCTTTTTGATAATGATTGAAGTGGGTTTGTTCAGATACCTGGGAAACAATAAAGAGCTTACGGGAAATCTGGAGAAATTTAGCCTCCTTTCTAATCTAGTAAATCTGTACGTATGACTCTGTCCATCTCCAGCTGAGTTTTGCGCAAACTGTGAAAACTGCGAAAACATAAGTTTCAAGATTGAAGGGGTAATTTGATTGTTTGCTGTTTCAGTTCAATATGGTATTTGCAATTTGAGGAGTATGTACTTCCCGATAAGCTTTCGAGTCTCAGCAAATTGCAGTACTTGTGAGTATTTTGCACTTCGGAAGTAGAAGGTTTCATGATTTACTAGCTATAGCGTTCTTGTTCAGCCTGAACATCATACTGGGTTGGTCTGCAGGAACTGTCATGACTGTAACCTCCATGGAGGTCTTCCAGAAAGCTATGGTGAACTATCAGAACTAATCGAATTGTGAGTTTTCTGGTTGTGGTAACGAAGCCATATCTCGTTGTAGCAGCTATTGGAATCCAATTGACTTAAGGATTACATAGTCTACTTTTAATCATGCAAATAATGGATTTGAAAATTGCAGCTTCAAGAGACTCGTTATTTGACTTTCTCTTGATCTCTTGCATGCGACTAAACTTCAGTTTTGTGCAGCAATGTGCGCCGGAATGCTTTAACTGGAGGGATTCCTGATTCGTATAAGAAGCTCACAAACCTGAAAACCTTGTAACTACAGTCCTGAACTTAAAACCCAGCTGCAGTTGGTCAATTTCAAATTTATTACCCAAGATAAACTAGAATGTGCTTCGTTCTGTGAATTCAAAATAGGCTGCCTTGCAAGAGCATATTCATCACGTCATTGTCCTCACGTTCGTAGCTTCCTTGTGCAGTCGCGCGGATTACAATTTTCTTCTGGGGTCGTTCCCCAACTGGATGTTCACAATGTGGCCTAACCTGAGGAACTTGTAAGCATTGTTCAGTGAGACGAGAAATCAACCTAACCGAGTCTGTATTTTCAAATGCCACTTTTAAAATGTTTCAATCTCTGTTTCTCTCTCCAAACTTCCTTCGCAACAAGGTGCTAGCTCTTTACTATACTCATACCCACTGTTGATTCATATCAGGTACCTCAGCGCCAATCAGTTTTATGGGGTGCCATACAATATCTCTTACCTCGAAAGGCAGTTCAATCTCACAACCAGGATAAACATAATGTAAGAGTTTCATGTAAGAGATTCCGAACTTATGCTAAAATATCGACGACATTCTGCTCATTAAGACTGACGATGAATAATCCATGGTTGGGTGAGCTTTGCAGGTTGAAGAGCAACACAACGAATGATTATTGATTTGACAGCGCTCTTGCAAAAGTTGTGAACTACCGATCTGGATTGTATGTATCTTTGGCATGCTAACAGCACTTGTATACACCCTGCAGGCGTTGGGATTGCAACTACTTGACAGGAAACGAAGCATGTGGAAGTGATCACAAGAATGATTGTAGTGACACGACCATGTAAGTGAAGTTCTGGACATCCAAACCTTACCACGCCAAAGCTTGAAGATTCTGAGGTGCTGCAAAACAGACAGAATTCTTCGTACAATGTACTTGGCAATACTTCCTCTGTATCTCTAATAACCGGATGTTTTTTTTTCAATGCAGCGCATTGATTGCAAGTGGCAATTACGTCTTTGACATGAACTGTTACGAGGGCATTTCTGACCAGGATATTTTAGCGGAAACGGCCTACTGTGGTAGCCATACGCTTACTTGTGACGTGTTCGAAACCGACATTGTCCGAGCAAATAATTGTCCCGCATGCCCTCCTTCACAAAAGTTACAAATTGGGGCATCAATCGACAGTGGATGTCTCTGTTATGGCACAGCGTCAGGTCATAGTCTCTCCGTTTGACTTATCGACCAACTTTCAATCGATTTACGTCGTTAGCCGATTTCTTACCTTCACTTTTTCATGAATACTGATATGGGATCTACTTTTGCTCTAGCAGATGGATCTGGGCATACTGTGAACCCAGTTGTAGGCGTGATGGGAGGACTCTCTTCGTTATTTCTTATCATTCTTGGGTTCGTTGTGTGGAAGCGAAGAAAGAATTTCTCATTTTTCGATGTCTTCAGCAACAAGGAGACGGAATTAAGTGGTACGTCCAGATATGCATTTATAAACTATCCATTTTACAGTTATAGAGAACGAGCTGTATCTGAGTAGGACTATCTCGTTTCAACATGTCTAGCATAGAATCATATCTGATCAGAGAGGATCTTTAAATTGCTTTCGTGCATGGGCTGTAGCAATATGGGAGATGCCTGCCGGCGTTCACAGGTTTACAGTCGAGGAACTCGCTCGAATAACTTCAGACTTCGATGAGAGTCACATAATCGGGGCCGGAGGATTTGGAAAGGTTTTCTGGGGCCTTTTGGATGATGGGCGCATGGTGGCAATAAAGCGTGCCTCTGCTGGCAGCTTGCAAGGCGTCAAAGAGTTCCGAAACGAAGTTATTCTGCTCAGCAGACTCCATCATCGTCATCTTGTACGACTGGAGGGATTTTGCGAAGAGAAAAACTTTCAGGTGTGGATTAACATCTTGATTCTCCAACCCAACCAGAACTTGTATATTACAATGCCCTTGTACTGAGTAGGGAACATGTAAACCAGCGCCATTGTCTTCGAGATCACATTCTGATGATTTCGATGTACACTCGTCTCTTATCAAAAACTTGCATAGAAGATTAGTTTCCGTGCTAGAAAAAATGATGCAGAGGTTTATATTCCCTCCAGGTACTTGTCTACGAGTTTATGAAGAGAGGAAATCTGGGAAGTCATCTTTACGGTAAGAGACAACTCCAACCTTCTTGCTTGTATCGATCAGAGACACAGTTTTTACATTCAGAAGTAGAGCGTATGCCCTCCGTTTCTGCAGGTAGAGACAGAGAAACACAAAGCGAAGGTTGTTTGTCATAGAAGTTTGTGAAATTTCTTTACACTTGTCCCACCATTTCTGCCCATCTGTTTATTAGATGTAAAAGCCCATTTACCTTCGGAGAGCTCTAAGACTTCCCTCTCCATGATTTTAGGAGGCAATACCAATTTGGACTGGTACAAGCGCCTGGACATAGCGTACGAAGTCGCACAGGGCTTGGAATATATTCATTCATTTGCAGTAAGTTCACATATGGCATGCTCACTAACTCTTAAGCCTTCGAACGTGAAAATTCCATATGCAGCTTAGGCATTCATGTAGAGTCACATATTTCAGAGTCCGGAGTCTTCATTAGAAGCAATCACGTTAATTTGAAGCTCTGATATGCGTTGGTTCCGATTGGCTGCATTTTCAGGATCCTCCCGTCATACATCGTGACGTGAAGCCTTCAAACATTCTCCTGGACGAAAATATGGTGGCGAAGTTAGCTGATTTTGGAATTTCCAAGGAATCCACTGAGCTTGAGACACATATTTCCACATTTCCTGCTGGTACTGCTGGGTGAGAACGGAGAAATTCTATTAAGTCTTCTTGTCTTCCAGTCTCCGTAGAATGTTCCATGTATTCTTGGAGCTTTCTTCTAAACATTCGCTTTCTGCTCATACTGCTGTGGCACCTTGTAGGTATCTGGATCCTGAGTACTATTTGACACGACAACTCACACCAGCGAGTGATGTTTACGCATATGGAGTCGTGTTGCTAGAGCTTGTCACGGGGCAAGTGGCGATCGATCGCAAAAGAGATGCTGACAACAACTTGATCGAATGGGTGAGTCTCATATGATGAGCTGAAGAATGAGATTGCAATAGTGTTCGCAATATATCTTTCAGTGGATGTATCTGTAGACTACCAGAGCTACAAGATCACAAGGAGATCATTCAATTGATGTATCTTTGTTCGACGACTCTGAAACCATCGTGGGAACCCGCCATGAAGAAGGCTCTAATATATGCATTTGTGTCTGGCTTCGAACCCTTCAGGCCAAAAAGAGGTTCAAACTTGCAGGTGTCACATCGATCATAGATCCCAGTATTGCAGATGATTTTTCTAAAGACGCGTGTACAAAAGTGACCGAGTTGGCATTCAGGTGTGCTCAATTTAGGAAGAGCGAGAGGCCAACCATGAAGGTAAATGATGACACAAATTTTCTGCACTCGAACCCTGCATCCAGATGCACGAAATTCTATGCTGATCACCATCACTGGTTTTGAGAGCCTGGTTTGTATTCATCTCTTCTGTTTCTACATCCGTGATTATGAACTCCCTACATCTGAGATCAATTTGTGATTTTGAACAGGAAGTTTTAGCTGCTTTGGATCCCCTGATTTTACCCAAGTCTTCAAAGTCGTCCCCACACGGCTCAGATAGCTTCTCCAAGGACACAGAATGGCTCGTTGCGAAAGGCAAATCAAAGCGCCAGAAGTCTCCTGGCGACAGCAAGAACATCTCGAGCATAAGTTCGCCGAGCTCCGATCTGGAACGCTCGTTCAACGTCATGGACATGTCACAAGAGTTCGCACCAAGGTGATAGACATCAACTATCGTGCCTTCAGACCAAGAGTCTCATTTTTCTACATTTGATGGCCAGCGCGTCCCAAGAGCCTTCCCGATATTCTAGTGTGTTCTGTACGAGGAATCCACAACATATGTCTCGGAGTAACCTTTCGGTCTACTCAGAGGCGTGTCAGAATTTGAAGGAGACGAGATGTGTCAATGTTGTTACAGTTCTGTCATCATCGATCAGCAGAAACAGACCTGGATTTCTCAGCTCCGTGCCCACTCATTTTCCACTTTACAGAAATTGTGGACAAAGCCATCACAGGTCATCGCAGAGATTCCATTTTTGTATCAATTCAGCAGATGTTCAGCAGTCAACAAAGCATCACGTGAGCAATTATTCTGGTCAGGCGCAAGGAAATGGAAGTAGGTAGTTGTTTGCCCTGTTATCACCCACAATGTTCTTCCTGTACTCAGATTGGGGAGACTTACGTCTTTTAGAAGGTTCTCTTAGACTTCGAGGCAAACAAATATGGACATTCCAGAACAAGACAGTTGTCCACCATCAGAGGCTAACTTCACCGCAAAGAAGAGCTTCTGAACAGTGAGCGGTATACTGCTCTGCGTTTTCTCCGGAACTGAAACTAAAATCTGGACGCGTGTCAGCGGCCAATTTTAATCTAGGCACACTTCGAGCACAGGACAGCTCACGTGAGAAGCACAGAAGCGTGAGCTGTGCGACAAGAGGGACATTCGTCCACACGAGTATCAGGATTTGGAGTGTGACCAGTGATGCAGTTTTCATTTGTAGTACGACGCTTACATATGAACAAGCCTCAAATAAGAACCAGCGATGAAAGAAATCTGCCGGCTCAGCCGCAGTCGACCGGTCGAGACTAATGCCTGCGAAACGGTTCAGCCTCAAAACACAGATCTTGTCTTGGTCTTCGCAAAGAGCACTGACATCGCGTTGTCTCTAGCCTTCTGTAAGAGTACCTCGCCTCTTAGAATCGAAGCTGTGTACAAATTCTCCCTCTATCCAAGTGCTGATACAAGCATTTGAATACAGCAACTATTAAGCCCATCTTGTACAGAGATCTGGAACGGTCTCACCGTGAAATTCATAGTGTTGAGCCAAGAAATCATCTCTATATGCTGTTGTGTACACAGTTGGAGGACTGAGAATGGAGTGCCAGAGCATACCGCACGTGAAGTAGACGTGCTTCCTCCCTCATGATTTCATCATCGTGAAGGTGAATTCTGACGCACTGCCTCTGATCTCAGAAAACTCGGTAAATTCCTTCCCATGATTCCGGGCCGTCAGCAGGCTACGTCTCCATCGAAAGTATTCACGGAGCTCCAACCAGAACCCACATCTTCGTAAATGCTGGAACGCTTCCTCTGCGATTTCCAAAAGACACAGTTGTCGAAGGAGTAATGAATGGACAACGATGCAAAAATAGATCGAGTAGTCCATAGCGATAATCATGAATCCAACTGGAATCCGAACTATTTATTAAATTGACTTTTTCTGCCATAGTTTACTGGCTTACCTTCTTTACTGGTTATCGAGGGTAAACTGCAGTAGTCTCCCGGTTAAGTACGCTCTTTGAACCCGGGAATGCTTTGCTTACTTAACCGGGAGGTGCGTAATTAAGAATATTGACTTTGATTCGAGCGTAATGTCAAAAGAACCTTATATGAACACTCCTAAACACTCGGCGCTATTTGATATCATAGAGAAACGGAGCAAATTCATGATTCCATTGGAAGAGCTCGAATCTGCAAGTGACTTGATCATGAAGATGAGAAAAACGGAACAAATCACAAAACTAAATTGAGTTAATGTATGATGAAGTTAAAGAGAACACTTTTTAATCTCACTCTTCTAACATCTATTGACACAGCCAAACCAAAAAATATTGCATTGAGTTTATTGATTTCATATATTTCCAAGTCGTATTCAATTGCCAAGTGAGTTGTTAAAGGTGTTGCTTCTAGGAGAGTGATTTGAAATTTTATCATGTACTCTAGCAACGTTAACTATTGTAGCCTAATATAATCTAAAACCTCAAAAGGATGATACAATCTTTTCTTCATTTTGCGATAGTGATTTGCTTTTTTCTCTACTATGAGAGTTTGTCTCTAATGTTAAACGAGTATATTTCAGCCAATAGAGGTTCACGCTTCTAATCAGATATGAGACAACCACTAGGAGGAGTAACAAGTTTTGACCGTAAACCAAATGAACGACATGTCATGGGTTGAACCCTATTTTTGTGCCGAAAAAATGCATACTTAACCGGGATGCGTACCTAAACGGGTGTGTAATTAACCGGGAGACTACTGTAATCTATTGTGTGGTTAGTTCATTGAAATGAATTTGTTATACATTAAGTTCATTTGAGCTTTTTCTCACTTGCTAACTTGAGGCATCTCTCCCAATTTGATTTTGTAATGTTCAATGAAAAGATCAATTTTTAGTTTCTCTAATTTGAAATCTAATTTTCTTAAATATTCGCGTAACTTTATGATGGCTGATTTTGATTGAGCCTTTTAATAAGATGATACTAAAAAAATAATCGAAATTTTTGTAAAAATTTGTCTAACTTTCTATCATATGATCAACAAATATAATCTTCAGCTCTTTGTAGCTAAAGCTTACGGATTAAAACAGAAGTGCCCAGACTTCGTACATGATCAAATTTGGATGTATTTCAATGAAACTTTTTTGAAATACAAGTAAATTATTTGTTAAATGACATAGGCGAGCTGTTGAAACTTGGACAGAACCGAGCAAACTTTAAAATATAGAGTGGATCACAAAAAGAATAAAGTTCTATTCTTGAGGAATTGCGTAACGGAGCATATACGCTTTCTAATTTGCATACATTTTCCTTGTTCAATTACCCATAAATTTTATCTACGAGTACAACTTTGTGCTGAAAAGTCATTAATCTTCGTGAACAATTGAACTTGCAAATTTGGAACGTGGACATTAACACAATTTTTTTGTGTGCAAAATCTTATCAATACTTATAAGCGCTATTCAAAGTGCGTATATATGCGACGATATTAGCTTCTACGTTCCAAATGCCTCGATAATAATATGTCTTGTTCCAATATACACATTCATGAAGAAACATTGGAGATTGTTCAAGATGAAAGAAAATGAATGCTCGCGCGTTACGAGTATTAAACATTGATTGATTGCAAAGAAGCATCATCGTTTGATACTGTACTAAAGAAGACGGGCAAGCCGATTGAAAGAAGATGGGAATCCCCATCAAGCTTCACAATACCGTAAGTTAGAGTGTAACATGATCAGTATGATCCTATCAGGTATTTATCTAAGGAGTCTATGTTATGATTTTGGTAAATTGATTGTTCAAACGTTCTTGGGGTCTCTATTGAAATCAGTAAATCAGAAGAAGATTGATTCTACTTCGAAATCTTGCTGACATCTTTCCTCTTAAGTGAATTAAAAATGCTTTATAACACCGTGGGCAAATTATTATCTTGACATTTTCAGCACAATGTTTTAGCGATAAACAAATATTCAGCTAACAAGAACATGTCGAAACCTATCAGCATCCATGTTATCCCATGTGCCAACATTGCGTAGCCTGATAAGAATAAGTTGATGTAAGTGAGTAAATTGTCTTGATGTATATGGCAGTATACCTTGTAGTTGGCGCATGTAGTGTACTTGCCGACAACGTGCAAAAGTGTTTGTGCTCGATATCCAAGTTGTTAAGCCAAGGTTGCATAACAAAAAGCGATTGCGACAGTTTCCTCGCTATTTGTAAAACATAAACCTTTGCCACAAGATTGTCTGTTAGCAGTGATCTCATAATCCCTTGTTCCGCTTTATACTAGGCGATCTTGGAGGTTTCCTGGGAAAATTCAAGGAAAAATCAGAAGAAAAAAGAAAAAAGGCATTAAGAGAATCCACGTTAGATTACAAGACATGCAGATTTCATGTGGTCGTTGACTTGGAACCACAAGCGCGGACCGGATCATCACAAAACAAAAGTCAAAAGTGGTCTGCGAAGACGCGTTCTGGCAGGGTAAATAATCCGGGACAGATACTATACCGGTAAGTACAGGTGGAAGCTGACTTCGAGTTGACCGCAGAATAAGTGACTTCCATGATGGTGCGCCAAGTACTCTCGATATCTGTATACTGGACACGTGGTGTCTATGAGTGCCAGCTCAGCTCGGCAGTTTATGGCAAGAGTATCTGTTGATCGAGGTTTGCCGTAGCAAGGGCTTGCAATGTCCATATTTTGTGCCGACCTCCACTGTTTGGGACTTTTTGTGCTATGTCAAACATCGCAGAACCCAACGATTCCAGAGTCACAAGACACAAGTCTTCCGAGCCACCGTTAGCTATGCTCATAGCCTCCAGATGTAGATTTTAGTGATGTACAGGCCTCGATAGACTGACTACTCATGAGTAGTCAGTTTATCGAGGGTGAAATAAATACACCTTCTTTAGTTGAGTGCATCATCTCGACGTCCTCCGAAGGGATTCTTTGTAAGAGTTTTTGGGGGTGTTAACCCTCTCCTCATTCGGAATTTATTTTCTACCATCATCAACAATTTCGACGTCCATAAGCTATTGCTTTAGTGGAACTAAGCAAGGTGAGATGGTTTTCATCCTGAGATATCGTTGACATCAATTATTTCAGAAGTCTGATTTGGTCATTCTCTCAATAACTTAATTCTTTTCTTTTCCGGTTGACGTCTCGGTAATATCTCCCATCTGGATGCAGGTGTGTCAGGGCTGAAGCCACAATTTAATGTGCAGACTCTTTACGCTTTTCGCAACCTTGACAGCTTGCAGAATTCCAGCTAACAGCTGCAGGAATGCTGCAATCCAACCACATGCGCATTACATCCAAATCCTCGGTAGCCGACAAATCAGAAGATATGTAAAGATCTACTTTGTTACAGCCCTCTAGAATCCCTGTGCACAGTGAGAAGCATGTACCACCCGATATCGTGTATAGTGATAACGCGTTAGCCTTTCGCGGCGGGATACAAAGGGGGAGCAAAAGAGTGATAACGCGTCGGCGAAGTCTGATCTGGCCGGAAAGCTTGCTTCTGCAAGGGCTATGGCAATGCAGAGTCTTTTTCATAAATAAAGACAAAACTATTATAGCTTTCGTCTACATATGACTCGCTTTCTGATAGATTCTGATGGCATGTCACGCTCAAGCGTGACATTATCTGCAGCTATAGATAGTAAGGTTTCTACGATCGGGGTATGCATGTTGGATACCCATTATCTCCTGGAGATTACAGATTCATTGCAGGATATATTCGAGTAACAGTGCACGAGATTGACACTTAGCAGGGTGGCGTCTACTACCACCCGGATTAGGAATACTGAGTGTTATTAGTCAATGGTCTAACTCCAAGAGAGGACATTATCATCTCTTGTTCCTCTTCCTTAGTAGTGTGGGACTGTTTGGTCCTTGCTTTGCTTTCTGTCGGATGGTCTTGCCTAGTCCATTTTACCGCATGCCTTGCCCTTTTCACTTTCTGAATAGATCTTACTGCTATATGTGGAACATCCTCTTGCTTCCGTGTTAAAGATAGCAGAAAACGAGAAGCTTAATTTTCTGCATTGACTCCTTTGATATTGTGTCTTCTTTATAGTAGAAAGACCATCTTTACGTTTGTAAGTTCTTGTCTTTCGAGTGTAAGTGCCAGAGACCAAGTCCACCCTCACTGTAGAGCAGACATCGTTCAGATCGTCTGATATCGGATGCGCTCTTTTCTCCGATGGTTCCTCTGTGATGTTCCACGTAGACCTGCCAGACTGACAAGTTGTCGAATCTGCAATTTAGAAAAAACTCATTCTCCTGCAGTGTGTTGTGATTCGCTTCCAGTGTCTCCGATAGCAGCTTACCAGAACTCAGTCTTCTAAATTCTTGTCAGAGTCAGCGTCTCTGTTTGCGTTTCCAGCTCAATTTGAAATCGCCCTCCTTCCGAGACGTGTATCTGCTCTCCAAACTTCGATACCCCTCAAGCAGTCAGAACTGCCACTACCAATCCATCCTGGACTGTGAAGTAACCTCCAGCTCTCTCTGCTGCAAATGGTAGTAGCGGTGTTTGATGGACAGCGATGATGCACAGGATTACATTGTAATGCTCTCGGTTGGAGCTAGACGATATGCTGAATCTGCAAGGAATTCTCAAGTTCAAACTTCATAGAGGAGTTGTACCGATCTTAAAACAAGCAGGAATTCGTTCATGCAGGCGATTCGCGTCGGGCAACTACATAATAACATCACAATCTGTGGTGGCATCGAGATCAGGAAGCTTGTGTATCGTAGACTTTGGACACATTTCCCCTCAAAATGAACAAAAACAACAGAGCAGTACTCAATCACAGCTATGAGCAAGGTCTCTGCCGTCAATGAAGCTGAGGATCGTTCACGGCGAAGGAGTAGTGGATAGCTATGGCGACATTCACGGTCACGTTTAAAGCTGGAATATGGCTGCTGTTTTCTATAGCTGTATCAATGTTTTCCGGCACCTTCAGTACTGTGGAAGAAGGTAAGATTACGCAGGCAAAGTTCCAGAAAGTCAAGCTCTGCGACAGTTGCGAACAATCTGTTTTTCCAGGAGAAGTGGAAACTAACGAGTCTTCAAATTCACTTGATGGCAGGAACCGCTCTTACGAAATTATTGACAGATTGGAACAAGGATCTTCCAACTTGGATTCCAGGAAGCGATCCCTGTGACGGCTGGGAGAATGTTCTTTGCACCGGCAGACGTGTAACAGCCTTGTAAGCTTTCTTGTTCCTAAGCACAGCTCCAATGTTTCAAGTCCGTGTTTGACGAAAGGACAAATTAGTTCCTTCCTGACATGCTTGCTTCTAAAGGTCTCTGCCAATGTCCAAGATGCCGTCTGACGGTACACAACAACAGACGCCGTCACATAAGTTGTGAACATCGATTGGTACATTGGGTCAGTAGTGTCAATCAAGACTGCTTGAAGCAGCACAGTTTCACCGAGTAAGGTGTTCGAATTTAAATTTGCTGTTGATATAGCAGAGAATGCTCAGGGCATTTCAGATAAAGCGGTTTGCAGGTCATTTTCCTTCTCTTACGATTGATAATATGTAAGACAGTCGTTCTAATACATTGACTCAAGTGACTGAATGAGTCAGAGGCAGCGGGATGCGGTCCATGTCCACTAATGGGCATGAGACTACAATGGTACGAAAAGGAAGTTGAAAGTCGAAAATTCGAGAAGTTGATTAGTAAATCAATCCACATATGAACGAAATAATTCTAGAACGTAGTTTCTGACTTACATTGCGTTGGTACAAAGAGTGCAATGTCATACAGAAGCTAGTGAGCTTCTGTATGATATTGATTGAACTAGATTCTGATTTTCACTTTCAACTCTGATATCCTAAAGAACATGTCAAAAGGTAATCATATCCGTCCTCGTACAAATGACAATGATATTACTCAGCACCAAAAAATGTACCGTCCATCACTACGACTTAGACATGTAACAAACCTTGTCTAAAAGTTTGTAGGAAGTTTGCAGTCTAATAACATAATATTCCTGCGTATCTCGTGAAAATTGCAAGTATAGATCGAGCGCTCGATTTGAAAGTTATTCAGGAGATCTCAAGAGTGGGGATAATTGCTTATTTAGCAACTGTTTTCAGTTTCATTCATCCCCTGTAAATCATGTTTTACTCATATCTATGGGATAATTGATTCGAATGTTTTTCTCTGTGAAGGAACCTGACGAATTTGGGCATTACTGGAAGACTGCCAGAAGAAATCGGTGTCTTGAGCCAATTGGAGGATCTGGATCTAAGTTACAACAATTTCCGGGGTTCTCTTCCAAATAGTCTCGGATTGTGTCAGAATATGCGCGTCTTGTAAGGCAACTTCTATGTCGCTGACTGTTGTTTGTTCCATCCCCATCATAAAGTCCCCGGATCTATTTGAATCGTGGGTCTACTCTGCAAGTTTCAAATCCTGAAGCCAGTTTCATGAAAAGGGCCATAAAATTGACTTGTCACGCTAGCCAGTTTGCATTGAATTACTGAGGTGTTAATACCTATTTAACACACCATATCTGAGAGCAGCTTTACATGTCTACAGTTCAGATTTTCCAGATTTTGAATCTTGAACCTTTAGATACAATGTTATATACGCATAACCCGCTTACAGATCGCTGTTGCTGGACAATACAGAGTAATACAGGATTGTCCCTGGAACACTGATTTCCCTACGGTCATAACAAAGTTACCAAGACTGGAGTACCTGTAAGTAAACAATATCTCTCACTGGTTTCGAATGCAAGTTCTCTAAGGGTTTCCACAGCCTACAAAAGTGGGTTTATCAGATAGCTCTATGAGCTCATGCTTTGCCTTTAGGAGTATACATGTAAACCTCACATATTACTAGAAGACCGTGGATATAGTTGAGTCATGTCATCAAATAGGTAAATCATGACCTGTCTATAGACGTGGAGATGAAAGATGTGATCAGAATGATGCATCAACTCACTTCTTTTAATGAGGATCATGAAGTGTTAACCTTTGCTCTGTAGATTGTAACGTTGTCAACTTAGCATCAACCGATTTACCCAAATTAAGGTAGTTGAGGGAGTTTCCACTGATCCTCGTACCAGACCTACAGGGAGGCCAGTAATGCAGGATTAACTGGAAGTATACCACGACAATTCTACAACTTGGGAAGTCTGAAACACATGTACGTTTCCAACTATGGACACCGTATACTTGCTTCTGTTTTTGCACATATCGACCGTTACGCTGCACGAATCCACTATACTGTTTACTACTACCTTTTGGAAGAGATGCTCTCCGCTGGATGAAGCTAATAATTTATTTGAAAAAGAGATTTCTATAAATGCTAAACTGCAACTGTAAGCAGCCCCGGCTGATGTTTAAGCCATGTGATGTGCACTCCAACAGATACTTGGGAAACAACACTGATCTAACCGCAAATCTTGAAGACTTCAGTCTATTTCCCGAACTATTAAATCTGTACGTATCAGTTGCAAGATTTCTCTTTTTGCACTCTCGTATCCACTACATCGCCTTGAGCGATTGATCGCAAGAGGTTTCCACTTTATTCTGACATAATCTTAACGCTTTTGCTTCCTCAGGTCACTATGGAGGATGAAATTTGAGGACTCTGAACTTCCTCCGAAGCTTTCAACGCTTAGTAAACTGCAATATTTGTAAGTGTGTCCACTCCTCGGTCACTCATGATAGGGATTCCGCTTCGTTTAACATTTTTATCTACTACCCTGAACTAACGTCACACTCAATGTTTTTGCAGCAACTGTCATGACTGCAATCTCACAGGTGGCCTTCCTGAAAGCTACGGTGAACTCACAGATCTTATTGAATTGTGAGTTCCTGCTTATTTCAGCTGATGGCTTTTGTTCTCTGTGTGCAATGTATCCAGCATTGGATGGACATCATAAACCCTAAGATTTCGAAAGGTTCGTGCAAATTAACGGGATCTCAGCATCGCATATTACACCCTAGATTGCACACCCTCTGTTACAGGGCCACTTTCAGAAAGCTCATCGTCTGCCTTCAACTTATGACATGTTCATAACCAGGGTTTATACCTCTATGCAGCAATGTTCGCGCAAACGCTTTGACTGGAGCAATTCCTAATTCGTTTAAAAAACTCAGAAATATGGTGGCCTTGTAAGTGTGCCTCTGAACCTAGACCAGTTAGTCTGATATCGAGTTCATCACTGTCAAGTGTTTGTAGGAATTTGCGCTTCATTACATATCACAAGTGTTGTAGCACAGATGGTGAGAGGAGCTTAGCACTGGTCATGATTGGTTCTGATGTTTTACCTTGTGCAGTCGGGTGGATAATAACGCTTTTTTGGGGCCATTTCCAAATTGGATGTTCGACTACTGGCCCAACTTGACAAGCTTGTGAGTATCAGCTTTCATGACAAGAAATGCAGACTTCATGCTGAACATGTGCTGAAGAAAAGGCTATCACTCGTTTCTAGGCTTTCGATGCTCGACTAATGCCTTCGTGTCTTGTCCTTCGACGTTTTCTGGTCACAGGTTGCTTAGTAATAACCAGTTCTACGGGATGCCATACAATATCTCGTACTTAGAAACAAGGTTCAATCTCACTTACAAGATGAGTTTCATGTAAGTTTCTCATCAACTTTTCCTATAGAAGACAATTCTTAACAAGAGGATACTCAGAAGGTCATGTTTCCCCAGACTAGATACAGCAGATGTCAAATTCCCAATGAAGATTCATTCGTCACGCGGAACGAACTTCGAAAGATGGAGGATAGGATCTTAGTCGATGGTTAAGGACGACGGATGGTTCTAACAGCTGGTCTTTCTCTGCAGGCGCTGGGATTGCAACTACGTGACAGGACCTGAACCATGTGGTAGACAAGGCCAAAATAACTGCAGCGAACTGACGTGAGTGTCTGCATACCCAGCCTGCATACATCATATGCAGTTAAGTGTTTCAGAACTCGAGATACAAACAAATAAAATCTCACCCGATCTGATGGTCGCCGCTGGATCTTGACATTGCAGCTTAGCCTATACACAAGGAGGCGCAGGCTCCTCGGGAAAGTTTTCGTTTGACCAGAACTGTTGGGACAATGTGTATACCAACTTCTCGGCAATTGTGGGGGGAGAGGTGTGCACTGGTCACCCGCTCACTTGTGAAGGCTTCTACAGCCAGGTCGTGAACCGAAAAATATGTCCCGTGTGCCCAACTGATCAGGAGCTGCTGTTAAATTCGACCGTCGATAATGGATGCCTTTGTGAATACACGGGATCAGGTGATTTTCTTCCGTCTCTTGTAACTGCTGCGCAGACCACCCTACGTGTTCAATTTCCTCGTGCTGTCTGGCATTTGTGTTTTCTTATGAAGGGCTGATTGTGTATTCCACCTTTGCTGGCAGGCGGATCCGGGTTCCCTGTAAAAACAACAATAGGCATAGTTGTTGGAACTTTGTCCTTGTGTCTTGTACTTCTGGTCATCTACAGGAGGAGGCGACGGACACCGTTCTCACCCGATCCTCCTTCGCATTCTTCCGAGGAGAAGGAGGACGACGAGCTTGATGGTAAAGTGTTCCCCCATGTAGTACTCCAGTTGCTCCATGCTCCTATGTCACAAGGTGAACATTATGTGCATAATTATAATAGTTGAATACATCATGGAATGGTCATTTACGTGTCCTGTATAAAACTATTTCCACCTCGAGATTTGCACTCCATGGAATTCCACACCAATGCTCTTACCAGATCCATCGAATTCTAATCGTATTATTATTGATCTATTCGTGGAGCTCAAAGTAAGAAGAAAAGTCACCAAATCTCTGAAATTCTTCACTTGATTAAAAACATTTATCACCGTGGCTTTCTTGGTCTGCCTGCAATCTGACAAGACCAGCGGTAATAATCTTGGAAAAATTCAGGTGATTGGAAGACTCCTGTTGATGTCCAGAGCTTCAGCGTTGAGGAGCTTTGTCGAATCACCTCAGGCTTCAGTGAAAGTCAGATGATTGGGTTTGGAGGATATGGAAGAGTTTACTCGGGAGAACTGCCTGATGGCCGCAAGGTGGCAGTGAAACTTGCCTCTGCTGGCAGCTTGCAAGGATCGAAGCAGTTTCGAAACGAAGTTAATTTACTCAGTAGACTCCATCATCGCAATCTTGTTCGACTGGAGGGCTATTGCAATGACAAAAAATATCAGGTCTCAGAGCGTTTCAACTTTCCTGTGACAGAGTTATCAAAATCAGAAATGCGTTTTATGAAATAAATTTATGTCCGTATAGATCTTACGGTTTCTTCAAAGGTATAATGAGGACTTCCTCGCTATCCCCGTGTATTTATGGGCCGTTCACAAATGAATCACAGCTCTCTAGTCATAATCCAGAGTGACAGATTTTGCTGACGATAGTTACTGGTCCATTTCAGGCTCTTGTTTATGAGTTGATGAAAGAAGGAAATCTGGCAACGCATCTTGCAGCCAAAGGTGAGATTCGTCGAAGCCAGCTCGTGCAATTAGTACGGGTGAAATATTGCCGTTCAGCATGCACTGATGTGAATTGTGGTCCTGTCTTGCTCTCGAATGGCGGAGACAGTTGGAACACGACGCGCTGTCGAGTGGGCAACTTGTGTTGTGCCCACTCTCCAGTAACTAGAGATTCAAAGGACTGACATTTGTTGCAATGGTTTCTGGTCCGTCTGCAAAAGTGCAAATGCTCAGTTCTGTTGTTCGACTGCATGATTCAGGAAGCCCTGCAAAACTGGGAAACAAAGCAGAGGTGGAAACACGTGGGTGTCTACCATGGTATAAACGAGTAGAGATAGCATTCGAAGTTGCCCAGGGGTTGGAGTACCTTCACTCTTTTGCGGTAAATTCGATTTCCACACGCCAGCTCTGCTAGTGATGGATGTCATCCTCTCTGTCAGCAGTTGTACTTGCGTTCCGGCGAACAAACATTGAGAAGCTTCTGTAATGGAGATCTGATTGGCCCTCGTTACCGGACTCTGCAGGATCCTCCAGTGATTCATCGCGACGTGAAGCCGTCGAACATTCTCCTCGACGAGAACATGGTGGCAAAGCTGGCCGACTTCGGACTTACCAAAGAATTTCCGGAGCTGGAAACTCACATTTCTACCGCACCGGCGGGGACTGCAGGGTGAGTGGTTGAATTCTTCATCCGGTTCCTGTCCTGCTCGTTGATCTGTCAGGTGCCCACGTTCTCACGGATGTCTGCTCTGTGCACGCGCTTCTTGTACTTGTACGACGCAGGTACTTCGATCCAGAATACTTTTTGAGACAGCAGCTCACAACAGCGAGCGATGTCTACGCATACGGCGTCGTGTTGCTTCAGCTTGTGACGGGTCAAGTCGCCATCGACCATAGAAGAGAGGACGAGACGAACATCATCGAGTGGGTGAGTCTCACTGTCCAAATACTTTAGCCAAGTACGTTCACCTGCTTCTTCCGGACACTGAATGTGAGGTACAATGGCCATCGCAATGAGAGGTCTTTCTCTATCTTATTCGCAGCGGTCTACGTCTTTTCCCCACACTGCCGGTCGTGGTGGGCTGCAACAGGCCAATGTAGTGCGAGCTTCATGTTCGGAAAACCCGTCCTCGTGATGTGCTGATCGTTGCAGTGCATGGTTTTTATATGAACGAACCAATCATCACGGAAAAATCCCATCACTTATCTTGCCAGGACTTTAAAAAACGTATGCTGAATTTGGCTCCTGCAGGTGAAAAACAGGTTCTTTCTTAGGGGAATCGAATCGATAATAGATTCCAAAATTGCAGAAGAGTACTCCGTCGAGGCGTTTACAAAGATGACTGAGTTGGCACTCAAATGTGCCTCTTTTTCTAAGAAGGACAGGCCAACCATGAAGGTAAACACAAATGCTGAACGCGGTATTTTCTGGCAGTTATACTGTGGACGAATGTTAAAGGGCAGTTCCTTTCCTCTAGTATAATACTAGTGGGACTTTGCTTTCGTTCTTGCCTGGATTTCATACTGGTGATTTTGAAACGTGCGGAAGGAGGGACGCTTTATCCAGATTTCGGGGGAAGGGAGCAGGAGGTGCATATGACACGGGATTCCATGTCAGCAGGCTGTATGGAGAATTCATTTTATGGTCGTCAAGCTCTGGAGAAAATCATAAGTCTTAGTCTTCTGTTGTTCGTGCCGGTTTTCATGATGGCGAAACAAATCATCTGAGCTGACATCAAAATATGACTACTTTGACAGGAGGTGTTAGCTGCTTTGAGCCCGCTCATTTATCCGAAGAAGAGAAAGACGTCGGGTTCCAGCAGTGATAGTATGGACGTCACGATCTCAGCACTTGGTACTCTACATCTGCAGCAATTACTTAACGGGCAGTCTGATGAATCTAGCACGAGCTCAGGGCGAGTACGATCATCGAGTACGAACATTATGGAGTTCTCACAAGATTTCGCACCCAGGTGACCTTGAGATCAGCTGCCTTACCTTGAAAGCTATGTGGAGAAGTGCCGGCAAATAAACGAACAACCGCTGGACCTTCCTAATACTATCAAGAATCAATTTTGCACAAGCTTGTACAGGACTAGTCGTACGTGAAACAGAGCACATTCTTTCGAGTCGACTGATGTAATTGCTTCAAAAGGCCTTAGAACCTGTTTTCTGTCGTCATACGACGAAGCAGGTAAAGTGAAATTACCTCAGGCTCCTGCCTGATTTGTGATTTGTTTAGGAGCCATGGAGCTGTGTCCACACTTCATCTTTCGAGGTTTTTGAGCACATTTCCTGGGGACATTCTCAATTCACTGACAGTGTTGGACTCTCAGAATGGGCATTAATTAAATGCACAGTGGCAGGATCCTAGTTGCAACATAAGGTTGAATGTCGACAGTCTTTGAGAGCAATGTCAAACTTTGTCGGCTGCAACATGTGCAGTCAACAGGTATAAGACAGGCATGCGTAATGAGGTTTGTGAACGGGCTCATGACATTTAGCTCAGAGCTTTAGCTTGATGTGAATCAAACACTGAACATTTCAAACACTGAACTGGATAGGGTAGATATACTATCTAGACCTTCTTATTATTTCTTCTGATCAGTGCTCAACTTAACACTCCACGAGTTTAAGAGGTGCACATAGTCAACTACACCACTCGAGTAACTTAGAAGTGAAAAGTTAATCAGGAAATTAGCTTCCATCAGAGCTACCCTCAACTCTTGCAAGATTTCAAGGATAGGAAGCCCCAATCAGTTGAATCCAGCCACGAGGTTAACAAGACTTTTAAAAGAAGATTTCGATTCAAAGGATTGAGTGTGGCATGCGCTTGAAAACGAAATTGAAAGAAAATTAAAGCTTGCAAACGTAACCATCTTCGAAAATTGATCTCGAAGCTAATCGAAGGAATTCCATGGAATGCGCGTCTGTCTGAAGTATTGGCAGATTGTTTTGTGTGATGTATTATCGACCCTGGATTTCGAGACTGTCGCTAAAGAAATATCAAATTTCAAACCCGCCTAATTCCGAGCGAAGAAGCTGTTTAGGAAGGGGCGAAGGTGCATTCAATACATGAACCATATCACATAAACCCATTAGTTTAAATTTAATACTTTTATCGTAGCATACTCACAATTTAAAAATATCAAGTGGAAACCTTTACTAGAAGAGATGTACTTTTCTCTCGGGTTGAGATAAAACCTCATGCGTTGGTGACGTGGAGAACTCTTCGTAGATCCCTATATTCAGCGTGGAAGAAAAATATAAAATGCATAAGTCGGAAATGCAAATATCAGGCATGGTGAAAAGCCACGGACCATTGCAACTGGCATAAGCTGCTACAAAGCTGTTTGGTCGCCGCGTCTAAGGTGAGGGGAAAAGCTACGGACCGTTGGAACTGGCATAAGCTGCTACAAAGCTGTTTAGTCGCCGCGTCTAAGGAGAGGGGAAATGCTACGGACCGTTGGAACTGGCATAAGCTGCTACAAAGCTGTTTAGTCGCCGCGTCTATGGAGAGGGGAAAAGCTACGGACCGTTGGAGCTGGCATAAGCTGCTACAAAGCTGTTTAGTCGCCGCGTCTAAGAAGAGGTGTTACCTATATGAAGAATGCTGATGACAATCAAGGAGCATCCGGGGAAAAAACTCGTATTAAATGTTGAAGATCTAAAGTGACTTGATTGTTTATATTGAGATGTCTCACATCATCCAAACGGGTTGACGCTTGTTCCCCGCCTCAATGTCTGATGTAGCCAAATCGAATCGCTGACATCATGAGAACCCTTTTCCTCCTCCTAAAGCTCATACCGACGACGCAAGTGTCATCTTATTGTTACTAACCACGACCTTCGAATTTAGCGACAAGTCAATACTATAACAAAATTCCTAGACATTGCATGAAGCCTTTGTAGTCCAACGCTTAGGATACTTGTACAAGGGTAATTTATTGCCACCAAGTGAAATTTGAGGTCGACCAAAGAATTGGAATGCACAATTTGAAGCAAAGGAGATGAGAAGAAATTACAAGCAAGAAAAAAAATGGAATGGTTTGAAAGAGATTGGTTCTGCATACCCATTTTGATTGTACTTATGAAAAACTTGTTTGATCGACGAGCACTTGATCCAGGCATGAGGTTTTTGAGTAATTGATTAAAAAATGCTGATCGGGGTTTTCGACTTATAGTATATTCAATGAAATTTTTAAACTCTTGGTGAGAACAACAAGCGTTTGTAGTCCAACGGTTAGGATAATTGCCTTCCAAGCAATAGACCCGGGTTCGACTCCCGGCAGACGCAAGTGTGTGAGGAGACGTTACGGGCCCGAATTTAGAGCTTCTGATTCCAGTCGCTTAGGAGATATCCGCGGCATTTCTTGGACCGAACGAAGGGTTAGGCTTTGTTGGATCAACTGTAATCTACCTACCCCTTTTCAACCCTTTTCGTTTAATATTTTTCATTTTGATTCATTGACATCATTCAAGTAGATTTTGTCCAAAGAGATGAAAATATTTGATGATTTAAAAACCATTTATATTCCTGGTGAATAAAATTAAATTTACTAAGAAGTTGATGTACAATCAATTTTTCTACAATACTTTCTGAGTTTTCTTGTTTACACACAGCAGAGAAACTCAACTGATTATTGATTATGTTTAACGAGCAAACTTCACAAGAAGAGAAACTCTTTTTCTTTCTAATTTGAGAGACTTGCAGTCGCGAATTTACTATAGAATAAAGTGATAGATTGAGGAGATTTCTCACACAAAATTCAAAATAACTCTAGAAGTGAAAAAATTAAAATTAATATTGATAAGTGGAACATTGTGATTAGGTTGCTAATCACAAGGTTTCAAGTTTTCCAAGTTCACGCGTTTACTACATAGTCTTGCCAATGTACAAGATATTCCAATCTTCTTCAATTGATGCAAGAATTAAATATCTTAGAAACTTCAAATTCTTCTCCCATGTCAATTTTGATTGGTGATGGAGATGTTTGCAACCGTCTTGGAATAGTACATTCTCTATACGGATCAAGCAAGGAAACATGAAACATTATATGAAATTTCTTAGATGATGACAAATCCAACTTGTATGTTAACTTGTTGAATTGTTTATATGCGCAAAAAAAAGTTTAAAGATGACAATAATCAAGTGTGTTACTTGATCGGTGAATCTTCAAAATAAAACGCAAAAGCCAGATTTAATTCCAACTTAGATATACAGAATCTATTTCAGAGATTTTTCTGCATTTCTTTATTATCGCTTTGAACTTCTACCAGCCTTGGGTTCATGTCTTTGTAGATCTCCAAAGTCTAATATCAAGCTCTTGCTCAACCATATATTTTGTCAAATTCAAATTCAAAGAATCAAATTGTGGATGATATTCATAGTTTGATGAAGAATCAAATTTGATGTATATACTCTTGAAATGTAATATTTTAGACAAACTTTATGATTGAAAGTAGATACATCAATTATCTTGATGATAGTTTATGTAACACTTTAAATATTGTTTTAATAGTTGATTCATTCTTTTGGTTTATCCATCTGTCTGAATATGATACATCAATAATGGATTGTACTTCATTTGTAAATTCTTAAATAGAGATTGTCAAATCTTAAACTTGAATTCAACACCACAATCCGAACTGATGTCGTTGGAATATCTATGATATTTGTACACATTTTTCAACAAAAATTGTGTCGCTTCTTGATTTGTGATAGTGTCACATCCGCATCCATCATCAAATAGTCTTGTTGCAAGACATAAAGTGTTTCATCTTTGTCAAGCCATCAACTACAACAAAAACTTAATCAAAAAAATTGAACTTTGAAAGTTCCACAATTAATTTAGTGAATATTGAAGTAAAAACATAAGAGAGAGACGAAGTATTTTCTAGTAGTATAATATTTCATCTTTGATCTAAAATTTTGGATACGCATCATCACAAAATATTTTATGCAATTTGGAAACTTATGAAATGTATGTAGATTGGTTTGGAAACTAAAAAAAATAATTTACTTGAGAGTTCAGACCTGGAAATTTTCCTTTATTGTAGATGCTAGCATTGTTCTTTAATTTAAAGGTCAAAATATCGTACTGTAAACTTATTCAAATGTTGTGAAGAAAACATGCATCCATCAAAATTGTGATGTGCACAATCTTCGATTGATGATTCAATTGCTCAAATTTGATAAGAGTAATGTTTTGCTAATAGTAAGATGTATTTTCTTCCCTAGATGCAAGGAAATTTTGTCAAGAAAAATAGTGAGACCAGATTTTCTTGCGACGGTGCGGTACATGATGATAAAATTGAAGCGCAGAAGCAATAAACTCCAATGAGCTTGTCATCAAATTGATACGTTGATCGGCATAAATACTAAAGGTTTTTGTGATTGATGTATATTGTGAATAGATGTTGAGCTCTGTTGAAAAAATGATTCTTGGAGTGAATTGACAATGGTGAAGAATTTTTTTTTTGATGTTACAATTGATCTCAACAATATTACATTTTTGTGAGTATAATGCAACAAGATGAAGACGTTTGTACTTGTCAAGTTATAAAAGGACCGCTTTACGTGCAAAGTCAAAAGCATTTGTTTCTAAGAAAAATTGCTTGAAAAAATCAAGATGAGTTAGAATAAACGTTGTTGTAAACATCTTTTTCAAAGTTTTAAATGTTTGATTTTATTCTACATTTTATTCAATCTTGTATTTGCAAGTGTAACCATCTTTGATTAGTTGAAACTAAAGTATATGTTACTCAAGATGAACATATAGTTATATTCATAATCACCACATTAGTAATACATGTGTTTGGTAGATAAAGAACACATGTGTTAGTTGGGAGCGACACGTCAACAATTCATGCGTTTGTCAGGTAAAGATTAAGTTTGTTGTAGTTGTAAGTAGCATGTCAGCAATTTGTGTGCTTATTAGATATATCTATTTTGTAATTAATTCACAATAAGAGTATTGGATGTCTTTGTTTGTAGAGTTTATCTTCATGTTTGAAAGATCTGTATGAGTAACAGTGAAAAAATTGTACGTATCTTAACTTCATAGTTGTATTTACTCTTTGAGTGAACTATTCTTTTGATTCCTAGTGATACAACAAGTCAATCAAATCAGCAAAATAGCAATCTTACAATGTTTTAAGTTGAAAATTTTTTATAAATTTGTAAAATTGATAAGTCATTGTTATTCTCAAACAATATCCAGTTTTTTCAATCAATGATTATTTGAAAATTTTTTTAAACCAAAAAATAAAATCTTTCAAAAAATGATACAATTCAAGAATTTGACTTGGGATTAATGCGCAGCTTCTTCAATACCAATTGGACATGATTGATGTGATATTCTTTAGTCTTGGATAAAATCAATATGTCATCAAAATAACACACAACAAAATTGTTTAGAAATTCATGACTTACGTCATTCATCAAGTGTTGAAAGATGACAAATGCATAGGTTAGACTAAAAGGCATTGTATATGAAGTGATCATATCTAGTTTAAAAAGTTGTATTTCATTTATCAACTTCCTTGATACATACTAGGTTGTAAGCTTCATAAAGATAAATCTTAGTGAAAAGCAAAATATTGTGAATCTTTGCTCTATCAAGTTGATAAAACTAAGTAGCAATGGATACTGATTCTCGATTGTGATCTTTTTTTGTCCACGATCATCATGCATTCCAAAAAAGACACATCTTTCTTTTTGAAAAGTAAATAGTAACTCTAACATATAACTTCAAATGTTGAATGAAATTTTTTGCAAAATTTTCAACAAGATGATCTTACATTGCAGCAAGCTTGTTTTGTTAAAAATTGTAGATTGGATCAAATAGAGATTGCGCACCTTCTT